ACCAAATTTAGTATAAACAGGCGGACAGACGGCGAAATCAATTAAACTCGTCTGCCTTTTTTATGGGTCTATCTCTTCTCTTTCTTGTGCTTACATTCTTAGGACCAATGGAAATAAATCATTTCATGTAAGAACATGAAAGTTATAAAATATCATTTGCACTGTTGGCTGCCCACTTTTTGTGAAGAGAGCCCATAACTTATAAATCATTTGATCAATTTCGATAGGCGTACCAACAGTCGGAGAACCAGTGTTCGAGGCCTGGTTCGAACAACACAAAAAATAATTTCTTCTAATTTCGGTCGTCCTTCGCTTAAGTCCTCCATTGTATCGGTCAGCCGGAGTTGGCTCAGAATAAACTGTAGGTCTCCACAAATTGGAGCTCGGTCGAAAGCGCCGAAAGCACGAGATGTATATGGTTATGAAATACGTTTGAATATGATATAGACTGAAACCATCGCTTGATGTAATCACTCGCTTTTCTGAATCTCTCGCATCATATTGATATTAGTTTATTTGAAATACTCCTTTTAAGCATCACAACTGTTTTCGTTTGATAACTAATAACAGTAATTTCTATTTTACTTCATTTTGTCTACAGCCAGAAATGTTGTCGCATTCGTGTACAAACCAGGAATACCACATGTGTTATGAAAGCACCAAAGCATCTTCCACATTGTTGGCATCATCAACAACACCATCAGAGACGAACAGCTGTTTTTGTTTCAAGCGGCCCGACAACTTTTACATATCGCACGTCACAATTCAACAAACCGGCAAACTGCAGGAAGAAGTGTGACACGACTGTGGAGAAACTATAGCCATAGACGCTATAACGTTATGCGAATGTGCAACGATGACGGTACCTTGCCGCATAGGAAATAGTAAAAATCATCGGCAGATTACACACTCAAGCCGTTCATACACAATTACTGCCGACTCATCCATGCCGGCTGGCGTTGCAACTGTTATATGGCGCTGATGCTATTGCTATGCAATTGCTGTGGCAACTCAAATTATCGTTGCTGCAGGTGATTTTTACAATCTCGATTATGCTTTTTTCATGCCGCAAAGCTTTGACAATCGCATCTCGCCAACGTCGTGTGGCATCGCAACAGCGTTTCTTCGTATCATCGCTTGTTTCCTGTATTCTTATGTAACATTTGTCTGTTACGAGTATGTATGTACAAGTATGTATGTGCCATTTTGAGTTGGTGGTACTTTAAGTTGGCAATTGGATTGAAAAGTAGTACAATTTCCATTACGCTCCATTACATCTTCGCCATTACAATTGTCAGCTGGTATACGCACACTCGTACTACATCTATGTATGCACTTTGTCAGCATCATTGTGCTGTATTTATATGTTTCATTCGTTGTCCATACCTTGTCTCCCGATCGTTGTGATTAGGAAAATGATTACATCACGAAGTCATACGCTGTTTTTTTTCCTCAAACACGATCTTTTGACTTCCTAGAAACGAACATTGATGAGAACATACTGGAATAAAGGATAAAAAAATCACGTAATATTTTAACTCCTTTGTAGACTTTTACCCTTACAGTACTTGTTACCGTTATAGACCTTGGCACGGAATGTCAACCCCTTCGAGTGTAGTGCTGACGTGTAATAAAAACACCTCATAAAAACCATCAGCCGTTCGGAGTTTCTTTGAAAAATTCGTAGGTCTCCACCTGTGCATGAAAATCAAGACGTACACCAGGAATTGTAAAAGGAGCTGAGTTGAAAATCGCATGAGCGGCTATAAACTGCCAACTGCAATATATACTATATAAAATCTAGCAATATATACTCCTACATACATCTTACATATATTAATCCAAATTAAACCATCCTTAATACACACTATTAACAAGTAGGCAAACTTTCTAAGAAGCTGACAACTGACTGACTATTTGTTAGTCAGCAAAACTACTAACATTAATAATTTGTAAAATCCTCATCCTTACGTAATGCCCTAATGTCTAATCAATGCCCACAGATTTTCGCGATTTGATTTTCACATCTTACCAAACAAGGTAGCAACTTTCTCAAAACGAAAAACCAGTTGGACATAATAAATATTTCCTTATTGAATTTTCCGTTTTTTTTTTGGGGTACATGGTATGCATATGTACGTACATATGTCCACATAACCCTACAAAAATTAAGTTAACCTAGGATGAGTGCGGGAATCGTCGCAAAGGAAAGCATGTTAAACTTTTTGGTCTATTTGTATGAAGCGATTTGTATACTTCCTTTCGACTATGTTCTATGAAGAAACAATTAGTGACATTCACATTTTTTTTATGTAATTTTCGAAAGCAATGTTTATTTTTTAGATACGAATGCATAATACTAAATTTAATACTATTAGAACCTCATATTTGAAAAAAATTGGTGACTGGGAACTTTTAGTTATAGGCGTCCGATTTTGTTCAAATTTCAAGTTCTTAGATGTTTTCTTTATTAATGTATGACACAAAATTTCAAATCTGAAATATATATATGCAACAGCGGTCCAATCAATGTGCCAGTACATCTGTGTACCAATATCTCAAAATCTAAAGAACAAGTTTGCGTACAAACAGACGGACATACGGGCATGGCTAAATTAACTGCGCTCGTCAGTCTGATCCGATCGCCATAAATTAAGTTAGGCCTATCTCTAGTTCTTCTGTACTTATATGATTCGGATCAAAGTTGATAAGTTATATAATAAAAAAATTCATGGAAGAATGATGAAAATAGCGCACAGACTGAAAAGTCCCAAACAGGCATTGATGGCTGGCGCGGGTTTTATTGCTTTCATTAGTAATTTGGCCATGTAAAATCATTATTCAATATGAGTGGCGCATTTGCTCACTGCTGATCAAAAATAATAATGTTTTAGACCGTGCTTGAATTTAAAAAAAAAAAGCTTTAATTTATGCGTCAATATGTGCCAATGGAATTATTAAAAATCTCGAGAAGGAAAATGCCACAAACAGTGTATATTTAATACCATTATTGGAGCCTTTGAAGGTCGAAATTGCAGCCACAAGTCCATGGAAACAAAACTAAAACTACATGAATTGAAATCGAGCTGCTGCCATATCCACCAAAATCGCCAGACTTTACTCCTAACGAGTACTGGTTTTGTGCAGACCTCAAAAGAATGCTTCCCGGTAAGAAATTTCGCTCGATTAAAGAGGTTATCGCTGAAACAAAGGCCAATACTAAGGTACAAGATAAATCGCACTAGAAAAGTTGTTTCAAAAATTAGGACGGAGCAGAAATTATTTCCTTTACGAAGAATACGTTAAATTTTCTAATTGCAGCCACCCCCATAACATGAAATAAAGGCTCCTCGTAAAAAATTCATCAGCCGTTCGGAGGCGGCTTAGTTTAAACTGTAGGGTCCCTCCATTTGTTGAAAAAACATCAAGATGCAAAACCACAAACTGGAGGAGGAGCTCGGCCGAAAAATCGCTTCAGCGGTTACAAAGCGCCAATTATATTGTATTATATATTATATAATGAAAGTTTGATATCAAAATAATGATTCAATTTTCGGTAGACATAATCACCCAGCAGTCGTTAATTTGAGCAGCTATTCTTACTGTGAAGCAGAGTATCTTAAAAGACCCGTATGTGCCATCCATTTTATGAATGATTTTGCGGATCTTATCTTGCGTGGCTTAGAAAATTCATTTCGTTACATCCTCAAAACGTGAGGGTGCTCTAAGGGCGGAGGGGATCATTGGCCCATATTTCATTCAATAGGAACCCTATAGAACCATGATTCATGACTTTCTTATGCTTGAATTGAAGGATGTTGATGTGAATGACCTTCGGTTCCAACAAGACGTCGCTACATGCCATACAGCCAACGAAGTAGTCAAATTATTGCAGGAAGCTTTTGTTGAGAACATTATCTCGCATCGTGGACCTACGGCAGAGCCTCCAAGATCGTGCGATTTCACACTCTTGGACTATTATTGCTGCAAAAAGTGGTCGAAAATTAGGCCTCTCGACTGGAATTTATTTGAGCCATATATATATATATATATATGTATATGTATGCAATATCATTAATATATTGTAGAAAGAAAATTTTCAGAACATAAATATGTGAATTTGAAAACATTGCCTTTGGTGGGAGATCTATTAATAAATTTAAGGACAAATTAATAGCGACTTTAAAAATACTGACTCTAAAAAATATATGTGAAAGGAAAAGTCATTTACATATACTCGTACATAGATATGCTCATCACTCATACCTACATTTGTAAAAACAAACAACTTATTTTTATATTTAAAGTAGCAGTCAGCAAGTACAAATAAATGCATATGTATGTATATATTATGTATACTCGAAAAAAAAATTATCAACAAACATAAAAAATAAAATTTTTTTTTTTACTAAAACAAGTTCGTTACTTATGTTCGGCTGTATATGTATGTACGTATGCAAGTGCAGAAGTGTCCAGATGAGCAAGATTGTTGACAGCGCTGCCTTCAGGCAAATTTTTTTGGAGGCCTGAATTGTGAACAACAACTACATGCCAACATACTCGTACAACCTCCACAAAACCGAATGATAATTCTTTAAATTACAATTAACAACTTAATGATCGAGTTGTTGTTGTATTCGCGAAGAAGCAGCGACCGTTAAAACGTTATGGACCGAGCAACGCTTTTGGTGTATCCGATTATTTGTTTGTTTGTTGGTTTTCTTGTTGGCTTATTTGTTTTTGGGGTCACACACTAGTCCATTGCTTTGGTTGGACGCTGGTTTCGTTGGTTGATCGTTTTGCCCGACGATTTGGTTGCTCTGCCCGATGCTTGCTGCCTCCAACGCATACGCTCAACAGCTAGTAGTAAAGTAACAACAGCAACAACAGCAACAACAACAACAACAACAACAACAACGAAGAGAAGAAAAACTTTAATCGTGACACAAGCAACGCTGAGCTCTGTGTTGAGTCAGTATAAAGGGGCTGCAATGGGCAGCAGTGAAGCATTCAGTCGTTGGTTCCCTACAAGCAAACAACTAAATTTAATTTTTAATTTAAGTTTTACTTCTCTCCCCCACACAAAACTCACAACTATGAACTCCTTCTCCGTGGTAAGTATAAATAATAAAAGAAAAAATTGTAAAAGTCAGATAACAATAAAAAAAACAACAAATGTGCCAAAATGAAAATTAAAAGGATTATTCAGCAGTATTTGTGGATATATTTTGCTCCTTTGGCTTTGCAAATGGATTAAGTGTGTTTCACAATTTAATTTCTTCTTACTTGCAGTTCTTGGTGTTTGCATTGGCAGCACTGGTCGTTGCGGAACCACCATCAGGATATAATTATCCCAGAGGCGGAGGCGGCGGTGGCGGCGGCTCGTTCGGCGGTGGATTTGGTGGCGGCTCATTCGGAGGCGGTTCGCTTGGTGGTGGCGGTGGCGGCTATCAAGCCGTTAGCGGTGGCTTCCAAACTTCCGAAGGTCAAAATGTTGATCCTCAACTGTTGGAGCAAGTACGTCAAATTCTGCTGAATGAAGAGAGCAAATCCGGTGGCGGCGGCGGTGGTGGTGGCGGCGGTGGCGGTGGCTACCCATCTGGCTCGTATGGTCCTCCGTCCGGTTCATATGGTCCACCATCATCGTCATATGGTGTGCCCGGTATCGGTGGTGGCGGCGGTGGTCGTGTAGTCGGTATTGATTTGGAGGGTGTGCGTCAAGCCATTCAAGTGGCGCAGTTTGCTCAACAAAGCACGCAAGCTGGCGGTGGCGGTGGCTTTGGTGGCTATCCAAGTGCACCATCTGGCTCGTATGGTGCTCCGTCGAGACCAAGTGGCAGTTATGGTGCGCCCTTCTAGAGCGTATATGTATGTGTGTCGACTCAAATACATTTAAATATTAAATAAAAAAATACCAGCTTGTGCTCGAAAACCGTAGTTAAGCACAAGGAAGTAAGAGAGAAGCAAATATAAATGTAGACCACATTCCTCAGCCAATACAACAATCGATGAACAATCAATCAATCAATCAATCAATCAATCAAACAACACGCTGCCAAATAAAAGAAATATTGAAATTGAAGACAATGATAATGATACATGATGAAGATGAAGATGAAGATGAAGACGGATGAAAGGCGATGCGAAGCATTGAGTACGATAATGAAGAATGTGAAAGTGAAAGTGATTTAAAAACGGATTGCGAAACAACTATGCCAACAACAATAAAAACGCCACTCAATGGATAATTTGATGATCACGGATGAAGTAGCATAAGCAATAGGCAACAAACAAGCAACAATCAGTGAAATTTAAGAAAAAAAAAAATATATATATATATTTGTGCAACCATGTTTGCAGAACTATTGTTGCATATTCGTTGCAATTGCTGCATGTTTCGAACATGTGTTATGAAGAGAATTGTAGAATACAGTAATTTCTACAATTTTTCTTATTTCGATTTCGCACTGCGACCCGCATTCTACCGACAACACGATGCACCGCAGAAACCAACCGCCAACAGCACAGCTGGTGCAACATGTTCGAGCTGTCCTTTGCGCCGTAGGCAACGACCGGTGCGGGACACACACAACAACAACTTGTAGGGGACTTTTTTCAATCCACTGCAACACCGAACAACAAACCATATAACCATTCAACCAGCACACCAGCTCACTGCATTGCAACTGCAAGTGATTGTTGCCCAAAAAGCTGCAGTTGTACATAAGACAAGTGTTGGTGGTGGTGTGGGTCGTCAGTGATATTTCGTTTTCATTTTTCATGCGATCTCGCTCTTTTGATACCCAACCCCAACTATCTCCGAAGTATTTTCAAAAAAACTATCCTTTATGACCCCCGCTGTTTCAACATGCCCATCAAAGAGAAACACACATTCCATTTCCAACTTTTTGGTGGGCGTGTTTTGTTGAGTTTAATTTTAATTTAATTTTTATTTTAATTTCATTTTTTTTTTTAATTTTTGTAAATAGTTTTGAATTTTTTGTTTGTTTGTGTAAACAACAGCAACAACAATAACAGCAAAAACAACAAAAAATGTTATAACGCATCATTAGCATGTAAGTGTTTTTATTTGTATATGAAACAAACAAGGAAACAACAAAAAAAATATGAAAACAATAAAAAAATAGTAAATTTTGTCACCGTTAAAATTTTCGCATTTTCAATTTCAACTACGACTGGTGGTTTCAAGCAAATTCAATTGAGGGTTTTCAGTAAAGCTTTAAAAAACTTTTCATTTTACTCGTATGAAAGCCAAGATTTAAAAATTTCTTTACTTGTAGCAGCTGTAACGTACATACATATATGTATATAATGGTAAAACTGATATTGTCATGCGAAAGAATTACATTAATGTAAAATAGATGAATTTACATTATAAATATATTTTAAAATAGTGAAAATTATGTATGTATGTACATAGCGGTATATCTGGCTATGAAAATTTACAGTTTTCTTATTTCTCAAGTTATCTCATCAGCTGATGTAAATGCAAGGCTGCAGTTTTTATTTTTCCTTGGAGTATTTGCATTTCAATACTCCAATTCAATTAAAAAAATATGAATTTACGTAAATTAATGTACTTTTTAGCCATCGCATAATATTTTTTCATTCTCTTTTATTAAAAAATTGCATTAACAAAAGCTAATAACATTTCTCACAGCCAACTCTCCATAGAAAATAAAATAACTAACAAAGTTTTTAATGATTTTAGTTAAAAGTCAACGGTTTTAGTTGTTTTACTTTGGATGAACCCATTTAAGGATAATATGAGATACCTCAGATCCAATTGATCATCAGTTACTCTTTAGTTATTGCTATTTAATTAAGTCAGTTCAAAGAATCCAGCTATCTGGTACACTAAATTGCACATTTTTTCATTTAATTATTAGAATCAATATAATATCAAATTTTGAAATGACGGCGCAGTTTTTCAAACATCTCATTAACTACCACATGAGTTGATCCTTTGATTTTCAACATAAATAACCATTTGTTTACCTTTTCATACTATTTTGTGCGCCTCTCATGCCTTCTTTACCACAAAAAAGTGCTGAATGCCGACTCATTTTTTCTAAGCTGCGGTTGACGGATGTTTCGTAACGATTAGTTTGCGCAATATTTTTGGTTTAATTTGTTGTGTTGCACCATGAGTTGGTGAAAAAATTAAAAAAAAAAAAAACAAAAACAACAAAACATAAAAAATAGTGTCTGCAGCACAATTGGGTTAATTATTGTTATGATGGTGTTTCTTCGTAAATATGTATTGTTATTTTCCTAAGAAATGTATTGTATTTTAATAATGAGGCATTAAGTTGGGCTTAGCATGGCTGGGCAGCATAGCGGTGCATTATATGTATGTATGTTGGTAGTTGCGTGTACTTACGTAAATATGTATAAGATAAATGCCTGCGCAACATAGAGGTAGTGGGTTAATTACTGCTACCCATTTTACACAAGTACATACATATAACCTCAAATATTTATTTTATTTATATAAAACGCTTTATGCTAAATATCTGACGGATCAAACCATAGCCTGAACCACTGATCGTAGAGGCCTGAAAATTGGTGAGTGAATTATGTGCATAAGGCGGACATCTGCCCAGAAATGCCTGAATTACCATAGGGAATACCACTTCTTCGGGAAAGTGGGCCTGGAATCAATCTATTCGAAGGAATTGTATTTTTATTTGACTGATATTTCGAATATAAATTGTTATTTACCTAAACCCTGGGATCCATTTGGGCTTCGATTAACATGTTAATTTATAACTAAAAATAATATAAAAAAAAAAATAAATAACGAAAGAAGCAATTAAAAACCTTATTAGAACCCTTTTGAAATTTCATTCGTTTCATGTACATACGAGTACTTCCATTTTCATTTATTTTTGAATTATCATTAAGCAATTTTCCCGTAAATTTTATTTCTTTCACACATTTTGCTGTCGAAATTTTTTAACTTCGACGAATGATCAGCCTGAAACTGCTCTTGCGGGAAAACAACAAAGCGGGAGTTGATGTATCGCGTGTGCTCTGCCCAATAAACCTCTTAAATATTGCATGTAAAGTCCGCGGTCGGTCGCGGTAGGCGAGTGGTTAGCATTGCGTACTGCCATTCGGAAGGCTCGGGCTCAAGCTGTGTACTTCTATAAGAGTGTAAAGCTTCTTGCCAATGGATTGACATCATTGGTCTCAATAACCGCGACGTTAGAAAGCAAACCGTATGGGATTGGTAGGGATTGAGGGCAAGACGAAATATCTTCTGACACCAAACAAACAGTTCTTGCATTCGCTGCTTCACTCCCACTTCACTGTTGACAACTTTGAAGTCGTAGATACATTCGTCTATCTTAGAACCAGAATTAACACCAACAACAATGTCAGCCTTGAAATTCAGCGTAGACTCACTGTTACCAACGGGTTCTACTTTGAACTGAGTGGACGATTGAAAAATAAAGTCCTCTTTCGACGACTAAACTGAACTGAACAAATCGCACAGATTCGCGCCTTTCTATGTGATGCGGGAGCATGGATGCCTTCGAGAGAAAGATTTACGGTCCTCTCCGCATGGGCAGCGGCGTGTACCGCAGTCGATAGAATGATGAACTGCGTAAGATATACCGCGACAATCACAGAGTTCAGCAAATCAATAGACAGCAGCTACACAAAAACTTATATGTCTACTAGTACGATGTTGAATCTGATACTAATGAATAATATTATTTTATAATAAAAATAAAAATCCTTTTGAGCCCCCTTAATATGCCATATATAATGAGTTTCGAAAGTAATAAAGTTTGTATATACGTGTAAAGGATTTATTTATTTTTTCAAGTAAAATGTAAATTCTTTTGTGTAAATCCTAAAATTGAGTTTTATTGAAATAGCACAAATTTTCAAAGGAAAATCTATCACGTATTTTATTACAAACTACAAAATTCGAACAGCGGAATAAATTTAATTAAATTTTTTTTTTAAATTGTGCGAATAGGCATACGCACGAGTATAAAATATAAAAACAAGTCGAGAGAAACGCGTTCTTGAACTGATGCTTATTTAATCTTGAACACAAGCACACATATGACTTATGATTGCCATACATTTAACTTTGATTTTAGAATTTTATTTATATATGGAGTATTATGAACTATATATACCGTCTTATACAGGGTCCGCCACGTAACTTTTTTTTTTAAATGCAATAAAACAAATGCCCATTCGGCAAAGGCAAACCGCATCGGATAGTCTCGTGGCTTCAAATCTTGAACCAATTGAACTTTGTACGGTGTCATACCAAGGTCTTTTTAAAATTCGCCTAAGGGACGTCTCGGAAATGTCCAATTGTTGAGAGCGACGCTTCACTGATGTTCCGGGCGCCTCACGCACACTCTCGGCCACAGCAGCGATATTACCGGCAGTACGCACTTTTTTTGATTTCTCACGCGTTGGTTTATCAATAATTGTGCCGGTTTCTCTTAATTTTTTCAAAAGAAAGCGCACATACGGAGCGGACGGTGCTAAGGATAAAAAAAGGAAGGATAAAACTAACTTTCTGTCAAATCAGATGTAACATCAGTGTTACCACACCCAAAATAACCACTAGTTCAAAAAAAAAATGTTAGATGGCGGACCCTGTATAGACTCCGAAAGTCTGGTAAGTAGGACTTCGCTCAAATCTATAGGTAAGCTTCATTGAAACCCAGATATGTAAAATTCCTAAAAAATCGTACCGATTAAACCACCTCGAAAGCCTAAGGAACGAAAGTAGAAAATATTTTGATATAATCCCATTTTGCTGGCCTTGCCAGAGTTCGAACACATTACACGCCGTATATATTTTATGGTTGTCTTATATTAACCCACCTTTGAACGGCTGATATTATTTCATCATATTTGTACATTTAAAAGAAATATAGAAATATTTACAAATAGCTATTTTACCTAACTAAGAATTGAGAATTATTGTATTTGAATTATGTTGAAATAGTTTACTTGTAGCATATTAAATAAAAAAAAGTTATCGAAGGGTTGATAAATATCACTGCCCTCCAAATTTCACCCCATTTTCTGTGAATAAAATGGGAAGAAAACCCTTAAAATTGCTTTTTTCATTTTTGAGAAATTGTACTGCTTAACCCCGACGTGCTGCGAAACATTGCTAACAACAGAAATTAAATGCTGTATCGCGCGCTGTCTCCCATATTCGGTCAACATAATCGCCCAGCAGTGTCGGTAATTCGAACCAAAATGGCTCATTTTCGCAACACCTTTTCTCCAATGGTTAATGGGCAACCTCAGAGATACCATACCGTGTGCACAGAAGATGCTGCTGTGGAGTAGAACATCGAAGTAGACCAGAATGAGTACTTTCGCCATCACGTCTAATAATCGGCGTTGTGCCTATCCATTTTTGGTAAGTTTTTTAGGAAAAATCTTAGTTTGCGAGCATACAAAACTATCAAACTCGGCAAACGTACCGTGAATGGGCTCAAAACGAGATGACCACTGATTCCGATTTACACCATAACTCAGCGATGAAGCTCATTTTTGGTTGAAGCCATTGTTGAAACGCCGCTACATTCTCAAAACGTCACTCTTTGGTAAGCTCCATTGAGAGAACGCATCATTGGTACGTATTTCTTCAAAAATGAAGCTGGCCATAATTTTGTTGTCAATGTGGGAATGCTATAGAACAATGACTAATACTCTTTTCCTGGCTGAGTTGAAGAATGCTGATGTGGAAGACCTTTGGTTTCAATAAGACAGCGCTACATTTCATAAAACCGAAGAAACAATTTATTGAAGGAAACTTTTAATGAGCGCATTATTTGGCGTCGTGGGCCTGTGGAATGGCATCCGCTGAACTATTTTGCGTACCTGCATACGCAGATAAGACCGAGACGACCAACGTCTTGGTAGAGAAAATTCGTGCTGTATGTCAAGCGCCAATTGCTGCAAAAAGTGTTGGAAGATTTGGCCTGTATGCGGGAGTTTATTTTAGCCAACTACAACGGTCACTTGCCCGCAAACATTTTTAAAGTTAAACTCCTAGCCATATAATTCAATTATAAACGCTTTATTTCTTCTTGAAAACCATGTTGCTAAGAAAACACCCTTTAATGAGAATTAAATATCACCCCCAAAGTTTCCTTCTGGTGCCAACAATTTAAAAATTTACTCTTTTCTCTCTTTTATTTCATTTATATTGCCAAATCTAGAATGAATGAACGACTATTGAAATGTTGAATTTCAAAGAAATTTCATTTTTAATGGAAAAAATTTCGATGAAAAAGGGTTTGTCTATATCGGCTTGGTGTTATCGGTTTATTGGATTTCTTATCAATTTGAATAATCCAACTATAGTGTAATGCCTGTCCAAGTGTTTTCGCTTTTTATATAAATATCAGTTATGTTGGTGCGAACTCATTATACATACACATATACATGTATATGTATATACGTATATATGGTTAGCTTTGGCAAAACTGCTATTGCACTTGCGTAAAAACGACATCTCACTTGCATCGACCGCAATGGCAACTTGCAGCAACAAAACCAACAACAACAAAGAGATAATGATGATGATGATGCTGATGCGCTCATATATTAAGCGCAACAACAATGTTCCCGCACTTATGCCGCCAGAGTGTTGCAAGTATTTTCGCCTTTTTTGGTTCGAGGTCTGAATCTTCTGCTGCGTACTCATATAGCTTGTTGCTACTGATGATGTTGGCCAGCGTCGCCACTGTAGCATCTGTCGTGTTGCTATTTTGCGGTTTACAAAAAAGTGAAAGGATTTTGATTTTATTGCCGAATTTCGTTATTTTAATGTTACAGGTTTTTGAATTACTTTACAGACATTTAACAATTGCAATGCTGATTTTGTAGCAAATCATTAAGTTTTATTGTATCGCAACTCACGTCTGTCTACATATATGTATGTAAATGTGCATACCTGCGTGCGCACACGCGTATAAATACATACTATATTTATATAGAAATTAATGTAAACGTATGTACATACATATATTCTTGTTGTAATCATCATCCTTGAATGTATGCAGCTGCGAGTACCATAAATGAACCGAAACTAAAGTTGAATGTAACATCGGCTAATTTGTGGCGTCTAGAGCATCAATGCATCGAGCTGCGATAAAAATGAATAAAAAAGAATATTGCAAAATATTACGTGGAAAAATAGTTAAAGTCAGCCTCATTGAGTTGTTTCAAACTCGTTCCGTTCCACTTATGACTATCATTAACTCTTTATGCACAATTCTTGAGTACAACAGAAGCAATGGAGTGCAGTCCGTAGAGTTGCGTACGACTGACGTCACCGGCCCAAAATAATCTTCAATAGATAAAGCCATAGACGACATATTAGCATGAAGGAGCACGAAGCGTGTATGTTGTTGTTATCTTTTCCTTTCGCTGACTACTGGTGGGACGTTCTTTATCTTAGGGAAAATGAATTAGAATACTCCAACCATGTGACCTAACTCGCGTAGGTTCGTATTCGACGATACCAATATGTCAATCTTACGCCAAATATTTCCCACATAAACTTGTAACTTCGACTCATTTGATGCCTCCGCAATAATTGGTAAAAAAAATTTTACTTTATATTTTCCAAGGGAACGTGCCTACGCACCAAGGATAAGACATTAACGTTATTTGAGTGGCCAATGTCTCAACTCAACTTCTCTGAGATTTTTCTGGCATGAAATATAGGTTCTCTCAAAATCCATAGATAGGCTTAGAATCAGCTGTAGGTCTTGCATTGGCTAGAAATACATCAAGACACATTACATAAATTGGAAGAGGCATTTGACTAAAAATTGCTCAAGCGATTATTGAAGCATCAATTGTATGTACATGTTATACAGGGTTATCCATTATGCGATTTTGAAAATTATGCGTAAATAAAATGCATTAAAAATTATATTTTTTGCATGGAGGTCCTTTTTAATTATAAAGTTTGAGCGTTTGCATTATTCGGCACCATCTGGTTGAAACCACATATTTTCCATGTCGTGTTCTTCAATTGTAGGTCATAACACTACGAATGTTTTTTTTTGTTTTTTGGGGGTAATAGCCTCTTTTCAATTATTTTTAGATTTTCGGGGCATCAAATACGATAATTTTGCTTACTTACGTATCCCACGAGCGAGAAATGTGGCTAGTCGCTGAAGAAAATTTTGTTCAAAACATCGCCGTCCACTCTTTGTTTGTTGAAGCAGCCATTGGACGTACATATGTATGTACGATATTTTGAATAGTGATTTGGCTTCAGTTGTTATGTGAGTTGGACTGTGGACTATACATGTAGATATACCCGGTGTGTCCTAAAAATAACCGAACTTTATATTTAAATCATACAACATACAGCGCCATCTATTGAAAATTTGCTACATTTCATCCTCTTTCAAACGCACCTAACATCATGTAAGTCGGATGACAGATGTAAAAGTGACAGCCATTTCAATAAAACCAAAAGTGTGCTAATAGTTCAAAAATAAAATGGAACAAAGAGCAAATATAAAATTTTGTGTCAAATTTGAAAAAAAAAATTAATGAAAAAAGTTTATTGTGATGATTGTATGAGTCACACGCAAGTTTATACGTGGTTTACACGATTTAAAAACGGTCGTGAGGATTTAAATAGCGACCTTAGAGCAGGACGTCCAGAAACTAGTAATCGTGCTGAACTGGTGGAAAAAGTCCGTGAAATCATTGGTATCGATGCAAATTTTACTACGAGAATGTTGGCCGACGAATTGAATACGAGTAAAAACACTATTTGGAGAATTTTAACTGAAGATTTGGGGAAAAGAAAGGTCTGTGCGCGATTTGTTCCACATGAATTAAATGACAACCAAAAAATCGCTCGAATTTTAAATGAAAAAAGGGATTTCTCTCATCGTCCATCCTCCGTATTCGCCTGATCTATCACCTATCTATTTCCAAAACTGAAAACTAGATGAAGCGCGCATTTTATGATGATATCCCAGCCATTCAAGCAGCTGTCGAGGTACTGAAGAACATTTCTATAAATTACATAAAAAAATCTATGCATGCGCTGGTTGATCGTTCCAAACGTTGTGTTGAGTCAAATGGAACCTATTTTGAATAAATAATAACTTTCAAAGCTAATATAATGTGTATTTTATTTTATATCCAAAAAGTTGCGTTATTTTTGGGACACACTGTGTAAGTCCAAGTGCAAAATACGCTTTTAGCTTTTGAAAATGTCAATATATAGACACGTTCGAGTCTTCGACTATACTATTTCTTTCAGTTGCTATATTTGAGGTGGAACGATCAAAGCTATGTTGCACAGGGCTTACAATATCTCTAACCGATCCACTCTCTTCAAAGTTTTTCAAAATTTTAGCAAATGCTTGAGTAACGTGGCTTGAGTGACGTGTCTTTAACTTTGAGCCCGCGATTTTATTTACGATTTTAGAAACAAAATATGTTAACAATATTTTTTTGAAAATCAAGATATGATGGATTTTGGAAAAAAACAATCTGTTTCCTGCTTTGTTTGTACTGCTTTAGTGAGTTTATATGCATTTACCGTTCTCCTTCTCGCTTTACTGTGCTCAAGATTATATTTTTTCAGTTAATGAGCGTTGTAAAAGATGAAACTGCAATAAGACCTTATCTTAATAGAAACTTTATCTAAAAAAAAAAATGACTTCTCTCGGCAAGCTATGCACGTATGTCTGTATGTATATATCTATGTATACTCCCAATAAGACGATGATAATTCAGTTTTCAAATTTTTTGTTCGGGGTTTCAAAGTTAAGTTAAGTTCCTCAAGATAAGCGCTAAATTGACGTCTTAATAGATAAAGTCATTTCCCTATCTAAATTGTTGTACCTGTGATACAAATCAGTATTTATAAATATTTACACAATGGAATTTAATAATTTTATATGCACTTGTAATCCCTCAATCTGTTGTTATAAAACTATCTTTCTTGGAAGTACACGGTAGATTTGAAAACTTAGCAGAATCAAAATCAAAAGATTATACGAACGGAACGTGCACGCACGGATAAAATTATACCGTTACATAGTTGTTCATTTTACCAAAATGGCAACGGTAAATGCAACACTCGAATCTGTTGTTCATCAATTTCGGCATTTTAGTTTCGGCACAATTGATTATGCCGTTTTCATTGTGCTGCTAAGTATTTCACTGCTGATTGGCATCTATTTCGGATTTTTCGGTCATGGCGCGGATAATACCGAAGAATATTTGCTTGGTGGTAAACGAATGAAAACAATTCCGATTGCGATTTCGCTTGTGGCAAGGTCAGTGCGCGGAGTGGTATTATTTTAGCGAAATGTAAATTATAAAGGGTGCTTTTGTAGACATGTGGTTTTCAAGAAGAAATAAAACTCATATAATTTATTGAGATAGGTAATAATTTAGGTTTTGTCATTATGTTTTAAAAATGATTTCGGGCAACTGACAGCGCAGCGGCTGGCTCGAAAGGCACAATTTTTGGTAACTTTTTGATAGAACTGGGGCCGCATGTCACGTATAACACTCCGAAAACTCTCAATCAATCAAATCAAAATCGCACGATTTGGAGGTCACGCCACGGGCCACCACGCGGGTATAACGCGCTCACCAAAAGTTTCCTGTAATAAATTGACAGCTTTGTTGGCTGTTCGCCCACAACAAAATCCTCCAACTCAGGCATGAAAAAGGCATTAATCATGGCTTTACGGCATTTCTCATTGACTGTACACTGTGGCCGGCTGTATTTTTCACACAACTCGGCAGGGAATGTCCACCACTCCGAGTGTATTTATGACATGAAATAAGAAACAGTCAGTTGTTCGGAGGCGTCTTAGTATAAACTGCACGTCCCTCCATTTGTTGGAAAAACATCAAGACGCAAAACCACAAATTGGAGGAGGAGCTCGGCTGTAAATCATTTCAGCACTTAACGGCGTCTCAACAAAGGCCTATAGATTATCATCACTCCAAATTATTAAAGTACCACTTCAACCAAAAGTGAGCTTCATCGCTGAGGAAAATTTTCTCGTGACAATCGGGATCAGTGGTCATCTCGTTTTTGACCCATTCACCGAACGTGCGACGCACTTAACGGTCGTTCGGCTTCAATTCTTGCTTGAGTTGGATTTTATAAGCCCGCAAACCACTATCCGTCTCCAAAATCCTACATAAAGTTGAACAACAGAACTTGCATTCGGGTCTTCTTCGATAAACTGCTTCACAGCAGCGATAGCGGTTTCGGCGCGGTTTCTGGGAATGCCCATTATCCACTGGAGTATGCGTGGTGTGACACCGATCCATAGTTGCTCGAATTATCAACTCTGTTGCGCGATTATGTCAACGGAATATCGCACGCCAATGTGGTTTCAGGTTTTTTAATTATTTTTTAATTATGGAAAGCCAAACTAAGAATAAATCAAGTAACAGTTGTCAAAGAGACCAACTCCAAAAAAAGTATTGCCAGATGGAAACCCACACGTCTAAAAAAAATACCCTTTATATGTAAATAATGGTTATTTCACATGTATAACACATATCATTCTATTATACCTTTATTCTTCATCGTTAGTCAATTATCGGCGGCTGCGATGATGACGATTCCAGCTGAAATGTATTCCTTCGGTATAAGTTGGTTCTTCAGTATTGCTTCGATGGCGCTGATAACACCGGTGCTCTGTTGGGTCATAATTCCGGTATTTTACAACAATAATATTTCAAATTGCTATGAGGTGGGTTTAATAATTTAAATTGTACCTATTACCGTTGCAGTACAGTGTTCGAGAGCATGAATTTTAAGCTAATAGATTTTTATCAAAGAAATTTACCAATTTTCCCATAATTGTTTTTAATATTTTTGCTAAAAAATAAGTAGGTTATATCTATTTCTTACTTAAATAATTACCTATAGAGATTTAATAATAGGGGATGTGCCGGTGGCCAGCTGGTTAGTGTCCTCGGAACAACATCACGCCGTTCAAGAAGATGCGATGGACGGAAAAGGATAGACCCTTGGGACTTTTATTACAAAGGCCATATAAATGAGCGCCAATTTTGTGCCGATTTCGTGATGCGAGGGAGACTCAATCGCTGGGTTTTGTCATTCAACCCCATGGATGGAAAACTAGCTACAATCCGCTTTCATTTGAAGTTCCTTTACATATCGGTGATTTACTCCAAGCTCTGACGGAAAGGGAAGATGATATCGCCAAAGACACATCCAAATCTACTTACGTATCGCCGCCGAAAGAAGAACTGGCACGATGAAGAATGCCGTGTCGCAGGGTAGAGAATAACACTGATTATTTTGGCAGAGGCGATCGAACAGAACACGAACAGTATTTGAAGGATAACGGTTGAAAAGGAAAACGGAAGGTAAAAATTAAGTAGAAATTCCTGAGTACTAAAAGCTTTAAAGCCTGGCTGACAAAGTTAATGCTAAAAAATTCTATGAAAAGAAGCAGGGACTTACGGAATGTTATAAGACCGAAGAAAGACAATCTGATGACCGATGTTGAGTACATACCGAGTTCATGAGGGAGCACTTATCCAGTCTGTTTAATTGCAGTGATGAAATAATCACAGAAGACGCCAAGCCCGAAACCCTAGTTGATGACGTTGGTATAGACGTTCCATCAACCGACTAGAATGAAGTTCGAATATTGTTATAACTTGATAGATGGTCGATGGATCGCCGGACTGGTAGGGTGTAGTCATTGGTGTAAGCTATTTTGGGAAGAATATTCGTACATAAACATGCCTAACGGCTTTAAACTGCGTGTGCTTTACCTAAACCATAAGATGGAAGATCCCACAGTATCTTTCATATGCCTATGCAAGCTGATACTGAGTAATAGTAGCTCCCCGCTCGATATTCAATGAGTTTCCTCAAACTAATGTTGGAGAAAACAGTACAAGCTGCAAAACTACATAGAGAACGTAAAAGCTTCTATAAGAGCGAGCAACTGCTAGCGTATGCCGATAATATTGGCGAACAAGAGCCAAACTCTACAAATCGCTCCTTATGCCCGTTCTGCCGGATAGAGCAGAAGTGTCGAGGATGTCAATAACCGATGAGCCGACTTTAGGAATTAAAAATGTGCGAGAAAAATGTTGCGGCAGATTTATGGTGCTTTGCGCATTTGGAACGATGCGATGTAGGACATTGACATAGTTCTGCGAGCTGGCTGGGTGGTTCCGTTCATATGAGCGAAAGCACTTTGAAAAATTATTTTTTTTTTAAATTGAATAAGAAACCGATTATCGGAGCTGGTTAAGAAATAGCTGTCTAAAAACTGTTCTGTTTAGAATTTAGTGCTGTGACTATTAGTTTACCAATTTTTAACATACATATAAGATTAATAAATAAAATGTATCCTTTTAATTTTTCAGTATCTTGAGTTACGTTTTAATCGTAACACTCGGCATTTGCTAACTTTTGCCTTCGTGTTTACAATATTTTTACTGCTGCCAGTTTACATATTTGTGCCCTCCTTAGCCTTTTCTCAAGGTACGTATGTATCGTATATGCATTCCTTTATGTACTTTATGTAAATTTACTTGGGTAACTTATTTCGGAAAGTATAAATGTACCATATTTTTAGGTTAAGGACCTCACCAGTTATTGTGCTCCCGTGCTTATCCCAATTTTGTTTTGCGAACAGTTCGCTTGATTTAATAAACTGTTTTAGTTTCCTCCACCCAGCGCACCATCCTCATACTCGAAAGTTTGCCGATTCTAGCTCACCTAGCTTTTGAAAATAATATGGTCAGTACATCTGCAAGAATAACAAGTTAACTTTTGCTTAGTGTTAGCCTAGTCTGTCTGTCTGTTTCGTTGGAGTTTTTCCAGGACCTTAAGTGTGTCCTTAAGTTTCACTATTTTAAACAACACTTGGAGGCGATAAAAGGAAGCCGAAGGAACATTCGTGTGACTTCAGTTCACTGTTGTTGTTGTTGTAGCGGTTCGCTAACCCCGCTTAGGCACAGGTTTTGTTCAGTCTAAGTCGCCGAGGTCATCTAGTGGTAGGTCCAGGAAACGGGCTTTTTCGACGGTGTTGGACCAAAGGGAGAGGGGTGTTAGATGAGTGGGTTTGAGGGGGCATGTGAAGAGGTGGTTAGGGTCGTGCGGGGACTCTCCACATGCCGGGCATACGTTAGGTATGCTGGGGTCTAGTCTGGATAGGTAGGAGTTTAAACTGCTACAATATCCAGACCTTTCGCCTTTCGGCGACCTAACCCCGTTTAGGTCTACAGGTAACTTCAGTTCACTGTTTAATGCCATGTGTTGACATATTTAAATGCCTTAGATGACGCTTGGCTGTCTAGAATAAAACTAATAGATTCAATGGTTAAAACAGTTGCCCATTTGGTGCCTTCCGTAACACCCAAAATCTCTGTTTGGAAGACTGAGTGGTCAGAGAAGAACCCTACATTCCATTTTCACCTAACTGTATAGATGTAGAAATCTTCAGAGATGATTCTACCGTCCAGCCATTTTACGCTGCTAAGTAGCATGTAGTTGGCTTGTACCCGTCAGAAGGTTTCCTTTTTTCGGCCATAATGTACGTTTAGCGCATGTTCTCTCATAACTTTCTGTATACCGGCAAGTCATTCACGGGGAGAATGGACTCAACTATCTAGGATATTTAGGAGTAAAAATGCATATTCTCAGGACATCATCAAGTTTTTTTTTGGCTGTTATGTTCGCGGAAGGGAAGGCAGATAATGATCACTCGAGGGCTAGGTCTGCGCTTCAGGGTGGGTGCTTCAAAATATCGAAGCCTATCAAAGCTGTTAGTTTTTTTGGCTTCCAACTTTCGCTGTCCTTAACCATGCCGAGATGATCGTGCAGGATTTTACAAAATGATTGTAACGGATACTTTTTAGTCGAGCATCGTCGAGGAAAACTTCTGGCGCGATTACTGAAGATTAAATAGCAGTTTTGTAAATTTCTTTACCGTGACTTATGATGAATACCAAAAACGCAATTTCCTCAGTGCATCTCGCTATACCCACGCAAGCAAAACAGTCGGGTCTGCAATGTTCGGTAGCTTCCGAACTTAGTCTTTTTTTGCATATTGAGTACTAAACATGTATTTTATTTCCCCATAGTAACCGGTCTGAATATACATTTGATAAACGCATTTATTTGCTCGATCTGCGTTATATATACAATGCTGGTAAGCAATATAATTTTTTCCTCAAATGGTTTTAGTCTTGATGTAAAGGCTTTTCTCGTAATTCCAAACGTAAAGGGTGGCATTAAAGCAGTCGTTTGGACTGATGTTGTGCAAGGAGCACTGATGATCGGCTCAGTGGCGTTGGTATGTGTATTAGGAACGATAAAAGTTGGTGGAGTCGGTGAGGTATTGAATATAGCAAGTAAGGGTAGTCGTTTGGATGTTAGGTATGATTTAATTATGTACTAAAAAGACGTTTTACTTATTCTCCTTTGCAATTTTCAGTTTTTCATTCGATGCCACTACCCGTGCCACCTTTTGGAACACCTCTATTAGCGGTTTCATTTTGTGGACGGCCTATGTGGGTCTGAATCAGAGTTGTGTGCAACGTATTGTGGCTCTGCCAACACTGGGTCATGTAAAGCGTTCTCTCATGTTTTTCGGAGCTGGTGTCATCGTCATTATGTTATTTAATTGTTTTGTTGGTATAGGTAAGATGCAAAGCATTTTTGAAAAATTTACTTTAATCGCACTTCTATACATTTTCCCTTTCCTAGCCATGTACGCTCTCTATCACGACTGCGATCCTATAACACTTGGTTATGTGCAAAAAGCCGATAAAATGATGCCGTTCTTTGTGGAGGATATTGCCGGTCATCTCATCGGCGTGCCAGGCATATTCATTTCCAGCGTTTTTAGTGCGGCCTTAAGTACAATGTCGGCCAACTTGAATGCTCTGGCAGGCATAGTTTACTTAGATTATATCAAACCATATATAAAACATACCGAAAGAAAAGCGAATTATATTATGCGTGGTTTTATATGTGCATGTGGTGTGTATAGCATTGTTGGTGGCTTAGTAGTAGAACAATTTTCATCGATATTACAATTAATATATTCAATTGGTGGTGTGACGATGGGCGCGGTGTTTGGCGTTTATGTGTTGGGCATGTTGGTGCCACGAGTTCATGGAAGAGTAAGTTGAAGTCGCAACACTTCATCTACAGAGTTTCCCAATAAGAGGTGTTATTTCCATATTCAAAACCATATCATTTTTATGAAATTTTCCAACACGAAAAATCGCAAACAGGCTGCTGTACGCCCTCAATAGTTTCACGAACTCCATCTTTGAGATCTTGAATCGACGTTGGTCTGTTGACGAAGACCTTATGCTTCACGGGAAAGAAGTCACCAGGTGTTAAATCAAAAGATATCGGCGGTCAATTGCAATCATCTCTTCGGGAGATAACATGGTCCGGAAGCTTTGGTCCTAAAAGATCGATACTTGTGTGGCACGTAGCGCCGGCAATAAAAAATCATTAATCATCTCTCGATAGCGCAATCCATTCATCGTAACTGTTGCTCTAGCCGCATTTTCGAAAAGGTAAGGTCCAATTATCCCGCCGGACCATAAAACGCACCAAATAGTGACACGTTAAGGACGCAGCGGCTGACCAAACAATAAATCTCAAATGTCTCTAAATGTCAAATTCGACAATTTTGCTTATTGACCAGATGGAAATGGGCTTCATCAGTCAAGATGATTTTTCCATGAAATTCCGGATCATTTTCAAGCATTTCAAGGACCCAATCAGCAAAGACACAACATTGTTAATGATCGGCCGGCTTGAGCTCTTAAATAAACTGATATTTTTGAGTCTTAAGGTCCAAGTTTTTATGCAAAATACGATGCAATGAAGTTTGTGGAATGAGCACTTTCAAAAAACGACGAGGAATGCACAAAACTGAGTTTTCTTCAACACTTTGGGCTACAGCAACAATGTTCTCACTTCTCCTTGAGCGACGTGTACGTGTTTTATTCTTCACGTTACTATTACAATAACTTATCACAACAGGTCCATTTTTCCCACCTGTTTCAGTATTGCAGTCCGGCAAGTTTCTTCACGACGACCGAAAAATGTTTTAGTTTTACGTACCGTCTCTGTGAGGTTTTCCATGCTTATTATTGGCATAGTTTTTACTTGTCGAATGTCAAAAATGCTATTCAAAATAAGACCTCTTCTTGGAAAACCCTTTATTAAACTTTATTAAATAATAATCGATTTCTTGTTTATTTTAGGCTGCACTCTGGTCCGTAATCGCAAGTATGGTATCAATGTTGGTAATTATTGGCGGTGCACAGAATCGGCTCCACTACACGTCACTACCTTTTTCGATAGAAGAGTGCTCTCAAGAAAATATAAATAAATCAATTTTCTCAAATTCAACTTCAGCACTTGGCAACCTACCCAACTCAGCTGAAAGCGAAAGTTTCTGTTTATTTGATTTATCTTTCAACTGGTACGTGACTATCGGCTGTTTAATTGTCTTCCTTGTCGCTATACCGCTTAGTTATATACTACCAGCAGAGAAAGATTACAAATTAAATATAAAACTTTTGTCACCTGTGTTGCATCCATTTCTTAATTATAATATAGTGGATATGGATGAATTGCCGGAGCTTAAGACAGTTAAGGAGTTTTAATTAAGCACTTTGTCAATTTGTATATTTTTATAATGATAATAAAAGCTGATCAATTTTATCGTTAGATGTCTTTGTCGTCTTAATTAATGTGAAAATTTAACAAGTAACTAAGATTTCCATTATTTTAATACATCGCGAAACAATCTTCTTCTCCTTGGTTGGCATAGACACCGCTTAGGTGATGTAACAACAGTGTGCTATACCTTCCTTCCTTTCGCTATTTGACGGCAATTGGAAATACCAAGTGTATACATATCCTTCTCCATCTGGTCTTTCCAATTTTTAATTAAGGCAATCAGGTACCCGTGTGCCAAATTTCAAGTGAATCGTACAAATAATAAGAATTTGTTTATTTTTCTGACAGGTTGTAACTCCTTCAAAAATCCAAGCTTCCCAGGTGCTAGGCTTCAATCGGTTCAATAGATCCGGAGTACATAAGCGGCACAAATGCACACATACATACATACATACATACGCTTTTATAAGCAAATATAGATAAAACGATATGATTGTTAAGGCCAATGATATCGTTACCGTCAACATACGAGGTGTGTTCAAACAATATCGCGAATTTTGTGTTTCTTCAAAAATTGTTTATTTATTCATGAATATCTATTTTGTCCCCTTCAAAGTAATCTCCACGAGATATTATACACTCGTGCCAACGGTTTTTCCAATCTACGAAGCACTTCAAAAAATCTTTTTTTTTTGTATCTTGTTCAGCTCCTCCTTCGACGCCGTCTTTATCTCGTCAATCGTAGCGTAACGTCGTCCTTTCATGGGCCTCTTCAGTTTAGAAAACAAGAAAAAATCACAGGGGGCCAGTTCCGCGGAATACGGTGGCTGCGGCATCATTAATGTGTTGTTTTTGGCCAAAAAGTGGCGCACAAGAAACGATGTGTGAGCAGCGGCGTTATCGTGATGCAAAAGACATGAGTACCAACATAACGCCACAAAAAAATCGAAATTCGATTATACGTAGCCCGCGAAAATTCAAAATTCGCGATACTTTTTGAACACACCTCGTTCATACACTAGACCCTCGTATATTCCCGTACAACAGCGCAATCTAAACTTTTTTTGATCGGGGCCACAAAAGTTGCCAACAAAAATCTATTCAATGGCTACTTTTTCCAAAACCTAAGAAACACATTGAAAACAAGTCGAAATTCCGTTTTTGCATTTACAGTCAAAGACAAAAGTTTAAATACACCTATAAAATTCCACTTTTTATTAAAATTAACCTTTTTGGAGTAAAAGTACACGTAAGAATGCAGTTTTTTTAAAGTAGTCCAAAAAAGTATTCAAAGTCTCGTAGATAACGGTAAATACATTGAAAACATGAAATCACGCGGGACAAAAGTTTAAATACAACCAAAGAAAAACACCCATCACATGTACTTTTCAAGTTCTTTAGAAATAAAGTACCGTTATATTCAATTATTTATCAACTTATACACATTTACCCGGTATTAGATGCGAATTCTTCTCCAACAGTGAATGCAAAGTAAATAAAAAAATAGGTAAAGAAAAACAGATAAAGAGTGATGTTAAAAACTTAATGATTAAACATTTTTAAGAACGAAAATCTTACCGAGATACAGGAAAAAATCTTGATAATCCTTATGCAAGTGTGCAGAATATTGTTCGAAAGTAAAAACCTAAAAATTTTTTGGAAATAGGCCTAGATATAGGCGTCCAAGAGAGCTATCCCGGCGAGATGTTAGTTTTATCACCAAGAAAGTGACAGAAAATCCTAAAATAAGTGCTCCAAAGATAGCCGAGAGCAGCGCTAAAATTTTGAACAAAAATGTTCACTCAAAAACTATAGCAAGAGCTTCACGGGAAGAAAGCTATCAAAGCAGAGTTCCACGTAAAAAGCCTCTAACATCTGAGAAAAATAAGCAACTTCGTCTTTAATTTGCAAATAAATACTGTTATTTATGCGAGTTCGAATATTTTTTTTGGATTGTATTGTTGATTAGTTATCTACTTTACAAAAACTACATTCTTACATTTAGTCTCAAGTTTTATAGGCGTATTTAAATTTTTATCTTTGACTGTATTTTCGATTGGTAATGCGACTTATGACATTTTTCTGTTTTCTATGAGTTAAAATTAGCCCAAACAATGATTCAAGGCGAATTTATAGAAGGTGAAGTTATCAGATCATATGATTGCTTGTTCTTCCTTCTATTTCAGCAAATAACACTAACAAAATACATGAGAAATAGGTTTTGACATTACGAACTTTCTGTTACACAAACAAAATACATTGAAAAAGTTTAGTTTTTGTCTTTTCGAGACTACCATTACACAAACAAAATACATAGGCTTTTTGTTTTTGTATTCTTGCTACTACTACTACCGTGTGTAAATTTGCCTCGCAATGGTTGCTTATTTAAAATTAATGCGACGAATGATATTCTTTTCTCCAAAGTCTCGATTGGATTAGTTCGGTTTTTTTGCGACATTGCATTGCGGTATTTATTTTTACGTCGCGCGAGACTTGAGAATGATGCTTCAAACGTGGTGAGTGCCCAAGAATTACGTGTATATTCAACTAAAGGCCTTCACTATGTATGCCAATTTCTTCATTTATCAACGAAATATCGAATTCCAAATGAGTTTTCTTTGTTTCGAAAAGATCGGAAAATTTTTGAATATTATTTGGGTCACAAACGAATGGGTTTGTGAGAAATTTGAATGCTAAGTGAAGCTTTTGGAAATCTTCAAATCGTGAAGGGAACGTGTTAATCAAAATATCAATATTTTGAATGAAAATGTTCGTATCGTAACCGAGCTCAAACTCTTCATTATATTGTTTGCGTCTAACACTGGGAAGAAATTATAATCATTTTCGTTAAATTGGTTTTTAAATGCGACCAATTTCAGCCACAGGTGGCCAAGTGACCACTGGTTTGGATAGCACTGCCATTGAATACTGTACGCTTCGCTATTTAGTTCTGCTTCTAGTCAAGGCTGTCAGTAAATTATGAAAGATGCTAAGATGACTTAGCTTTTCACATATATAATATTATTAAGCACACACACAAACATGTGCTCGGTATTTCAGATTTAGCAAGATAAACATTAAACCGAAAGGCCTTACCAGAGCATTAAGAGGGGTGTTAATCTCAAGCACTCTGTCAAAATTTTTATAATTATCACTTATTATCATTTTATCGCTTATCACAATCTGCGAAATGTAGACAGTAATCATTTATATGTATATATAAATATTTATGTACAAATGAAGAAACGCGAACGTGACATCAGCAAAAAATGTGTTAGTGTCAAACCACTCCGATTAGTGGTATGCGTCTTAATGATTCCCCATCAAATGGAGGCACCTACAACTTATCGTTGAACGGTCGATTGATTTTTTGAGGAGCTTTATTTTCATATCAGAAATTCCCACGCGGAGCTTGACACTCTCTGCCAAGGGGTGAGCGAAATTATAAAAATTAATTGTTCTGATAGGAATTGTAGTGCCCGATCCAAATTGCAACTCTAGCACATCTGACAAAAAAAAAATTCGTGCACGTTGCCCAAGGCATTAGCTAATAAATTGAAATGATTTCTCAGTTTTATGAGGTAAGTCGTTCTGCTCCTTTCAACTACATACTCTGGTGACCGATGTCCAGAGCATAATTGGAGTATGGAGCTAACACTTTTCCTACTCATCACTCGTCGCTCATCATTAACGTCCTGCTATATGGTGTAAAAGCGAAGATACTTTGTCTAAGATCGTAGATCGATAGCTGCTTGAGCCATACGTAAGATAATCACTTAGGGCCACTATCGTAACAGACTTCTACACATGGCCCCATTTCCTGTGACGGATCTACTTCGGCGGGTTCCGAAATATGGTTGGCTGTAGTAACACATTTTCGGCCAAGAAAGTTCATCAAGCTACCTAGCGTCGGATCGAAAGTCAGGCAGCCTAATCGATCATGTTGGGATTGAAGAAAAACATGTTCCTTCCGAAGATCTATCATCAACTCGAATCACTATCTTATCGCAGCGAAGATGTGCAGCTGCCTTTGTATATCAAAGAGCATCCGTCAACAAGAACAGGAAGAGACGACGTCACAAAACTGTTGCAATTTTAACAGACAGTGGAATAGTTTCCTAATCGACTTGTGCACCTGTTTTCGGAGAGCACTCAGCAGCAACCCATAAGAGAGAACTGTTTTCGACAGTGCCACAAAAAGAGCTGATGCAAAATTTCATGTAATTCGTTGTTGTTGCTGTTACAAGGGTAACCTTGTTTATGAGCAGGTAAATCATTGAGGTCGTCTACCGAGAGACCCTGAAAACGAGCTGTTTGGACGAGTTAGGAACACAGGGCAAGGGTTTTTAACCGGCAGGCAGAGAGATGGCTAGTGTCATGTGAGGACCATTGAATGCAGGACATACGTTGGTTATGTCGGAGGCAAGTCTGGATAGCTAGAAATTTAGTTGAGGCAGCTTGAGCTCTTCGTCTGCCATGGGTGGTGGTTTGACTATGAAAACGCTAATCACTGGAATTATGTTCCTAAGGGTGTTAACGGCCTCTCGATGAATTACGTTTAAACCCTGTCGGTAAACCGTCCCGCCCAGTAGTTCTTTTAATTAGTGTTGAATGTAATACTTATAAACGAATGTTTACTTCCTCATATGCCTAGGTCATGGTTCGGCTTCTCCTTATGGTAGCAACCCAGCAGATATTTCTTTACCACATGGCATTATGCTCCGTAATTCGCAGCATAGATGTTTCGCTAAACTTTGCTTCAATAAGCTTTCTGTTACGGACCTGAGATCGGAATTTTTTTGGCAGGCTTGTAGCTTCTTCATTTGCGGCTCGCTAGCCCCTGGCGTCCAGATCGCAAAAGCATAACATGTTCACGAGCCGGTACTCCTTAGTATAGCTGGTGTAGAAAGTAGCCGAGAATTTCGCAGGTTTACATATACAAGGTTTCCTAATAAGAGCTGTTATTATGAAACGTGTGTATTCCCAAATTATGTCACTTTTCTAGCCTTTTTTGACATATTACAAGTACAATGTAAACTACGCCAATAATAAAAATGGTACGATACACGCTTCAACAACATATTCATAAAGGTTGGAAACCTGGCAGAGACGATTCGTAAAACTGAAACATTTTTCGGTCGTCGTGAAGCACCTTGTCGGACCGCAATACCGAAATTGGTGAGACAAGTTAGTAATGTGAAGAATAAAACACGTGCACGTCGCACATGAACCACTGAGAAAAGCCTGGGTTTGCCCATTTCGCGTCCGTATTTTACATATTGACTTGTACCTTAAGGCATATAAAGATCAACTCGCACAAGGACTCAAGAAAGTCGATCATCAATAACGCCACCTCTTTGCTGATTGGGTCCTTGAAATGCTTGAAAACGATCCGGAATTTCATGGAAAAATCTTCATGACTAATGAAGCCCAATTCCAGCTCGTCAATAAGCAAAACTGTCGCATTTGGGGATCGCAAAAGCCTATATTTATTATTAAAAAGCCTCTCATTGGATCTAACCTTTTCCGAAAACAGGCTTGAGCAACAGTTACGGTGAATCGATTGTCCTAGCGAGCGATGATTAATGATTCTTAATGGCCGGAATGGGATGGTATTGATCTGAACAGGGCGGCATGACATAAAGGCTGCTCATAAAAATCCATTAGACGTTCGGAGGCGGCTTAGTATAAACTGTAGGTCCCTTCATTAAGATACATACCACACATTGGAGGCGGAGCGCGGTAGAAAATCGCTTAAGCGGTTACAAAGCGTTAATTATACACATATATATATAAATATATATAGGTATGTACAAATATTTATAGGATATTTAGCATTAGCTAACACCCACTGATACTATCATTAAATAATATTATATATAATCTCTCACGTTAATTTCAACACGAATCAAATAATATATGTATGTTTGTATGTATATATTGAATATTAACAACAGAATGCATCGTGCAAATAGAAATTGAACTCGTTTATCTCTTGCAAAGTCAAATAACTCATAAATGGTTCCGAAATTTTGAATTTTTCAAACACATATACACATTCACATATTTACATGAATACAAAAGAGTTTCTGAATTAAGAATTAAGAATATTTGTACATATGTATGTACGTACAACAAACGTGTGTAAATTTAATGCTTATGAAAATACGTAAGGTTATCTCTACTTCTTAACTAAGTAGCATTTTAGCACGCACTTGATTTATAATACCGCCCAAAAAATCTCGTTTTCATTTCTTTACTTATTTACTGGAGACTTAAGATTCCGATAAGAATTCATTTCAAGGAGATAAGCAACAAATGCAGAAAGTATTTAAGGAAGCTCCACCCACCCGTTGACTCTATGTTCAAATTAAGCCAAATCGGTTAGCACTTGCATATTTCCCTCGAAGTAAATTATTCTGCATAACGTCATAAAATTGTAACTAATACGCAGGAATGTAAACGAGTACCGTTAAAATAAACTTTTGCGCGTGTGAAGTGTGCTTAACGGATTTAAGAAATCGATTGTGTTGTATGCTGTCTAATTTATTTATGTATTTTATGTGTATTTAAAACAAAAAAAAAATAAATTAAAATTAACATGTCCATCGCTACAAAAACCGGCACCGAGATAACAGAGAGTATGATGGTATCCACAACGGTTGCCTCTTTGCCGGCAGGGCGAACTTTCATTTTCGGCACAGCTGATTATACTGTCTTCATTTTAATGTTGGTCGCCTCCGCTGGTGTTGGTGTATACTTTGGATTTTTTTCCAAATCTAAAAACACCACAGACGAATTTCTAATGGGTGGCAAACGCATGAAAACCATACCGATTGCCATATCCTTAGTAGCAAGGTTAGTCTCACAAGCGGTGTGGTGAAAATATCTGAAAATATTTTGCAAGTTTTTGAGATAATAAAAATTACAAGACCAAAATACTTTTTGAAAAGATAATTCAGATTTGGAGTACTTTCGTCTCCAAAAAATATAAAAAAAAAAATTTATGCAAAAAGCTTAACATTTTTAATACTCGTAACTTTGGTACTTAAAGTAAAGCTAAAACCCTCGCAGCTAGTTCGCGTGTTTTGTACTCATACTGTGATTTATTACTGTATCAAGTGTTTTTTTCATAGTAAATGAATGCTGAAATCATTATTAATTATTTATTATAAATAATATAAAGGTCTAATTGGTTTTTATTAAGAAATAAAACGCATATAATGTAATGTTATGGCCATGAATTTTGCTTTGTCATAAAGATAAGGGCTTGCCATTTTGTTCTAAAACTGATTGCGGGCAAGTAATAACCGCGACTGTTGGTCAAATAAAATCCGGCCGACCACCTTTTGTTGCAGCTGAAATCGTATGTCAGCAAGTAAACGTCAAATATTCTCCTCCAAGGCGCGAATCGTCTCGGATTTATCAGCGTAGACAACCGACTTCATATAATTCCCCCAAACAAATCCAGCGTTGTTAAATCGCACGCCACACGACAGGTCCACGATGCACAATAACGCGCTCAACAAAAGTATTCTTCAGTAAATTGATTGTTTCGTTGACTGTATGACATGGAACCCCGTCTTATTGCAAGCAAAAGACGTCCACATTAACAACCTCCAAGTCTGATACGAAGCAGTCAATAATCATGGCTATATAGTGTTCCCCATTGACATTTAACATTATGACCGGCTTAATTTTTGAAGAAATCTACACCAATTGCTATTATTAACCTTTCAAGCTAAAAGTGAGCTTCATCGCTGAACAAAAGTTTCTTGTAAAAATCGGTATAGGTGGCCACCTCTTTTGGGCATATTTACGGATGATGCTCGTTCGGCTTTAATTCTCGCATAAGTTGGCTTTCAAACCAAGATTCTTCCTCAAAATCTTCCATAAAGTGGGTGGGCATAGCTCCAATAGTTGCGCGCGATGACGGACGGACTCGTACGAGTCTTCTTCGATACTCTGCACCAAAGACTCTGCGTACTATGTCTCAGAGAAGTCTCATGATCCACTAGAGTAAAGGTGGTTCGAAACTGATTCAAGGTTGTTCGAATTACTGACTCTGCTGGGTGATTATGTCGACGGACTATTGGGCGTAGCGCGCGATGCGTCTTGAGAACGTAACCATTATTTTGGCAATGGATTTGAACGATTTGCAAAGGTTGATCCGAAGCAAGTCTGCAAACTTAACTGAGTGTATATAAATAAACAGTTGTAAAAAGACTAACTACGAGAAGAATATTACCCCCTCTCACTGGGAGTGCAAAAGCATTAACTTAGATAACCGCTCCGAAACCGTCACTCATTACCAACACATACCATTGTAAAGATTGCATGGCAACTTTCATAGACCAGGGATTACAGGATCTCAGCTCAAAAGTAATCCCTTAAGCATATCCTGATTTGTTTTGTGAGTTTTATTCTTTGTATGTCCAACCAATGAAAAAACTCAGAAGTCCGAATTAAATTTGTATACGCTGACGAAAGCGCTTTGTAACCGGTGCCTCCTTCGAACTGCTGATGGTTTTTTATGAAGAACCTTATTTTATGTGAGAATTGGCTCCAGTTGGAAATACTAAATGAAACCATCTCATTAAACGAAATCAGTGTCTTTCTCTTCCGGCGGATTTGAATATATTCAAAACTACGCTGGCTTGCCGTCATCTCTTTTTTCTCTGGAATATGTCAACTTTAACGCATAGCTCCTACTATAAATTCTTGGATGTTAGTAAGACACCACGATTTGATCCTAAGCCTTCCGAATGGAAGTACGCAATGCTAACCACTCGGCTACCGCGGCCGCGACTAGCATGCCAGCTGTTCCTACTTCGGACCAAATAGGCAATTGTAAAGTAAAGTCCTCTCTCGACGGACAAAAACCAAACTTGCAGAAACATGGAAAATTACAAAATCTGATTAGTCGGCGTTGGGAGTTTTTGAGAGAAAGGTTTTGGGTATAATTTATGGTCCTCTACGAGTTGGAAACGGGGATGAGTTGCATGAGATAAACGGCGATATTGACATAGTTCAGCGAATCAATAAACAGCGCCTGCGCTGTCTGCGCAGATAAGAATACTCCAGCTTTGAATGCATTCCGATGCAGCGAACGCCGGTGTGACCAGAGGAAGAGTAAGACCTCCATTCTGTTAGAAAGACCGAATGCTGAAAAAGCCGGCTGCACTTGGTATTTCCAATTGGAGTCAAACAGAAAGAAGGAATGAATGGCGCGCTGTTGTTAAGTCGGCTATATTCGCGAAAGCGGTGGCAACGCTAGTAAAGAGGAAGACAACGAAACGATGGCAGATGAACTTTTTAAGAAGGCACCACAGATTCAGATACCTAAGTATTTCAAACATTGACTTCAAACAAAAACGTTTTTATATTGAAATTCATCATTTTGCAAAAGATCCTGTCATTCTGGAATTTTCGAGTATTTTTTCAGTTTTTCGAACATCTACACGTATTGTATATTCATAGAAATTAATTGTAAACATCCAGACAGCATTTAAGCTGTGGTGTTGTAAATATTAAAGAAAGAAAAATTTGCAAATAAATTTGTAATTTTGAGATTTTATTAAAATATGTCTGTTAAAAAAATAACCAATTTTTTAACTGTAAGCGAGCTTTAGGATAATAGAGCAGAGCTTCCCAATTTGTTGCTATTTTATTTATTTTATCTATATATCTTTTTTTCAACTAATTACTTTCAGTCAACTATCTGCCTTATCTATAACTGCAGTTCCAGCCGAGAGTTATGCATTTGGATTCAATCAAATCTTTATTGTGGCTTCCATGATTTTGGTGGCTCCTTTACTATGCTACATTATTATACCAGTTTTCTATGAAAACAATATCTCCAATTGTTATGAGGTAAGAAAATGCTGAAATCAAATATTCAAAAATTAACAATTATATTGAATTTTTGCAACACAAATATTAATTCACTCAGTTTATAAAAATTTAAAAAATAACTAATAATAAAATATGCAGTTTTTCTAATAAAATGTATGTTTTAATCTATTTAATTTTTTTTTGTTAAAAAATATATTTAATTGGAATACCTTTATTATTATTATTTATTAAAAAAAAAATTGTAAACAAAATCTTAATTTCCTGATTTGTTAAAACTACGATATGTTTACATCGATTCGTCTCGAAGTTTAATATATAGTCTGTACAAATAAAGAGTTTTCCACTAGGAGGCCTATACTCACTGCTACCGGTAAAGTAAATTTTGTTACTTTTCTTTAACACCGGAAATTGAATTTGGTATTCTGGCGAACTGGTTACAATGTTTCAAAAAAAATTTGGCAGCACTGTTTTTTCGTCCATGTCAAATTACATTTGCCAGTTGATAAAGTAAGGAGCAAAATCGAAATGGAAGACGGTGCACAAAAAAATTAAAAAGTTTTATTAATTTGTTTATTAAATCTTAAATATTTGAACCTAATTATGGACAATATGCCTGGACAACATAAAAATCTGAATGAAAACCTTATCTTACAAAATAAAGGGCTATTTTTTAGTCTCGAAAACTGCTTAAAATACGGCTTTTGGTACTTTTTTCTTCATCTACAATGAATTCCAGGCCTAAAATATGCCTACCCATTTTGGTTTTTAATTTTTCTCAGACTTACAACACAAAATCAAACAGCAGATATTTTTGTTACCTACTATTTCGCTGGTAACAAAATTTAGAGGGTAACAGTGAGCTCAGAATACGAAATGGTAACAAAATTTACTGAATGGCAAATTTTAATACCTAGGTACATTTTGTTACCTCGACAGAATAGGCCTGTAGGAGGTGTTATTTTGAATAATTCAACAAAGTCGTGAAGTTATTAAATTCACTATAAAAAATTCGTCGAATAATAATCTTGACTAATGAGGCCCATTTCCACGACGACGGCCATTTCAATAAGCAAAACTGTTTATTGTTGAAAATCTTCTATTTTCTGCTGTTTGGTGCGGTTTATGCTCCGACTTTCACTTTTTCTAAAATGAATGGATTGCGCTATCGAGAGATAATTGATATTGTTTTATGGCCGGGTTGGGATGGTATTGATCTGACAACCCATTGATCTTTTAAAAAGTTGTTTTGAATATCAAAAGGACACCTTTTATTGGAAAACCCGTTGCAAAGAATTAAAAAATCCAATTTATTAGAAAACAAAATTAGTTAAATGTTTATATGAAAATAACACCCGTATATTTAAACGATTTAGAAAAATTTATTTAAAAAAAAATAATCAAAAATGTTGAAGTTATGCAGTTGTAAAATTAAATTTTAATTATTTTTACACATATTATTTATAATAATAATAGGTTTGTTTATTGAGCTGCTCTAGGTTACGCTAGGTTACTCTATCTCACAAAAGTGTGTTTCATGACACTTTTTTGCTTCTACTTGTTCTGCTCTTTGTTTCATGACTCTGCCCTAAGGAGAAATAAAGCAAGTCAGATCACGAAGGTAACTTGGAGCAAGCAATAAGATTTTTTTGACATACGTGGTAAGAAAAGGAAAGTGGGCAAAATATACGAAAGGGATGTTCACGAGGCACAATAAATAAGTTTAATATAAGTGACGATAAAAATAATAAATTTTATTAAGTTATCAGGTGTACAACTTTGCTTCCGCCGTTTTCCGATAGGTGGATGTACCGGCTGAGGCTGGTTGAAATACATAGATAGTGAGTGTGGACAGTGCCTAACGAATTGTCATCGCCGTTTCAGTGACAGTTGTTCTCGTTTTCGTATTATTCATGCAAAATGCGGCTGAAGCGCATCGAATGCTCTCAGAAACTTACGGTGATGCTGCTCTGCGTGAAAAAACGTGTCGGGAGTGGTTTCAACGTTTTATAAATGGTGATTTTGATGTCGAAGACAAACATGGTGGTGGAAGAGAAAAAACCTTCAAAGATTTACCACGAGCTCTTAAAACCGGGTGAAACAATCACAGGAGAACGCAACCGAACGCAACTGATGCGCCTTAGTCGCGCGCTAAAAGAAAATCGGCCAAAATATCAAGAGCGACATGACAAAGTCATCCTCCAACACGACAATGCTCGGCCTCACGTCGCAAAAGTGGTCAAAAAGTTCCTGGAAACGCTGAAATGGGAAGTCTTGCCCCACCCGCCGTATTCACCAGATGTCACCCCTACTGACTTCCACCTATTCCGTTCGATGGCCTGGCAGATCAACATTTTCAATCCTTCGAAGAATTGGAAAAATGGATCGCTTCATGGATAGCGTCAAAAGAGGACTCCTTTTTTCTAGCCGTGATCCGAAAATTGCCGGAAAGATGGGAGAAAGTTGTTGCTAGCAAAGGACAATACTTTGAATAATATATCTGTAAGCATATTTTCGCAATAAAGCTTTTAATTTTGGAAAGAAACGGCGGAAGCAAAGTTGTACACGAAAAAATTGTAAAAATTTTCTATTTTGTGCATTTGAAAATTGTTGCCCGAAAAATGTTTCATGAGCTTTTTGCTCTGAGTTGCTCTAACTTATTCCATTGTTTTTTTCGGCAGCTGCTCTGTTCTGCTCTGCTTTCAATCTCAATAAACAAACCTAATGTTTTTTGGGCTGATTTGTCAATATTGCGATTTCCGATCATTATCAGTACCTGAAATGTAGTGAGAAATAATATTATATTATTATAATAAATTATATTAAATTTTTTTTATTTTTAGTATTTAGAAAAACGTTTCAACAAACGCACCCGTCAGCTGGTAACAATTACATTCATTTTAAACGCCTTTCTAATTTTACCTGTTGTAATTTTCATTCCCGCATTGGCTTTTTCGCAAGGTAATTACGAGTATGCATACGTATGTAGGTGTATTTTTTTAGACGTGTGCTTTTCAATTTCTCAGAGTTGGCCCTTTGATAGCTGTTACTCGATTTATAATACTGAGTTTGATTTGCCATATCTTAAATAACAGATCGCTATTCGGTCGATATAATCCCCAGCAGAGTTGTTAATTCGGACCACCATGCATCGGTTTTGCACCACCTTTAATCCAGCGGATAGTGACCATCCTCAGACACACAGTGCAGTGTGCACCGAAAACGCTATTGCTGCTAGAGCACAGCATCGAAGAAGACCCGAATGAGTTCATTCGCCATCGCGCACAAAGTTATATGCTATAGACCCTTTATTAATGACTTTTGCGTGGCTGAAATGAACGATGTTGATGTGCACGAATTTGGTTCCAGCAACATGTCATACTGCCAACGAAGCAATTAATTTATTGAAGAAAACTTTTGGTTAGCGCATTATCACGCATCGTGGGCCTGTGGCGTGGCCTCCAAGATCGGGTTATGTTAAGTACCTTTTTCTAGGCAGTTAAGCCCGCGACGTGGGCGTGGAAGAGAATATTTGCCACATTATTGCTGACATACGGTCCTAATTGCTACAAGAATCCCGCGGTCACTTACCCAAACTCTTTTTTCAAAACGTAAAGGCAAACCGTTATATTACGTTTTAAAAATGAGTTTGGGTAAGTGAAAATGGTCAAAGTTAAATTTTGAACCAAAACATAAAATGTGCATTTTGATTTGAAACCCACTTGTCTAAAGAAATCGCCTTTTACAATGCAAGAATGATGGAAAATAATATAGAAATGAATTTCAATTACAGTAACTGGCCTCAATATACACATGGTCAATGCAATTGTTTGCTCAATATGCGCTTTCTACACAATGTTGGTAAGTGAATCCTAAAATCAGTAATTTTTAAATATTTTCATTAAATTTTCTCTGTTCTTAGGGTGGCATCAAAGCTGTTGTGTGGACAGATGTTCTACAAGGCGGAGTAATGCTTTCATCTGTGATATTAGTAGGCATTTTGGGCACCATGAAGACTGGAGGCTTAAGTAAAGTGTTTGAGCATGCCTCAGAAGGTGGCCGTTTGGCTATAAAGTAAGTATTCAGCTCAAGAGCTTAAATGGGTTTAAACGGCGAAAAAGGGTTTATTTTCAACAAATTTTTTTTTATAATAAAAAAAATATATTATTCAAACTATGTATTGCCTTAAAGATATGCATTTAGAAAAGAATTTCTGAAATTTACAAAGCGCTGGCATTGTGGCTTCATTTCCGTTGACCTATCGGTTAAAGAGATGCCTTGGCGTTGACAGTAGAGCTCATGACAGGATCATCCGAAGTGAAAAAAAATCGTGTTTTAGTTAATACCATTAACTGTAATTTGGACACAGGAAAGTGGACAAGGGAAAATTGGATTTTTGGCAGATTTTCCTCTCGAATAGTATCTCGAAGATCTAAAACTTCAACAAAATTGGTTGAGTAGTTTTCGAGTTCGTTACACAACCGACTCTGAAAACACAGTTTCGAGCAAAACACATTTAAAGTTTAAAATGCAGAACCTACCCGCCTCTGAGCGCGTCCCTTCCCAAGGGTCTATCTCCAAAATTCGTATTCGAATCGCTTGATAAGTTTGGGATAATATTCTGGAGATGTTGAAAATATTAAAAAGGCAATAACTATTTGATTCTTTGAGGCTGTGAAAACCATACAACACCTTAACTGAATGTAAACAACTTCTTGAATTCTCCTCTCCATAACAACTTGGTTATGGTTTTACTATAATACCAACTGTTCTTTTGTGATCTGTGTGTCTTACCCCATAAATTCATTTCGTACATTTTTCGACTAATAATACTTAGTTAATACAAATATTAAATTATCTCTCATCTGTTTACAGTTTTTCTCTTGATCCACGCATGCGAATCACTTTCTGGAATGCACTCATTTGTGGCACGATGATGTGGACGGGCCATGTTGGTCTAAATCAGAGTTGCGTTCAACGAATCGTTTCGTTGCCATCCTTGAAACACGCTCAAAGGTAAATATTCCTTTAGAAAACATACAATAATAAAACATAAATTTCAGTATTTAATGATTAATTGATTGACAACTGTCTTGCAATTCCTTAATGAAACATATAAAATATCTATTTGCAGAGCTCTTTGGCTAAGTAGTATTGGTTTTATCATCGTGATGGCTCTGAATTGTTTTATTGGCATTGTGATGTACGCTTACTATTATAACTGTGATCCAATTAAAGCAGGCGTAAGTTACTTTACAATATATAACCATGTAAAGGGTTATTTTTTTAGGCATCTGATTTCGGCATGATCGTATAAATTTCAGTCCCGATATCCGACCATTTTTGCAACAATTGAGATCGTATGTCCGGTGTTCGATCACATAACCTCACAAAAATTATCCAGCGGTGTTAAATCACACGATCTTGGAGGCCACACCACGGGCTTCATGTGAATTATTATCACTCCAAACGCGTCAATTTTGTTCATTAACGTACCCATCGAAACAAACTGAAGAAAGTTTTCTCGTGACAATTGGGATGGGCAGTCATTTCGTTTTTTGCCCATTCGCCGAACTTGCTACGCGCTTAATGGTCGTTTGGCTTCAATTCTGGTAAGAGTTGGATTTTGAAAGCCCGCAAATCAAGATTCTTCCGCAAAATCTTCCATAAGGTGGATGGACAAGGCCACAATTGTTATTCGGGAATTCTTCGGTACTCTGCTCCACAGCCGCAATAGTATCTTCGCTTGCACACCAGAGTAAAGGTTGTGGGGTCCATGTTTGCTGGAATTACCGACTATATCGACCGTTCGGCGAACCTAACCATTATTTTTATAATAAACCACAGATCTAAAAAAAAAACACCCTTTATAATTATGTATCCAGTTTACTTACATACATACCGTACGTTTATACAATTTTATATTTAAATCTTTTAAACTCCATTCAGCTGGTCAACAAGCCTGACAAAATGGTACCATTCTTTGTGCAAGACATAATGGGTCATCTAATGGGTATGCCTGGACTATTCATATCATGTGTTTTCAGTGCTGCGCTTAGTTCCATGTCTGCCATGTTGAACTCCTTGGCGGGTGTAATGTATTTCGATTATATACGACCGCGAATTAAGAAATATCACACAGATGAGCGCGCTAATTTCATAATGAAGATGATCATTATAATGATGGGTTGCTATTGTGTGGCTGGTGGCTTAATAGTGGAACGATTTGATTCAATATTACAACTAGTGATAACAATTACCGGTATTAATACTGGTTCGATAGTGGGTGTCTTCCTACTTGGCATGCTTGTGCCGCGCACAAATGGTAAGGTGAGTAGAGAGAGAGAGAGAGAGACAGAGAGAAATTAAAAACTGTTAGACATTTAAAATGGTTTCATCACGTTCAAATAGGTCGCTGTTGCTTCGATTATTTTTAGTATATCAGCGATGTTTTGGCTCATTACTAACGGTCAAATTAAGGCAAGAGAAGGCGCTATCCGTTACATACCGCTACCAACAAGTACTGATGGCTGTGCAGACCACAATTTGGATGTGTTGGCGGAATCAATGTGAGTTCACTTTAAATTGCTCAACATGTTTTGAATTTTGAATCTTTAATAAGTTTCTGCAAAGGAAATAAGTATGCAACAATTTTAATGGGAACATCGAAAATAACAATTATATGATGTTTTATCCAACAAAGGGAGGGACCGAAAGTTTATTCTAAGCCACCTCCGAACAGCTGAATTACACTCGGAGAGCTTAACACTTCCTTCCGTAATTAGAAAAACTTATTTTAAATAATTTTATATGTTGATCGAACTAGTACTCGAACCCTGGTCTTCGGAATGGCACTACGCAGTGCTAAACACTCGACTATTTACGAGCGTTACCAATTATTATTTTTTTTGCATATCTCCCAGGAAATCCGGCTTGAAGACTACTTCTATGACTTGTTCTAATATACGGGCAAATATTTTAATTTTTCTTAGTGAACTCCTCCTCCAATTTGTGGTGTGGTTCTTGAAGTTTATTCTGACCGATTTATCTAGATCTAGATATTTATATGTAATGACAAAAATACATACATTCGGCAGAGTTGATATTCCCAGCAAAGGTGCGAACGCAGATAGATAATTTTTCTACAATTTTGAGTATTGGTTCGACTAGAATTCGAATCCATGACACTGATAAATGGTGATAGGGATTTGCTTAAAAGGATAATAAATAATCATAAGCAGCAGAAGAGCCTAAGAGCGATTAAAAATAGCATGGGATAACTAATTTTTCAACCATTAAGTTTATAAGATCAAATTTTGATCTTTCCGAAAATTTGCTTGAAAAATGATAATGCGAAAAACCGAAAAAATATCGCCCATAATAATAATAATCTCCATCACATTATTTTAAATATAAATATCTTTGCATTTCAAGAGCCCTAAAAGGCTTGGAGGTACACATTAACTCGGCTCCACCTGCAAGTTGTGGCCGATCATGGAAGCGATTACCTATTTTATTAGAAAGGCACACCATTTAGCCTTTACGAAAGAGTTTCGGATTTGTGTTAAATAAAGAGCATTTAATTGGAAAAAAGTGCTGCTTGAAACCTATTGAATGCTTGTGGAAATCCATGCTATTACTACGCCGACCAATAAGTCATCCAGAAAGTGGTTTGGACGAATCAGAAGTGGTGATTTTAGTGTCGAGGCCAAAAAGCATTCTGGTGGGTCTAGACGTGTGAGGTGTACTATTAGCTGCCAAAGACCAAGCGAAATCTTTGATTCGAAACATTACCAACTACATCCAATGCTTGCGCTTGATACGTTCATTTGCGTGTAAAACATGACAAAGTGATTTGACTACATGACAACGCTCGGCCCACCTGTGGTATTTTTCAAACCATATTTCTTCTGACTACTGGCTTTTACGATGGATGCGAAACGATTTGAGGGGTCATTATTATTAAATAAAAATCTTTAAGTTAATTTTTCTAATTACGGTCGCCCCTCAGGTAGAAATGTCAAGCCCTTCGAATGTATTTATGACATGAAATAAAAGCTCTACATAAAAACCCCATTAGCCGTTCGGAGGCGGCTTGGTATAAACTGTAGGCCCCTCCATTTTCTGGAACAACATCAAGACGCAAAACCACAAATTGGAAGAGGACCTCGCCCGAAAATCGCTTTAGTGTTTACCAAACGCCAATATATTCAAAAATGGACAGAGAGGTGGGGAAAAGGTAGTCGACTTTAAATGATTTTTTTTTTACCTTTTTTTTAATAAAAGAAAAGCATATATGTATGTAATATAATTTTCCATGTACTATGTAACCTAAAATTCTAAAAAAGATTCAGGAAAAGTTTAATAAAAATTTAACTCAAATCCTTTAACTTCGCCTAGAACTTTATTCATTTCAGGGGAAGAACAAGAAATGAAATATATTTTATATGTATGTATAAGAAATTTTGGTGAATTTCTTTTAGTGCTTTCAAAAAGGGTTTTAAATATATTGTATTTATACATATTATAATATATTAACATTTCCTCTTATCTACCAAATGGTATTTGCTTTTCCCTTTTGCTTTCTTTATAGCTCAAATGTGACGCAAAATATTGGTTTGCAGATGCTGCCTCAGCATATCGAAGAACCGAAAGTGACCACCGCTTTCGGTAGTAATCGTGAATTTTCCATTTTCGAAATATCCTTCTATTGGTACAAAGTTGTTGGAGTCCTACTCGTATGGCTATTGGCTATTCCACTAAGTTACATTTGGCGTAGAGCTGAAGAGGATAAACTCGATCCACATCTTTTCTCACCAATAATCCGAAGCTACTTAAAAGGGCGTACACCTGTTGAAATGGAGGAGCTACCACTGAAAACACCCTTTCCGAAGGAGGCGCAAGAGTACAATTGCGGAACAACAATTTCAGTGCCGGAAAAAATTGCTAACGACAATTAAACAATCATGCGAATTGTTAGTAACGAGTCTAGATAAAACTATGTTAATTGTGTTAAGATAAAAACAAAAACTTTTTATAATATTTTTAAATATATTTTGTAAAATATATTATTGGGTTGCCCAAAAAGTAATTGCGGATTTTTCATATAGTCGGCGTTGACAAATTTTTTCAACGGCTTGTGACTCTGTAATTGCATTCTTTCTTCTGTCAGTTATCAGCTGTTACTTTTAGTTTGCTTTAGAAAAAAAGTGCGCGCAATTTTGTTTCAATTTTAATATGGAGCCCACAAAGCAGCATTTTCGTCATATATTACTATATTATTTCCGTAAAGGAAAAAACGCGGAGCAGGTAGCTAAAAAGTTACGAGATGTGTATGGTGATGAAGCCTTAAAAGGAAGACAGTGTCAAAATTGGTTTCGCAAATTCCGTTCTGGAGATTTTTCACTTAAAGATGAGCCACGTTCAGGTCGGCCAAATGAAGTTGATGATGACCAAATCAAAGCATTAATCGAATTGGATCGTCATGTAACTGAGCGTGAGATAGGAGAGAAGTTAAATATACCAAAATCAACCGTTCATTATCACATAAAAAGTCTTGGACTGGTGAAAAAGCTTGATATTTGGGTACCACATGTATTGAAAGAAATTCATTTAACACACCGAATCAACGCTTGTGATATGCACCTTAAACGCAATGAATTCGATCCGTTTTTAAAACGAATCATAACTGGAGATGAAAAATGGATTGTTTACAACAACGTTAGTCGAAAACGATCATGGTCCAAGCATGGTGAACCAGCTCAAACCACTTCAAAGGCTGATATCCACCAAAAGAAGGTTATGCTGTCTGTTTGGTGGGATTGGAAGGGTGTCGTATATTTTGAGCTGCTTCCAAGGAACCAAACGATTAATTCGGATGTTTACTGTCAACAATTGGACAAATTGAATACAGCCATCAAGGAGAAGCGACCAGAATTGGTCAATCGTAAAGGTGTCATATTCCACCAGGACAACGCTAGACCGCACACATCTTTGGTCACTCGCCAAAAACTGAGTGAGCTTGGCTGGGAACTTTTGATGCATCCACCATATAGCCCTGACCTTGCACCATCAGACTACCATTTATTTCGATCTTTGCAGAACTCCTTAAATGGTAAAACTTTCGGCAATGATGAGGCTATAAAATCGCACTTGGTTCAGTTTTTTGCAGATAAAGGCCAGAAGTTCTATGAGCGTGGAATACTAAATTTGCCAGGAAGATGGCAAAAGTTTATCGAATAAAATGGCAATTATATATTTGATTAAAGTTCATTCTAAGTTTTATTAAAAATGCATTTACTTTCTTTTAAAAATTCCGCAATTACTTTTTGGGCAACCCAATATATACTCCGAGTTACGTCCATCAAACATCCAAAGTACATTTTATTACATAATTTCCTACCAATATCTGGTGATCGGAAGAAACTAAGTGAATAAATAAAATTCAAAATTAAACAAAAAAAAATGATTACGAATTTACTTAACTCAAGTTTAGGTGTGTAGTCTGAAATACTTATTCGGTGCGAAAGCGTTTTCTGATAAGATTTCGACGTAATTTTCCTGTTTGTCGCGCGTAATAACACCAAGGAAAAAATTCCATTTGGATTTTGCGGTTCATTAAGCATCAGGTTTTTTGAATGGAGACGATTCTTATTCCCTTATTCCCTATGAATCATGTTGCTATTGCAGCGATTCAGAAATACTCCTTAGGAGCTGGTAAATCTAGTCGATGTTATCCAATTACCGGTGTCATCTAGCGAAAAGTCCAAAAACCGAGTCACCTTGAAAAGTGGTGCAAATGGATTGATGTCGTACGAGGACTCCTTGCATGCTGGTCGTACATTGGATGCGTCGTGGTCGAGTGGTATCTACCACAATATACCGATCTGAATGGCACCAAACCTTTCGTCTGCTCTGGAAAGTGAAATGGTGGTCACTTCGTTTCGTGGTGGTACGTTTCGTTTTTGTTGAAGCGTCTATCAATCATAGAGGTAGCGCAAAGGGGTGAGAGATTTATATGAATCGGTTTTAGAGGGCATGTGGACTAAAATGTCCAGAACTTAGCTATGTCAGTATTACTCGGGTTTCCAATAGTCGTTCGAGTTGTTAGGTTTGTTGCTGTTGTTTTTGTAGTTATATCGATTCTCCAACGTCACGAGGTTATCTAAAGGGATAAGGGGGTTGGATGACTTGGTTTTATGGGGCATTCAAAGATGTAGTTATTGTCGTGCGGAGACTCTTTACATGCAGGACATACGTTAAGTATGTCGGGGTCCGCGTTGTTGGTCTTCAACAGATGGCGCATTAATTTAAAGAATGCCATTCATAGGATGAAAGCTTATGAATATCTTAGCCGACTCTCGGCGGAAGGCGTTCAATGCCTGATCCAGATCCAGAGCCTTTCAGTACAAGTACTTCCTTCCTGTTGCGCTGCTGCTGGGATAACTGGGAGCAAAGGTGATAGAAGTTTCACTGTGCAATTTGTGTATATTCGACTTCGGAATGTTTTCCGTTACACTCCTCAGGGCGGTGGTCTGGCGTGCGTAATTTCAGATCGGCCCTGTTACGATCTGGTACATTCCTCCGCGTGGTAGGGGTGCAAGAATTTCGTTTTGTTTGTTGTTTTTTTGCGGCTACAACAACCGGTCATTTTTTGTGGTGATGATTTTCGGAACGGGAACAGCTTTCGCGACTGGGGTGAGTGGGATTATCGTACGATATGTTTTTCCGCTACAACAACATTTCGAAAGGTTTAATACTACCAATATTGTTGGCACCAATGGTTGATTCAGAGCAATAAGATATCTAGCCTGCAGTAGCGACGAACGGAATCTGTAATGATGTACCACTGAGCTGAAGTGATGGAAGCTTTAGTATCAGCGAAATTTGTATTATGGCGAAAATGCAAAATGCGATGTCAGATGAAAGTTTGATGTCTTTTCATTAACAATCCAGTGATGAAGCCCGAAGGATTATGAAATCGTCGTGGTTAATTTATAAAATCGGTCCAATATGTTTATGTCAGTTAATAAACTATATATAAGAAAAAGTGTCCAGTCGAAGAGACATACGAAATGCTAATGAAAACCTAGATTCGATTTTCAGGTGCCAATCAAATCCACCCCAAATGAGAAGCTATGTATTCAAGTTTAAATAATTATAAAAAATAAATACACTTTCAGGTAGTTCTTTTTATCTCTTTTGTATATTTAAACTCTTTATTTACAAAAGAAAGAAATGTATGTATAAGTATAATTGTATGGTTGTATATTTAAATTGTACAGATATCTTAAAAGATAGTTTTGTTTACGGCTAAATTAAAATTAGTATTGTTTTTGTTTTCTTTACAGTTGTCACCACAAAGCAACACTGGCGAAATGTATATTCTTATTTCGCTTACAAATATTTGTGAAAATCCATTCACGTTTTTGGAAAAAAAAGAAATGATTGTGCCAAATCCCATATTTGTACATACATACATATGTTTAAAAGCGAGTTAAATTGTTTGATATTTTGCTTTCGGGCGTTGTTGGGCTTGGATTTGTAGTTATTAAACTTTACAACCACTACGCAAAACTTTTACTTCTATTTTCAGAAAAACCGAACGCAATGAAAGCTCTTGTTAGATTAAATTAAAGAAAAGGATTACGAAAAGTCATATGGCCAAAAAAAAAAATTTCAAAAAAAGAAATTAAAAAAAAAAATATTTTAAAAAAAATTAAAAAAAAAAAAANAAATTAAAAAAAAAATTTAAAAAAAATTAAAGCGGCGAACTAGTATATTTGCAACTTCAATTAAATGTTGCAAATACTTTACAAATAGAAAACGAGGGAGATGTACGTACATTCTTAGCGATTTCATCAATAAAAAGTATATTTTTTCTTTAAAGTAATATTTAAATATATGCGTGTATTTTCTGTGTTTCACCAATGATTAAAGAAGACCAACATGCATTCAGATATAGATTGCTTAACTAAAATTACTTTTCTTAAGAGATGTAAAACGTAAACTTTATAATTCATTTTGACCGAGTGAAAGTATTAGATAAAAATAATAGATTTGTGCGATTTCTGAGCGCAGATCTAGTCTAATTGTATTATATTATTGCTCTTCATATTCATTTCTTTGATTTAAATTTTAAGTATAATTATTAACTTTAAAATTCATTTATTTGCAAAAAATTTGTTATTTTAAAATTTTCCATACGCACACACATGTTTATTGTTTGATACATTTTACAGTTTATATTCTAGGTTAGTGTTATAAAATATTCTCTGCATTAATTAGTAAAATTTGCAATTACAACAATCAATGATTGTTTACCGTTTATTATTGTTAATAATCTAGATTTATTGTAGATTTTTGTATTTATTTTCGCATATAATTACATACATATATATAACCAACTATATAATGTTATGCATATAATTATGTATAGTCAAAGTGAAAGAAAAAACATAAAGCGAAAGATATCAAAACTTATGCGTTCTAGCATAAATTGTCCATATAAATTTTTGCCATGAATAGTGAATCAATCTAAAAACATACAAAAACAGAAATAAAACTACACATTCATAAATATATTTTTCAGGCGGGTTGTGTGATAGACTTCCGTGCATAAAAATGGCTTATAACATCGGCAATTTGTTACTCCTTCTTGGTGTATAATTCTTCTCCACACTTTCTATATATATATACATATATATATATATAAAGTTGTTTAAATATTTAAATGTCCATCATGGCATTATTACTTTACTATTGTTGCAATTATTGTGGTCGATGTATATTTGCATATTAAGTTTACAAAATCGTTGCCACGGAGCCGTCTGTATTTGCATTGGTTATAGATGGCGAAACAACTTTGGGAACGCCTGTATAAAATTTGAACAAATATGAGTGCCAATATTCTACAAAATTTTTCAAAACTCTACTTACATAATTCATTTTCTGGTTTAAGACTATCTTGATTGTTTGTGTTAATATCGTCCTCAGAATTTGTAAGTTCAATGGTAGCCTGATTTTCAATGATCGCTTCTGCTTTTGCGTTGGGGATTAAATCTTCATTTGTTGTTGTCACTGTATTTACATTGGCTTCTAAGCTCCCCACGTCACAAGCAACCGGTGCTTCTGGGGCAACTTCTGAATTTTCAGCAACGTTATTAACATCATTAGTTTGAACTACGGATTCTTCATCTGTAATATTGGAAACTGCAAGTACTTCCGGAGCTTGGGGTTCAACAAGCGGCGCGGAACTCTCACTTTCGTTTGCAGTTGGTGCTGTTGTAGCTGGAACAGTTTCAACGAGTTCAACATCACTACTCTTTGAATTTGAATCGACCTCCATCGGTTCTATTGTAATTTCTTTTGGCACTGTGACTGTTGACGCTGTTACTTCTGTTGGTTCAACTTTAGCATTGCTTTCGTCTGTTTCCGAATTTGACTCTAATTCGGATGGCACTGCCAAGGGCTCTTCCTCAGGTGTGGGCTCATCTGTTTCCATTTGAATTTCACTTTCATTCTTTACTGGTATTGGCTCTTCTACAGCTTTTTCACTTTCTGCACATTGCTCTTCATTTTGTTTTGAAGCATCTATTACATCTGCATTTGTATCGGGCATCTCCTCTGGCTTTTCTATATTCTCCTCTTCTTTGCTCTCGGTGATTGCTTCTTTTACCTCAGCAGCAGCAGATAATTCGGCAACTGGTTCGGATTCTTCTTTCAGTGGGCTCGAAGATTTTTCCGCATCAGCCTGAAATTTGAAAAAGTTAATTTTATTGCAATGCATTTAACTAAATCTAGTTACCTGTTTTTTATTTGTGGTCTTCGATTTTTGCGTTGTTTTGGTCACTTCTTTGGGCTCATCTAAATCATCTGATATGTCAATTTTCCTTCCACGACCTTTACCGCGAGAGGGTGTGTTGCTGGCATTGGCTGGTGATGTTCGCGCCTTTTTCGCAGGTGGCGGAGTGGATACCGCTGATGCACGTGTTGGTGTACCTCGTGTACTAGATCGCGTACGTCGACCTCCATCTAACTCTAAACTACCACCCATATTTTTCACAAGTTCTTCACTTTCCTTCTGTGCACGTTCTATAAATGACATCCGCTTGGAGGGAGTACGTTTGGCCTAAAAATTATAATAGCATATTTATATATATAATTAATATTTTATTAGTTTTATGCCAATTGAAGTTGGACTGGTTATGGAAAAATAAAAAACAAGGCAATAGTACAGATAAGGATTCGAAAAAAAACAAGTTTTCTTAAGAAAAATAAAAATTTGAAATAACGAAAATAGCTGTGGGCAACAAAAAAAATGCATATGGCGGTATTTTTTGGCATAATCAGCTCCTTGCTCTCCGGATGAATTTTCCAGAGTCGAAGGCTTGGGCAGATCAACTCCAGATGTGCATTTTGAAATTGTGAAGGGTTTTTGTTTTTAAAAATATTATTTACTCTAATACTAATATTATCTAGTTGCACACGCTTTGTATTCAAATTATAAATGTTTTTCAGCTTTTAAAATCTTAATGAAAAATGTTGCACTGTGCAGGTTACGAGCGCGCGCAAAATTCAGCCCAATACAAGTGTATCCATGAAGTACAGCAAACCTAAAAAACAACAGTACGTATGTTTGTATGTATATAAAACGAAGGCACAAAAATGAAACGCAAAACACAACTCCGTCAAAATACTCGCTCGTTGTAACGTGAGGAAATCAGCGAGTATAAACAGTTAAAATAAAACACAAAAAACAAGAACTTACGATTAGAAATGAATAAAGAATATTAAAATAGCGAATGAACTAGGGACAAGGTGAAGCAGCACAGTCGCAGCAGTATTTAATAAGCTTCGTGAGTACGTCATAACAACAGATACTGATAAAACAACGTCGGGGAGGGGAACGTTGAACATACATAGCATTATGCATTACTTATTACAAGACGAGTAGTAACGAATGCTAAGGATAAAAATGCGCGCATTTTATGTTCCGAATGATAATGGATTTCAATAAATGATTATCTCTGCATATCGTAAGCATTTCAAAATCTTATTGTGCAGAGTATCTTCGCCTTTAATTTGAACTATAATCAACATTCCAGATGGTTCGGCAGATAATTAACTGCACATTAGGGTTTACATACATATGTAAATGTTCGTACTGGATTATATCGCACGGCATCGCTAATTACAGCAAACCATACGCGTACGTAATCCATGAACACTATCTGAATATATTTAGAAAGAATTAATGAACTACACAAAATATACTTACGGGTGTCTTCTTGTTTTCCACATTTGGTGAAGATTCCGCTGATTTTGCCGCCTCCGCAGCGCTTGTACCCGCATCGCCTGCTCCAGCTTTAGCTTCAATGCTGTTGTTGACCACTTGCTTTTCGGCCGCAGCAGGCGTCTCTGCCTCAGTCGAAGTAGGCGCGCTTTCTGCCACGGTTGCGACCTCTTCTACTGTCGTCTGTTCGACTGGTACAGTATTCTGCTCGATTTCATTACTTTTCGCAACCTCAGACATTTTTACGAATTTTCTGTTTATTACTACTTATTATATCAAAACCTGGGCAAAATAAACTTTTCCAAAATAAAATTTTGCACCTTCAATATGTACTTGATTAACAACAACGCGGACAACGAAAACTCTCTGAAAGCACCTTTTAACTACAATGTTTTTATAAAACAACCACAAATTTTTATATTTAGTATTGTTACGCCCAAATGCAGTTCATCAAAATCACTTCTCTGTGTAAATTATAATTTATTGGATACGAAAACATGTAAATTTTGTAAAATAAATTTTCCACTTCACAACGTAACGCCGCGCATCCGTTTAGATTATTACTCGTATATTTTCAACGAATAACTCTTAACGAACAGTGTTGCATTTTGATTAATTCGACGAATGCATTTACGACAGAAGAGATCTCGTTCAGAAACAATCGGTGAGTTTATTATAAACACTGCACTTTAATCTCTTTAATGCTGGTTTAAATAATTACCTATTAATACAGGCAAAAAGCATTACACCTGTAAAAATTATTATAATATATTATTTTAAGCACGTGTCTGTTACAAATAACAAACTAGTAGACATTTCCCTTGATGTGAAATTTAAAAAGATGTCATAAAACAACGAGTGCATGGTTGGCAGCGCTGTCAACAGGGTAGCAACGTCCTCAGAAAATCTACACATCGTCAGTCGATAGTTTAAGGCTAATTCAAATAAATCATTTGGATAATTGGCAAATATGGACTTACTTATATGTGTATCTATAAAACTTGTTTCCTCCAATGAAGGTATTTTTCTTCAATTATTTTTGTATTAAAAAAATTAAATCTCTTATATAAAGTAATAATTGAATGTGTAAAGAAATTTTCACTATCAACTCTTTGCGATATGCGGAAAGAATTAAGAAAAAAAAAAAATGGATGTTAAAATCAGCTAATAGTTGAGAGAAATATACCAATTTTTACTGAACCGTGTTCAGTGAGGTTGAAACTCGGTAAAATTTTCACCAACCGACTGCAATTTTGATATTTAGTTATTGCTAATTCTTACTTACATTTCTCACTAAACACAGCTATCATTGACAAATTACTCCTATCAAAAAAATTCCGATTTTTTCAAATAATATTTCTGTTTTGGTTTTCTTATTATTATTTGTATAGAATTACTTTTTATTCATAGAAAATATGTCCTTTAGTAACATGTTAAATGAAATAATTTCGCTATATAGTACTGTTTCGAAAAGTACTTATTAATTGCTACTAAAGTTTATTGATTAACAAAACCTCGACACCCTGTCCAATTTAATAAACAAACACTATTTTGACAATTGCGAAGTATAAAACGAAAACACCCAACACGTTGTTGGACTCCATTTATTTCAGATAATTTGTAAATTTTGTTTGCTATAAAAATGGTTACTCAGGAACAAGTTAAATCCATAGGTGCAGTGCTAAATAACAAAGAGCGCCCACTAAAGGAGCGTTTTCGTGCTTTATTTACATTGAAAAATCTCGGAGGTGCTGATGCTATTGAAGAAATTAGCCGGGGATTTACAGATGACTCAGCCTTGCTAAAGCATGAATTAGCATACTGTCTAGGACAGATGCAGGACAAAAAGGCTATTAAGATATTAACAAATGTACTTGCTGATGCTGGACAAGAACCAATGGTGCGACATGAAGCTGGTGAAGCACTTGGTGCAATTGGTGACCCTGAAGTCATACCAATACTGGAGAAGTTCAAAGGAGATTCTGTTATTGAGGTTGCAGAGACATGTACAATTGCCTTAGAACGTGTACATTGGCTGCAGAGTGGGCAAAAAGTAGATGATAACAATCCCTATGCATCTGTTGATCCGTCTCCTCCAGCGCCGGGCAACAAGAACGTTGACGACTTAAAAGCAATATATTTAGATGTTAATCAAAGTCTGTTTGAACGATATCGTGCCATGTTTAGCCTACGTAATTTGCGAACCACTGAAAGTATTTTGGCTATCGCAGAAGGTTTGAAAGATCCTTCAGCATTATTCCGACACGAAGTTGCTTTTGTCTTAGGACAAATACAAGAACCATGCAGTATTCCTTATTTAAGGCACAACTTAGAGGATGGAAACGAAAATGAGATGGTTCGTCATGAGTGTGCGGAAGCATTGGGAGCGATTGCTACGGAAGAATGTATAAATATACTCGGTCGCTATGCGGACGATGAAAAACGTGTTGTAAAAGAAAGTTGCGAGATAGCGTTGGATATGTGCGAGTATGAAAACAGCCCCGAATTCCAATACGCCGATAGCTTAAATAAACTGAGTACATAATATCCCAATTACATGTACATACATACATACATATATATATATATAGATATATATATATATATATATGTTTATTAGCACGTGATATATACTATAAAATTATTTGATATGTATATACTTGAAAAATAGAAAGTACTTTGTATTAAAAATGAAACATTTTTAAAACCAACTTGTATTGTACTAATTGTTTTATATAAAGATCGGTAAGGGTATTCATGGTTAAATCTCTGGAAGAAAAGGCACAAGCTGTTAATATAAATATAATTAACAACATATAAATACCAGTAAATATTTCTCTTGGGGAGATATTTATATAAATTTCATAAGTTTTTGTTTTCGAATATTGATTACTGTCATCGTATAATAGCTCCCAATGGTTGCAACTCTGGTTTACCGGCAATATTTGTCAAATTTCCAGTATGACTTCTGCGCATCAGAACATGGATTTGCCTTCCCGCTCTTTCAACCGGTCGCGTTTGCAAACCAATTTGCTAGGTAAAAAAGCTGTCATGATTGGTACAATTTTGGCATTCTTTTCGTTGTTCTCGTACGCAATGGCAGCAAACAAGGAGCGCACTTTTATCATGGTTAAACCCGATGGAGTCCAACGTGGACTTGTCGGTAAGATCATCGAGCGTTTCGAGCAGAAGGGCTTCAAGTTGGTGGCTATGAAATTCACATGGGTAAGTGCAAGGTTTCAGTGGGTGGCAGCTAATCGAATTAACTGTATCTAGAAAGGCGAAATGGTAGATTGGAATTTCGGACTTTCCAATGTAAATTTTCCCCCCGAGAGATAAAAGTAAGGTTAGGTTTTTTTAAGGAAATATTTGCCACATGTGTATAATTTGTTTTCAAGGTGAATAGTGACGCTTTTTTATTATTTATTTATTCTTTGTTCTTGCAATTTATTCATGATGTTTTCATCTCATATCTCATTTCAGGCATCAAAAGATCTTTTGGAGAAGCACTATGCTGATTTGTCTGCCCGTCCCTTCTTTCCCGGTTTGGTCAACTACATGAGCTCTGGCCCAGTGGTTCCCATGGTTTGGGAGGGTTTGAATGTTGTAAAGACTGGTCGCCAGATGTTGGGTGCCACCAACCCTGCTGATTCCTTGCCCGGTACTATTCGTGGTGATTTCTGTATTCAAGTCGGTCGCAATATCATCCATGGTTCGGATGCTGTAGAATCAGCCAACAAGGAAATCGCACTTTGGTTCAACGAGAAGGAGCTGGTTTCTTGGCAGCCAGCCGCTGAAAGTTGGGTATATGAATAAATAACTGTTTATATATCAGCACGAGCGCTCAGAAATAAAATGTTATTAAGTAAAAAGTACTCTTACATTTCTGCCAATGAATTCCAATAAAATGATGTTATATAAAAACTATTATTTTATTTCTATAAATAAAAAAGATTTCAGAAAGTTGAAGGATGAGGCAAAAATAGTAATGATTATGTTAAAAAAATTAAAATAATGAAATACAATGCATTAATAAAAGCAACAAGTGGTTTTTCAGCTAATTAGATGTCCTATATGGTACCCATTCGATTGCAGGATTTTCTGGAGGAAGGACCCAACCACACGGTATGAATGTTCCATGTTTACTTCGTGTTATAAAACTATCCCAAATTCGGCGAATCCGCAGGAAATCTGCCATTTTTTGCTCAGTACAATGGTGTGGACGTAAATCTACGCCAAAGAAAATCTCGTTCCACTGATCTTCAACATGCTGTTCTTGTGCACATTCAGATTCGTTCTCTTCTAATATTTTGCTCCAAGAGAATCGCAGATTCTTAAGTTGTTCTGTAAATTTCTTCGTGTTTTCTGCATTCTGTTCACGAGAAATATGCAATGTCTTTAATAATTCAAATGTCTCAAGGAAACGTTGAGCATCATGTCGTTTTAATAAGCGCTTATGAAGTTTGGGTTGTAATGATTCCGCTTGATAGTTTATAAGCGCTTTGTAAGTCGAGGGTTTTGAAGGTATTTCGGAGTTATGTATTATATTTGATTTCGTTGAAGCTGTTAGATTCATTGACTTATTCCGAAGTTTTAAATTAGATTTAATTATTTTTAACTTAGCTTTCTTTTTCAGGCGTTTGAGCTTATTTCTCTGCAATAATTTTGCAATTTTTTCCAGCGGTGCCTGCTCTGCGAAATGAAGAAGTTTATCAGTTTGTTGTTTAAGGCTATCTAAATGCAGTCCATCACAATTATCGTTCGCAAATTTTTCCAATTTCTCAATATTGGCACGTATGGTCTCAATGCAAATTTTAAGATGCGTAGCCTTTTCTCCATTTAATTCTTTCGCAAGATATTGTGACATATTTCAAAATTTTTGGAATGTGTATCCGATCAATAGATGAATTCTTTATATTAAAATGTTATTAAATCCAAGCCTTCAAAATAGTTAAATAAAATGGCGGATTTATGCAAGTAATGTAATCGTATAAAATGGAACTTGTTTAATTTTTTGTAGCATAACGGTTAATCTTTCTTTGCCAGTACTTCCTTCGCATCATTTACTACCTGCGTGGCGGTCACGTACTCCTTTGTTTCCTTAAGTTCTTCTTCGTCTACTAGAAATTTTTCAAGCACTTCTAATTCTTTTTTTAATCTGTGAAGTACAATACTCTGTTAAACATTATGCCATTAAAAATGTTTGATTTATCTTACCTGCGTAATGTGTCTGGAAGCATCATTAAACATTCCGATATCACCTCTTCTTGTTTTCTTAAAACATGCTCGTCAGCACCTTCACCCTTGAATCTTTCCAAACGATTCTGCTCTGTCACCACTTCCTTCTCGCAAACTGTTTTCTCCTTCGTTAGACGCTTGACAACACCTGTTTTTATTGTTAACTGACGTAAGCGAGGATCTGCCATGTATTCTGCTGTGGAAAAATTTTTTGACAAAGCTAATTTGAAAAGCTCGAATTTCTGTCAGAAGAAGCCTAGTTTTATATTTATTCCGTCAATAATTGGAGCCAAAGTAAATGCACAGGAGACAATTCTCTTTACTTAGTTTTATAAAGTGAGTCATAAATCGACCGGCAATTTATTTGTTGTTTTGGTGGAGTTGACTGTAATGTCAAAATTTGCACATCGGCTATACACGATAAACATGTGCATTCACAATTATTGAAACCCAGCAGACAAAAATTTAGTAAACACAGTAATACAACCACGGATAGTACTGATAGCTTCACTTCAAATGATTTATGCGAACAGAAGCAGTGTGGTTCCATTGAAATATTCATATATATTAAACTACTTCTTATATATGTATATCTTAAAAGTTTTTTTTCTTGAATTTGTATAATACACCTATGCAGAATACAGCCGGTAAGCAAATTAAAAACATTTATGAAGTTCTACCTTATAACGGTCAGCAAAGGACATTGTACAGCCTCCTTAGACTATAAAACTGAGCGTCTGTTTCAGGCTTGAGATCACAGCTGTAATCACCTGATCGATTTCGTGCTTCATTTCTGTTGCCATTCTTGGCTATAATTTACATCAGAAACGTCTGAAAACGTGCTTGGCGATTTTAACGCCAAGCGAGACTGAATCTCCCCAAATTTCCGATATAGATATTTAGACTACGATGCAAAATATCCCATCACGCTGCTTGCCTGTCACCAGATCCAAAAACTCAGAATCATAACAATCATGATGTGTAAACGGAAAACATTTCTCCATTTCAAGCTTGATTGGAACCAGCATTTCGTTACAGACATAGTACACATCCACCTCTGTGTGGACACCAGCATTTCGTTACAGACATAGTACACATCCACCTCTGTGTGGACACACACGCGCAACAGCACCACTACAAAGTATTTTGACGTTTTGCAATTCGCGAGTCGGAGTTACAAAGGTTTTGGTTATGATTTATAGTATTCTACCATACGGTGAAGACCGCAGCCGATGGAATGACGAGCTGTATGAGATATATGGCGACATAGCCACAGACAGCCAACAGACGCCATTACGTCGGTTAGGTCATGTAGTTCGATTGGTTGAGTATACTTCAGCTTTGAATGTTTTCGGTGCAGTACCCACCGTTGGAAGCAGATGTTGGAAAGACTAGGTGATGAAGGAACTTTTTTCACTTAATTTTTTCAATTGGTATCAAATACAATAGAAAGAAAATAAGCAAGGATATAATGGCATAAGCGGTGTCTACCGCCAGTAAAGAAGAAAGTCGAATCTCTGCGATTCTCAGCTACAAACTGGAGTACGTCATAATACTTACTCATTTGACTATTTTTTATTGCTATGCGTTCCTTTATAATTTTTATATTTTTTATTTTGTTTCATTAAGCCGTCTTTATTTCTCTATTCAAATTTTTAAAATTGCAACCGTAAAATTTCCAATCATACAATTGAAATGTTTCATCTTTATTTAAGCAACTCCAGCTTTTACATTTATTTATATTTATATTCATATATGTATGTATGTATATTTTTGGGGATTTTCGTTTATTTTTTTTTTCATTAATTAGTACACATTCACTGTCTATTCATGCTTTGCTTTATGCATTCAAGTGATTATTTGCAATGTTTGTATGTCTGTATGTTTGCCTGTATGTATGTAGGTGTTTCTATGAGTCTTGGTCTTTTTAATTTACCCAAAATTTAAACTTGGTTTTGGGAGAAAAGTTTTTAATTTCTTTACTTGTTTTTTATTTAATTTTTTTTTTTTAATTTTTTCAAGTCAAGTCAAGTCTAACGGTTTTGCAAATGCAAATGGTGTGTTGAAATGTGGAAACTTGTGGTTGTGTTGTTGGAGTGTGTGCTTATGTCGGCGCGTGTTTCGGGGAAAAATGGACAAATTGTAAAAGTTTGTAGTGTTGTTATTGGAGTGCGTACATATTTATGTACATATATATGTATGTATGTATGGATGTGTTCATTTACGTTGAATAGGGTAAAAAATTACGAGTATTACCAACTTTGGTTGGGTTCATTCACAATATGTATGTATGTAGATACCATATATATAAAAAACTTAATAATAATTATAAAAATTAATAACAAAATGAATTCAATTCGATTGAGTCTCACAGTTTGGTGTTGAAATACAGTACAATACACATCTAGTATACGAATATACGAATATACGCTTTAGGAAATTTATGAGTTTGCGTACAACTAAATTGTTTACTTTGATGATCACTAATGCAATAGGAAGAGGATGAGTTGTTGTTGTTGTTGTTTTTGATGATGATGATGACGATGATGATGATGACGACTCCATTGCCAGCGAGAATTGACAAAATTTTGAGCCTTCATCATTCGCTTCTACTATTAAGTAAGCGGTTTAATTATAAAATGTATGACCACTTTGTTGTAAGTGTTTTGATGTGGGGGTTGCGCGCTTCGTATGATTGCTTGGCGATATTTGTTAAAATTGTGTTGCAGTTTGATTTCCTGCGAAATGATTTACGATGACGGTATAGATTGAGAAAGATATAAATATAGTGTACAATTGAAAATAATATTATAATCAATTTATAATTGATCGCAAAGGGAATAGCGTCGCGTGTGGCTGCAGTTAGTATGGAAGAAACTACCGTATTATTTGCAGTAGTGTTAGTATGCTCCATGGTAGGTTGTGGTGTGGTTGTGGGTGTGATTGTGCTTTGATTAATTTGTGTTTTTATTGTTGTGTTTCTTTTGATTTTTACGTTTTCCGTGTCTTTTATTTGGTTATTGGCTACTTGCGTAGGGAATGATGCAATCACTCTTGACTGGGCCGAGTTGAATGGTGAAGTCAATGCACATGTTGAATTTGTGTTTGTTGGTGGTTGTGTTGGTGGTGGTGTTGCATTGCTAATTGTAGCAGAGTTGGTGTTGTGTGTGTTGTTTGTGTTATCGTAGTTTTCGTTTATGTAGATGCTTTTGTTTTGGTTTTTGGTTTTGTTTTCGCTCACATTGAATGTCATAGCTGTACTATCATAATAATTGCTTATCATATTCATATTCATATTCATATTTTTGTTAATAGTAGTAAATTGTAGTATTCTTTTAAATTTATGCTTATTAAATTGTTTCTTTTGAGATTTATGAATAAATTTCACTGTTGTTGCTTTAACGGTTGTTGATGTTGTTCGCCACCACCATTTTGACAACAACTTGATGGACAACAACACTAGTGTCGACGACGACGATGATGATGATGCTGCTGCTGCTGCTGCTGCTGATGATGATGATGATGATGATAGTAAGAATACGAATTGTTGTTGTATTTGCTGTATTTGCATAATAATTGGTTGCTGTTGTGATTTATATTTCTGCTGGCACTCTAGTTATTTCTTCTTCTGTGCCTTCTCGGCGGCTTTTGTGACTTTACCCGAGGTTGTTTCTTTAAAGGTGACAGACTTAATGACCCCCACAGCGACCGTTTGCCTCATATCGCGTACAGCGAAACGCCCCAACGGCGGAAACTCTTGGAAACTTTCAACGCATAACGGTTTAGTTGGCACCAACATTATAATGGCCGCATCACCAGACTTAATGGCCTTCGGATCGGTTTCGGTAGTCTTGCCAGTACGACGATCACATTTTTCCTTAATTTCGGCAAATTTGCAAGCAATATGAGCGGTGTGACAATCCAATACCGGTGTATAGCCGTTAGCTATCTGACCAGGATGATTAAGTACAATCACCTGCATTTTAATAAATACAAAAAAAAATAAAAGAAAATAAAAAACGTCGTTGATGTGTTAAAATTTTATTTACATATGTACATACTTACACACCTTTATACTTGAGCGTATAATTGTCAATTTAATCGAAACTTAAACAAACAAACTCACCTGAGCAGTAAAATCAGCGGCACCTTTGGGTGGGCAATTTTTAGAATCTCCGGCTACATAACCACGACGCAGTTCCTTCACCGACACGTTCTTAACATTAAAGCCGACATTGTCACCGGGCATGGCTTCAGACAGTGCTTCGTGATGCATCTCAACGGATTTTACTTCAGTTACCAAGTTGACTGGAGCGAAATTCACCACCATACCTGCGGAAATAAAGAAAGGGATGGCATGATACTGCTCTCTCGCTTGAAATTGAAAGGCCGCAATAATTAATACATATGTACATATATGCATGCATGGATATGCAGGTATGTGTGTATACACGCAAGCGTACCGGCAAGCGCTAACGAATACGAGCATATCTTCGGTCGTTTAATCGTTGCCCGGAAACGGAACCTTACTCGGCGTGCAAGTGGTGTTCTACCCGGCAAATATGTAACAGTATAAGCAAAATTATGCAACTAAACTGAAAGAACAGCTAGTTATAAGCATACATACGCATTTATGTATGCATATTAATAGCGAGCACTTGCGACCCACTTTTATAACTTCGGTTGCGCTCTCACTAAATATAATACATACATATGTACGTACATATGTACAGCAACAGTTATTATACTCAATATTCACCCACCCACGAATTGACGACTTAACCCAATACACACACATCACTCCTCTATACAAACTTGACGCAACCGAATCCGGTGCCTGGACTTGCAGACAAGACATACATATATACATATGTACAGCCCTATGCACTTTTAAAAATTCCTTCACCCAGCACAAATATGACTAGTCAGATATACATACATATATACATATGTACAATTGTTATTTATGTACATACCTGGCTTGAGTATACCCGTTTCCACACGTCCTACTGGCACCGTGCCGATGCCACCAATCTTGTAGACATCCTGCAATGGTAAACGCAATGGCTTGTCGGTGGGCCGCTGCGGTGGCATAATTGCGTCCAGCGCATCAATCAAACATTTGCCCTCCACTTTACCCTCCTTACGTTCAACCGTCCAGCCCTTGAACCATGGCATCTTCTCCGATGGCTCAAGCATATTATCACCATGCCAGCCAGATATCGGTACGAATGCAACCGATGCCGGATTGTAGCCAATCTTTTTAATATAAGACGATACCTCTTTTTTGATTTCCTCATAACGTGCCTCGCTATATGGCGGCTCAGTGGAGTCCATCTTATTTACGCCAACAATCAATTGCTTAACACCCAAAGTGAATGCAAGCAGAGCATGTTCACGCGTTTGGCCATTCTTCGAAATACCGGCTTCAAATTCACCCGTACCGGCGGCAACAATCAACACAGCACAATCGGCCTGAGAAGTACCGGTAATCATGTTTTTAATGAAATCACGATGTCCGGGCGCATCAATGATGGTCACATAATATTTTTGCGTTTCAAATTTCCACAAAGCAATGTCAATGGTAATGCCACGCTCACGTTCAGCCTTCAGCTTGTCCAGAACCCAGGCATACTTGAAGGAACCTTTGCCCATTTCTTGGGCTTCCTTCTCGAATTTCTCAATCGTACGCTTATCAATGCCGCCACATTTGTAAATCAAATGACCGGTGGTAGTTGACTTACCAGAGTCGACGTGACCAATCACGACAATATTAATATGAGTCTTCTCCTTTCCCATCTTCAATATCTACACACACTTTCAACGTACCGATATTTGAAATTTCGACGAGATTTCGTATTATTTGATCGCTTGCACTGTGAACGCTGCTACGTTTTTTTTTTTTGTTTCAAGCGGAAAAATGTGTGCGAATAAAAAGTGAAATAAAAGTACAAATGTAAGTGACGGAATTCGCTAGGGCATAGAATACATATTTATGCGATTGAATTTGCCGTTTGAACGACAAGTTAAAATCAATGTGTGATGGAAGAGTGTTTGTTTGGGAGTTGAATGATTTGTAAAATATTGGAATGGTGGATGTGGCGGGGGGGGGGTTTTGGACGGGGATGTGGATGGCATGGATACATTGTATATATGTTTGTAAGGAGAAACGTGTAGGTACATGGAAATGCATACATAATTGTATGGAATATACATATGTACGTGTATGTTGAAAACTATATTTTTTTTCATTTTGACTTACTTGTTTTATTGCCGGCTTTTAAGGAAGCAAATGAAAAATCCTTTGTCCGCACAGTCGTCGAAAGTCAAAGATTAGAAATAACTCTGCAAAGAGACAGAGAGAGAGAGAGGGAGAGAGAGAGAGAGCAAATTCAAATACCGAATGCAATCAATTAAGTGGGAATGAGTTGAGGTAGGTTGGGTCGGTCACCGCTGTGTTGGATTGGGGGTTAGTTGGTGCACTTTGAAAAAGCTGTGTGTATCTAAAATACGATAAGTTTAAAAATCGCTTTGATTTTCATGCAATTCCACGCTTTTATTATAGATTTTTTTAACGTTAAAAATTTCAAGTTTCACTTGAATTTAAGCTCATCTTAAAAGAAAAAAAACACCATTCATACATATAGTATGCATATATGTATGCCACACAATTTCCACGAAATTTCTACACCAATTTAAATATCCACTAATTCTTACATATTTGCATTAATTTATGCATTTTCTTCTTATTACTAATTATTATGTAAATTGTTTTTAATTTTTATTTTATTTTATTTTTTATATTAATTAACCGTACTTTCTTTTGACGCACTGCAGTTTTTGCTGTGTCTGCACGTCTATGCACCGCTACAACAGAATCGAATGTGCAAAAGTTTCTGCTTTTCTCTATATGAAAAATCAATAACCATCTCTCTGACGAAGGAGTCATATGTCTGCACTCCAACCACCCGGTCGCCAGACGTGCGACCACCATACGCTACCCGCCGACCCAATTGCACATCCCCAAAATTATGCATTGTATGTGGTGTAGTCTAGTGTAGTATAGGCATCTGCTGGGTTGAGTGCAGTGCAAAATATGAAAAAGAAACTGTTGGAAGAGCATGAGCTGTTGGTGGCGCTGGCGGTTGTGATTGTGTGCACGCTGAGAGGTAAGAGGTGTCCATGCATATACATAGTTGTCGATGGCTGTGTGGCTCGCTCTGCAATGGATTCCGTTTTGCATTGGAAAGTGTGCATATATTTCTATCATCCAGCAGTAAGTCGGTGTGCGCGTGTGTGTGTATGTGTGTGTGTGTGTGTGTGTGCGTGTCAGTTCGCCTATTCATCTGTTTATCTATATAACAGTCTCAGTTGGGTATGCCTTAAGACGTACTACATATAGACTGTACGTACATGAGGTTTGCAGTGCGACGGTATGAATAGTACTAAGTTGGGTTTTGTTAAATACCATGTGAAAAATTGAAATATGCCTGTATATAGTTTTTGGTTTTGTTTTTGTTTTTTTCTTTGCTTTTTCTAAGCTCTGTCTACTCTTGATGGATTTATGTGTTAAAAATCATTTCAAGTAGTTGTTCTGGCATTATTTTGACCAAGCGGCTAGTAGAAGTAGTGTTGCATTAGGGCGGACCGTTTCTTTGTGTCATTCAGTTCTTATATATATATATATATATATAACATTCAGTGCTTTATAAGCTTTAAAGCGTTTTCAGGCAGAATTGCTTATCCATATACATATGAGGCGCTCAATTGTCTCAGATCAACGGTACTTTCCGATAATCGTATCCATATTTTCTCGAATAGCCAGGTTGCATTACGAGCCCTGGAGTCTGTAACAGTCAAATGTAAGAGCGTAGAGGACTGCCGCAGACCACTTAACGCGTTTGATGGGTTCCGGGTCACGGATATCGCTAGGTCATGTGAAAGGGAAGGAGATGTCTAATGTTATAGATCATCTTATAGAACATATCATATTGGGCAGGCACACAAAGAGATCGAAGTTGCAGACAGGAAGAAACAACAGCAACTTGTAGGCACTTTCGCTGCACTTTGGAGAAATAGGTTGAAGTCTCTAGGGGCGACAACCTTTGGAGACCTGAGCGTGATAGCGGAGGCGAAGATGCGCTGACTGCTCACCTTTGCAAACTCCATGCATTGGTTCACTTGCGGCCTAGGTTAGCTGATGTCCAGCAGCCTCTTCAACCCAACGTTAAAGCGAGTTTCCGTCGTGTTCCGAGTTTTTTTTCATGTTAGAAGTAAATTAAGAAAACTTGACATTTTCCACCGAGAGCTGCACGATAGCTAGCTAGAATACGACTTCACGATTTTCTTATGGCTTCTCTTGAGAGAAGACAAACATTTAGAAGAAACTTGAAAACATTACGATTTCGATCTTTTATTCAAAAATGTATTGCTGCAAACTCATTCTGACATTGAAGTCTAATTTCTTACATCCCTGCTTGCCTAATTCTGTTGGGCTGAAGTTTTGGACGTCGTTAATAATTGAATTGTCTAAAAAAAAGTACAAGACATGCCGCGACCTTCGTAAGAGGCGACTAAAGTGCCAAAGTTTAAGCGACAGTCGGGTCTTTATGCCGGAACGATACAGATTTTTAACCGGATAAGGATGGACACTACCGCATTGTTGCTCAAAAACCACTTTGGGGAATATTTTTACAGCTACAACAACAAAAATTTCCTTATTGGATGTAGTAAATATATAATTCTACAGAGAAATCTTCAATATGTAGCAGCAGCAATGTGGTGTGAAACTTGCAAATTCGTTACATTCTTCTTTTTTCTTTCACATGCGTTCGCATGTGAGTTATTTTTTCACAAACCAAAAATACATACATACATAATTCACATAAGCTTTCTGTAGTTTTTTATTTTTTATTTTTTTTTATTTTTTTTTATTAAATTTACATTTGTAAGTAAGTGCATATATCTACATTTACATTGGTTATATGTATGTATGTATATATGTATATATGTGGTGAAATTTTCACGTTTTAGTGCAAATTACTGTGCTGTATCCGTTTTTGTACTCAACATTGCCGCCTCAAACTTTTCATTTTTTACTCTGCAGATTTAATTATAATCACATCTGTAGGCAAACACTTATATATATACATATATATATATACATATGTATTTACTTGTATATACATACATATATATGTCCATACACATTCATTTGTTATATCTCCGGCCGGTATAGCGAAATTCGTAGAAATTTTCCCACAGATCGTTCATGTCCTTTGAATAGAACACATGTACGATATACAAGTAAATGAAAATTCCAGAAGTCTATGGATAGACTGATGAAGTAAAATGCACATTATAATGTTTTTAATACAATTGCATCTTCACCCATAACCTCTTAAAGGGTAGGCCACCAAAAACACCTTTTTTTTAGATTTTTTTTTAATGTGAAACAATTACAATGTTTTGATAACTTTTTATTTTCATCTAATATATAAAATTTTCTTGTCACAGTGTACGAGGGTATACCCCTCCGAAGCGGTTATCTATTTTTTCAAATTGGTAAGAGGACCTGGGACTGATCTATTCGAACAAAATTATATTTATGGTTCGGTTTAATTGAAAGTCGGTTGCTTAGATTAACAGGAAGACTCTTATTCTCTCTGGCAAGTGGACCAGGGACTGATCTATTCGAAAAAATCTTATTTATTTGTAGGTCGACTTACTTGAAATTCGTCACACAGTTGTCTTCTTACTTAGATGAACAGGAAGACTACAATTCTATCCGGAAAGTGGACGGTGGACGGACTGACCTATGCGAGACAATCTTTTTTAAAGTTCGATTTACTTAAAATTAGGTGCATAGTTGTCTTCGATTGCTTCGATTAATAGGAAAACTCATCTTCTCTTGGGGAAGTGGACCAGAAACTGTCTTATTAAAAAAAAAAACGATGGTTCGATTTACTTGAAAATCGGTACATTGGTGTTTTTTTTCCAAGATTGAAAGGAAAATTGCACTTTTCTCCCGGAAGCGGACCAGTGTATGATCTATTAAAAAAACTTGATTTGATAGTTCGATTTTCTTGAAACTTGATACATAGTTTTTTTTTTCCTTAGTTTAGCAGAAAAATCACTTTTGTTTCCAGGAATATTGCCTAGGAACGGTCTATACGGAAAAGTCGATGCTATGGTTTGGATTAATGAATAAAAATTTTCTGAAGTGGTCCATAGGTGGCTTTTTGCTTAGATGTGCAGGAAAACTTCCCTTTTCTCCGGGAAGTTTACCGGTGACTGGCCTATTCCTCTCTTCGTGAAGTGGATCAATGCCAATGGTAAAACCACAAATGTCTTACTCCCACAGGTATTGAGTAAATAAAGTTATTATAAAAAGATTTCCCATGATTAGCTTTTCATATATTCAATGACTATGTGCGGGAGCGAAGCGTTGTAGGGTACGGCTACTATTTAAATAGAAAAAAATGTAATTTACAACATAAAAATATTTTTAAATGGTGAAACTATCGACATTTTGGCAAAGTAATTTTTCTTCTAGAAGCTCCGGGGCTTGCAGCACACAGGTTGCGAAATACAATAGAATCTTGCACAAAATAAACAAAAAAAAATGTTTATGTATTTAAAAAAACATGGATTTTTGTGAAATTTGGAAGCATTTGAGAAAATAACTAATTTTTCGACCATAAAAAATAGCACCTTACAAAAACACCCATTGTTTAAATTAAGTTATCGAAAATACCGTAAATCACTCTCTTTGAAATAATATTTAAAAGGTGTAAGAAAAAAGCCAATTGGAAATATTGAAAATTTTTTGAGTTATGTTGGTTGCCAACTGCAAAGTACGTGATTCGAGAAAAATGCATTTAAAGTTTTGAGACATACAAAATATACATATATGAGCGCGGCCCGGTGCGTCCCGGAAAAAGGGCGCGTATAAGATCTTTCGTTCCTTATTCTAGAAGGCTCAAAGAATATTTTTAGCCAATAAAAGAAAAATAATTTTTTTTTGAAGCATCTACAGTAGCTGTACCCCTTAATAATATGAGAGAAACTACGATAATTTAAAATTTTTTCCAATTAATTAATTTTTTTTATGCATTTAAAAGAATTAATTAATGTAGGCACTTATTTATATGTACAAGATAAGCGTAATTTTCTCAAAAATATGTATATATACATATATAGTTAAGTTAAATCATATATGATTAATATTTTTGAGTCATCAAGAATCAGACTGCCGTGTTCAAGTACAAAAAATCTTTCTGTCTAACTCTTTGGTTTAAAATTAAAAAAAAAAATTAATTATGAACTTCGAATTCGTTATTTTCCTGTCAGACCATTTTCTATTCCAAAATAAAATTTTAATATAATTTATCCTGCTAACATATGTACATATATGTATAAAAAATAAAATTTTAATATACACTGCATAATGCACCACTTTTAGTTTTTAAGGGAATTTATATTTAAGATAAATAATAATAATAATAATAACACCAAAAATAAGTGATTATTAATTTATCATAACATTTACTATTTTTATTTTAAAATAATAGTAAATTGTTGCAAACACTTCTATTCCAATGTGTAAAATATTAGTTTTTCACTTATCAAAAAATACTTTCAGCTTGATTTTTTTTTTTAATTTTAAAGAAGAATTACGTTTGCTTTTAAGTTTGGTAATTAAATTTTAAAGTTTCTAGACTAACATACTGTTTAATACAATTATAATATTATAGTATTATAAATGTCTAAATAATATTTGTGGCTTCTATATTATTAAATAGTTTATTTTTAAAATAGTTTTTCTTTCTTTTTTATTTGCAGAAGTTTAACAACTTCAAATAAAGAATTTATCCCTGTTACTTAGTTTATGTGTCAAAGTTTTGGATTTATTTTTAGAAGATAAGAACAGTTGACTCATGCTATTCTTTATTATGCAGATTTGCACATATACATGCATATATGTATTAACCTCTAAGATTTTTGCATATACATACATTTCTTTAATAATTTCAAAGTTACCACTTTGGTATTTTTATTAAGAATTCCTTAAATTTGTTAATGAAATAGTTTTTTTTTAATATATTTAGTATATTTAAGACACCTTTAATTAGGAATTTCAACTGTAGTATGTAACATAACATTCATATGTACATATTTAAACCAAATATGCTAAAATTTTATGCATTATTAAAGATTTATTATGATTTTAATATAATTTTTTTCAATTATATATACAATTTTCACTATTATATCTACCGGCCGGTTTTGAGATAACCACTTTTTCTATTACTTATAACAGTACTATGATACACATTTTAGGCAGACAATTTTTTAAATGCTTATTTTCACAACTTATACTTATAATTCATAGAAAATAATACTATTTTCAACTTACCAAATATTAGTTTGTTAATTTTTCACACAATTTACGGAATGATGTTTATAAATTTATTTGTAATTTTTAGATTTTGTAAAACGTTAAAAATTACCTGCCACTTACCTCGAGCACAAAAAACGGAAAGGCCGATTTTCACAATGGCCCTGATGCACATGCGCTGGAATAGTGCCACCAATACCATTACTACCATTGCCGAAATCCAATTTTGCAATTGTATGTGAAAATGTTCCCTTTCTACATGCAATATTGGGCCCAACGTCATCCTCATTCGCAGTGGGGTATGCTAAGAGAATGCATTGTCGCATGACATACATACATATGTTAATTGCATATGCATGTATATTGGCTATGTAGCATGCAATGAGCGAGTGCACTAGCTAATGCATTCCCTTTAAAAGTAGTGCAAGTAGAACATGGTCTTTTTCCACCTACATATTATTTGTTGGTTTATTGGCATGCTTATTTCATCGATTCATACAAATGCATGTGTATGTATTGCAATAGAGAGGTGACAAAATTGAAAGATCTGTTATCTCTTTAGTGGGCAGTGAGCGATACACTATTTAGGCTGAAGATGAATATGTGAAATTTTGCAATCTCAATATTTGCAATTATGGGTACCGGAAATGGTACCAATAGTTGATGAATATAAAAGGATATGTTGTATAATTTAACAAAACATGTTTGTAGGTACTAATTACTACACAGACATTTAAACAAAAAATAAATATATATAATCAAAATGACCAATTGCCAAAAATATATTTTTACAATAATTTATAAACTGAATCTAGTTTATTACTTACGCATTTCCCTATATAAATGGATATTTCAAATTCAAACTGTTTTAGAGTTATTATAAAATTTATTTAAAACTAACACTAACATGTAAGGATAAGTATTATACTATTACTTCCATTCACTGTCTGAATCGTATTCTTCCCACGCCGGCTTTTCACCTTCTTTTAAATTTCGCTGCTTCAAGTATGCATTGAATTGTTCCGGTATTGACATAAATTTTCGTATTTTCATGCGAAATTGTTTCCATGTCCATTGCAAATAATTTCGTCTATCAGTTACCATTGCTTTGTAGTTAAATTTATACTTGTCGAGGAAGTAGCTCAAATGGTCAATTGAGTTTTTAGGCAGCCTAAAATGCAAATAAATATTTTTATTCAATATGTGCGCACCTTGCATGGTAAGCATATTTTACCTAAGCAGTTTTTCTCTTGGTTCTGCTGCATCTGCCTCTAATTTTTCTATGACATAACCTCTTGGACGATCTGAGATTTTTGATTTCAGCTCTTCATCATCCATTTCTTCCTCCACAAAGCCATTTATGATCTTCACTGTCTTTATACGATGCTGCTTGAAATTTGGTATTGGTACCGATTTGTTGGGATCGGATGCAAGTCCCATTTCAAAAAAGTTCTTGTTACGCTTGGTCTCTATCCAAAGCTTTTTCATTTCAGGGCTATGAAAATAAAAATTAATTTGTTAAAAATATATATTAACATACATTTGTACACTGAACATGGTCAAATTATGCCAAGTTGTTCGAAACATACTCTTTTATTTTTCCGGTGGATTCACGGGTTTTTCTCATCGTCTTTCTATTACAGTTATAGCGATATCGCTTACGTTGATGGTTCTTTCTAATCTTCATTATTTCTATTTATTAAAGTTGTTTAAAGTATGTATAAATAAAATAATTGAACGTATTAATAGCAGCACGTGTTTGTTTCTTCAGATAAATTTTGACATTTTTACAAAATAATGTAAACAAAAACAAATGCAATATTGTTGTAGTTTGACAACACTTGACTATTGTGAATGCAATAACACAAGAGCAGTGTTGTTAAAGACCACATCGTTAGTTATTTAGTTCAAAATAAACGCTATTTAAGCCAAAGAATTAAGAATTTGTTACACAAATCTTGGGATATTTATGAAACTCGAAAGATTTGGGAATTCGATGTTTAATTAGTAAAATCGTAATAGCAATTTTAAAGATGTTTGTATATTTTATTTATATTTTATTTATATACGTTCTTTGGTAATTTGCAGACACGATTCAATTGTGAATATCCCTTGTAGCCGGCGTCATTAAAACAGCTGATTTTTAGTCGCTCGTCTTGCAAACAGTCCTTAGTTTTTGTTATTTAAAGCTGCCAGAAATTATTAAAGGAAATATGAGGGATATTGAGATCTTAGATCCTAGAAATCTGGTGAAGAACCGTGAGATACTTTACAGACTCATTATTAGGTGAGTACTTACATTAAATAGTATGAAAATGTAATTACATTTGTGGTTGTTTATAGTCAATTGATGTACGATGGCCTGGAAAAATTCGCAATGGAACTATCTATGCTAGTAAAAGCAGACGAATGTGCTCCTAGTGAACGTTTGCTACATGTTATGATTGCTGGCATGCAAGCCACCAATGAGAAACCTATTGCACCCAAAGACGATGTGTTGCCAGGAATCGATTTGGAGTTTGAGCCTGAAGCATCTGCGCTTGCGCCCGAGCCAGCTTCCTATGAAACTGCTTATGTAACCTCTCACAAGCAATCTTGTCGTGCTGGAGCTTTTAGTCACGATGGTACACTAGTTGCCACAGGTAGTGTAGACGCAAGTATAAAAATTTTGGATGTTGAACGTATGCTGGCTAAATCAGCGCCTGAAGACATAGAGCCGGGAAGAGAACAACAAGGCCACCCTGTTATACGTACACTTTATGATCACACAGATGAAGTAGCTTATTTAGAATTTCATCCCAAAGAGCATATATTGGCTTCTGGTTCTCGCGATGGTACTGTAAAGCTTTTTGATATAGCAAAACCTTCAGTTAAAAAGGCACATAAGGTCTTTACCGATTGTGAGCCAGTCACGTGCTTATCATTTCATCCTACCGGCGACTATATGGCTATCGGGACGGAACACTTTGTGCTGCGCTTATATGATGTACATACCTCGCAATGTTTCGTAAGTGCTATACCATCTCAACAACACAAGGCAGCAGTAACATGTGTTAAATTTGCGCCAACGGCAAAATTGTACGCCACAGGAAGTTTGGATGGTGCAATAAAAATATGGGATGGTGTAAGTGGCCGATGTATTAATACAATACCAGATGCACATGCAGGTGCAGAAATATGTTCTTTGGAATTCACAAGAAACGGAAAGGTAAGAGGACATTAAATAATTTAATAAAATAAATATCTATGTAAATAATATTAAAAAACTAAATGTTTATCGCTAATAATATCTCTATTATATTTTTAGTACTTACTCTCCTCGGGAAAAGATTCTTTGGTCTATTTGTGGGAGCTATGTACAAGCCGACCAGTACAAACGTACACTGGCGCTGGAACTACGGGCAAACAGGAGCACAACACACAAGCGGTTTTCAATCATACTGAAGACTATGTTCTTTTCCCTGATGAAGCGACTACTTCTCTATGTTCCTGGAATTCTCGTAATGGTGGTCGTTTGAATTTAATGTCTTTGGGCCACAATGGTCCAGTACGATTTATTACACATTCGCCAAACTCACCGGCATTCTTAACATGCTCAGACGATTTTCGCGCACGGTTTTGGTATCGGCGTTCAACGAATCAGTAAAATATCCAAATATCTATAACCACAAGGATAACGCCGGTAAATGACGAAATGAAACTCTTAGTTTAACATTCTATATAAACTGTAAGCATCTGAGAAATAAATAAATCTAATTTAAACTCCTAGCTTTTGGTTAAGAGTCTCACTGTTGTATGATAATATTAGCTATTTTCGATTCTGCGACAACTCTGCAGGTTGATGAATTTTCTAAAGTGGAAATCTGGGGCTACAGACAACAATAATTCGGGTCCGGCGAAGTGGCGTTAAAGTTGCCAAACACAATTTTGACATCGTGACGGGGGCAGCGCTCCTAGGCATGTTCTGGGCGCTCGCAGACATAGTCCTTTGCTTTGATGTGGATTGTGTTTGGACGTCCATCCATCGAAGTGAATGACAATACTCGGGGACAGAGTCTCTCTCCCACCAATAATTAATACTTACTTCCGTTCTTACGCGTACATCAACCGGTATGAATTAAGGGATCCGACCCAACTCTCAAGACAGCCACAGGACCACTAGCTATGTGGCCTATGCTGCCAACGCCCAAGTGCGCCCCCAGCCTCCACGGCAATGCCTTCAGCACCTTTACCCAGTTTGGGTAACCAACAGACCTCTACGGTCTCACGGAGCTCTCCGCAGCATGACTTCCACCAACCGTAACTCACTGAGAACGCCTTCAGTGCTCTCCTCACTCCATCAGACGCCACTTCTGGTGAACGTTACTTCGGCAGGTTCGTCGTGACCGCTGCTGCTCGCATCATCCCGGAAGGCCGAATTGCGGAAATCCGCCCCAATTTTCCGACAGAACCGGCGGTTTTAGCATCTAGGGGCGACATCCTTCGAAATTCCGATCTCGGGAATCCCCTAAGCAGAGATTTAAACTCTTAGATTCTCAAAAGTAGTGAAAAACCACAAGTGGGAGGAGCACTTAATGATCTGTTATCTCTCCTCTGCGCGGTGCTTGACTACTCCAGGGAAGAGGTTCAGGGGTCATCAGGGAGGCGGAATAAGCGTGCTGATGCTAAAACATCTCGTACCAGCGGGAGTAGACTTTCTCACCAAGGTCCTCAATTTGTCTTTGACTACCCTAATGATACCTGAAGTGTGGAAAACGGTCAGGGTGATCTCGCTACCAGCCAACAAAGGAGAATCTTATCGGCTGATAACTCTCCTCTTCCCAGTAGCGAAGACACCTGAGGCCTTGATGCTCTCGACGTTCACTCACCATCTGCGTCCAACTGATGTCGCATATCAGCATGGCTCCCATAAAGAGTATAGTACCACAACAGCACTAAACGCCATAAACACTCAGATAGTCTCAATGGCCTTAACCAAAATCGACCCTGCTCGCGAACTGTCCTGGTAGAACTTGATCTGTCAAAAGCTTTTGACACCGTCAACCATTCAATGCTACTAACGGACATTGAGGAATCCTCATTACCGACGGGGTTGCAGAGGTGGGTTATAGACGACAATCACCGGTAATATTCCGAGGTAAAACATCAAAACCCAGGAAAATAAAACAGGGAGTTCCCCGCCACTGTTTAATTTCTACATATCGCAATTCCCTCTTCCACCAGAAGGTGTTTCCCTACTACCTCGTATGCCATGATAATGGCGTCTGGCCAGGATATTGACGACCTCTGTTCGAAAGTAAACTCCTACCTTGCCGATCTTTCTCACCTCTTCACTGTACGACAGCTAAAAATACATCCGACTAAATCCTCGGCTACCCTCTTTACCAGCTGAACGAAGGAATACAGGCTTGAATTAGATGTACAGGTCGATGATGTCAAACTCCCGACCATTGACAACCCAAAGATATTGGGAGTAACACTAGATAGCCTGCACTCCACATACGACCGCAACTAATAATCAAAGCGCTAGCCGGCAGTATGGGAACGAACGAGACGCAGATGAAAAAGCTACAGGCTTGCCAGAACACCACCATCGCAACCGCGACAGGAAACCTCCTGATGTCGTCGGAGCATCATTTGCACAGTGAAGCATCTATACTACGAGTTAAGGAGCATAATGCTTTACTGTGCAAGAAATTCTTATTGGGATGCTCGGAGAAAAAACACCACTCATTGCAGACAACGAGATCCAGCAGCCTCGAGAGACCGTATAACTTTGGCCCAACTGAGGTGTGGATACTGTAGCAGGTTAAACTCCTACCTATCCAGACTCGACCCCAGTGTATCTAAAGTATGCCCTGCATGTGGAGAGTCTCCGTGGACACTAACCATCTCTTCACATGTCCCCTTAAACTGATTCATCTAATCTCCCTCTCCGTCTGTCCTCAAATAGTCCTAATTGCGGGGGTGTATTTCTGACATGAAATAAAGCTCCTCATAAAAAAAATCAGATGTTCGGAGGCCGCGCAGTATAAAATGTAGGTCCCTCCATTTGTTGGAAAAAAGTCAAGACGCACACCAATATATATATAATATATATAAAGTAGGAATAAATCCATACAAACATATATCGATGTATTTTTTTTATTATAAATACAAAAGCCTTTGCATATTATTTCTTAATTATGGTCTAATTTATGAATAATCCTTACAAAATTCAATTAAAATGTTAAATAATTGACATAGTTTCAGTTCAGTTACATAGTACATAGTAATATTACATTCGGCGCTAACAACCATATGAAATGGTACGTACATACATACATTTACATATTTCATTGATTACATTACGCTACAATGAAATGTATTTAACGGTATATTAAATTAACATATTGCTTTAGGTAATTATCATAAAACCGTCACTGGATAGAGTCTTGTGCTTCTATTTTTATTAATATTTTTTAATATTCTCAACTGATATTTCCACGTGTTTTTTTTTATGAATATTTCACATTTTATCTATTAAGTAAAATTAGAAATTTAAAACAAATTGCATAGAATATTCTCTTCTTTAGTCTTGTTTTGAGCTTTGAATTTTACCTTGTTATTGTTGTTATTTGAGTCTTACTGTCTCGCTCTGCATAGCGCATACACATACTTGTAGTGTGTGTGTGTAAGAGCATTTGTTGTTGTTGTTTTTGAGTATTAGCTTATGTATACCTACTAATTTTTCTTTTATAAAATATGTATTTATTTACAATTTCAAAATTGGGATAAAAAAAAATATACATAATTAAAATATATTATATGTCCATATGTATTTACGTAAAAGAAAAAGAAATATTAAGTAAAAATTCAAGTAACTTGAAATTGAAGATCACAAATGAAGAATATTTTGCGTTTGCTTTTATTACATAATATTGTTCAAAAATATGTATGCACCTTGAGTACGAATTAATATAAACCACATTTTTTCCAAGTGCATATTACATGCCCCTAGATGCAGGCAACATTTTTATAACGCATTGCTCTTAATGACTTTATTTGGTTGGTTCATTCAATGACCCGTAAAAGTTTTTAAATATTTAGGAATGAAAATGAAATTAAAAACTTAAAAACAAAAAGTATATATTTAAAAAAGCTTAATTAAAAAATTAAATATAATTTTGTGGTAAAATAAAAAAAGAAAATTAAAAAAATTAGATAAAAAAATGTTAATTAAAAAATAAATAATATTAAATTAAATAAAATAAAATTCTGAAGTAAAAGAAAAAAACTAAAATAAAAATTTAAATTTTGATTTAAGAAAAGTAAAATTTTGAATTAAAAAAATAGTTATAATATAAATATATATATATGTACATATATTTCTTTGTCGGTACATGCGCTAATTATGCTGAGAGATCGAAGCGCGAATTAACTTGTTCAAATTAAATTAAATAATTATTGTTCTATTATTTCTTTTTTATTCTTGCTCTCTTGTGATATATACCCAAGTGAATTACTTATGTTAGAGATTTAATTTTAATATTTAATTTAATAATTGTGAAAAATAGTACTGCTCCTTAAGTAAATAGCAACGGAAGTTATACACGATATATTGTTTTATTGAAAAGAGCAGGTAATAAATTTAATAATAATAAAAAACACCTACAAAAAAATACGAAAATTTACTTAAAAATAAAAAAATGAAAAACAAATCAGCAAATACAAATCGAAAAAAAAAAAAAAAAATGAAAAAAAAATACAAATTGAAAAAAAAAATCAAAATAAAAGTGAAAAAATAATAAAAATAAAAAACTTAAATAAATATTAAAAAAAAAAAAAACAAATTGAAAAAATAAATAAATGACAATGAAAAAAAAATTAATGAATATAAATTAAAAAAAAAAATAAAATAAATGAAAAATATATAAAATTGAAAAAATACAAACTAAAAAAATATAAAAATGAGAAAAAACTAAAAAAATAGGAAAACCAACAAATTGATAAAAACTAATTAAAACTGAAAAAAAAATAATAAAATAAATAAAAAAAAGCAAATTGAAACAAAATAAATAAAACTAAAAAGTAAAGAAATAAAAATAAAATATTACAAATTGAAAAAAAAAATATAAAAATGGAAAAAATAATAAAAAAGAAAAAAAAATTAAAATAAGTAGAATGAAAAAAAAAACATAAAAATGAAATAAATAAAAATAATATTTAAATGAATGACAAAACAAAAATTAAAAAGAAAACATAAAACTATATGCAAATGAAAAAAAAAATAGAAAAAAAAAAAAAAAAAAATAAAATTAAATAAATAATAATAAAATGAAAAAAAAAATTTTAATTGGAAAAAACTCTGCTTAAGTTTAAAAAAAAGGTAATTATTATACTTTTTCAGCGCCATTGAATTTAACATGCTTGCTCTGTGTTGATTTGTTGCACATTTTTGTTTTTATTAATTCTCAACTAATACGAAAACTTATTAAATAAAAAGTATATAAAAAAATTATGTATTTAAATATATGGTTGTGCCAATGGGGGATGTTTTATAAATGCCTGTATGTGTATTGAACGTTTAAGAGTTGAAATAATAAAACAGAAAGAATATGGTAAAAAAAAATAGTAGGAAAAGTAAAACAACAAAAGTATAAATTATACTGACACTTCTCAGAATCACAATTCTCTACATTATGTAGCTATAAACATATTGTATATATGTACATATATGTATTTATGTGCTGCACTACGCGTGATTGTTTAACTAAACTTCTACTAATATTTAAAAATTAATATTTTTGCCATACACACAGGCATAAATACAGTTTTAATATCGCCGTTTTTTGGCTTTGTTTTGTTTGTAGCATTAAATATGTGTTATATAACAAAGCTTTTAATATTAAATTGATTTTTAAGGCTTTTAAGACTAGGCATTAGATAATACGAGTAAGTAGCAGTCAAATTTTCAAAAGAAACTATTATTATTATTATTATTATATTATTTTGAATACATGAGTTTAACAGTCTGGTAAATGTAATATCGCTTAATTAATATTAATGCTGCGCCTTTGCAACGGTTTGTTGTTTATATTAGTAATAGATTTAATTAAAGTGAATAAAATAAAATAAAATAAATAACTTAAGTTAATTTAAAGTACTAAAGGTGCATAAATAAATGAATTAATAAACTAATTATTGCGTTATGTAGATATGTATGTACGTAGTAAGAAATAAATTTGTATACACTTAATATAAAGGGATACAAAATGGACGGCTTTTCAATTATATATATATATACAATATATGTATGTATGTATTTGAAGTAAATTTATAATTTATTATATTTATATTTGTGTTTTAAAAAGCTTTTGTTTGTGCGTTAAATTACAGAGGAGGAGTAGTTGCTTAATTTAATTGCAAACTATATACAAAGGTAAAAATAAAATAAATATGTATATGAATATATCATTTATTTAATTTTTAAGTAAATTTTTGCATTATGCTTTAAGGCTTTCTGTGCGTTAGATATTAAAAGGCGTATATTACTTGCTTAAATTTATTGTTTTGATAATGTTTAGTTTTTTGAATTTGTATTTAAGGCATTTTTGAGCGCTAGGTTTTCAAATACTAAAATCAATATTATTTTATGCACATATTATAATGTCATATATATATGAATGTATTGTTTAATCTCAATTTTGTGCCAAGTTACTCAACTTTTGTTAAACATTTTTTTCCAACTTTGGCCTACTGCATACTGTCACTAGTTTTCTACAGTACATATAACACTATTACAATAATATATATATATATTATTTCTAATATCATAGTATTAAAACTAATTAAGTAAATGAGTCGAGTGTTGTGCATTATATTTTGTTTCTCAACATAAATCAGACTTTTTAGTTATGGGCTTGCAACCACAAAACCGTTGAAAGTTATTATTGTGTATGTATGTATGTACTAATAAAAAATGTATGTATGTATATGTTGCACTTTGCGGCCTACCAAATATAAAAACGATTAACATTCGTTCTCAAATTTCTTACAATTAGTATCTCTTGCTTGCCTAACAATTTCTATGCTAATTTTCTACTTTTTTTTTCTTTTTTTTTTTTTTTTTTAGAAAATTTACATTTAATTAACCTCTTCCAGTCTTTGTGTTATACGTTTTGCCTGCAACATGGACGCATTTGTCGACTGTGTTGTTGTCGACGCCTCCTCGCCATTGGCCGCTGCCATGCTCATCATAGGTTCAGGCGAGGGCGAAGGCGAGATTACAATCTCATTTTTAATAGTTAAGTCATGCTGCAGTTTCAACAATGCCAAGGCAGGGTTCGGCGATGCTGATCTCGAATCGTCTCTGTCACGCAGCGGCGGTGCATTAACGATGCCCACACCGTTATCTAGATAATTATCTTGTATGTTTGACGTCCTCTGTTGTTGCTGTTGTTCTTGCTGCTGCTGCTGCTGTTGTGTTTGTTGTTGTTGTTGATGTTGCTGCTGTTGCACTGCAGCACTAGCCGTAAAAATTGCAGTTTGCATCTCTTCCGCCGTTGCCGCCGTAATTAGATAGTTTAATGGATTAAAGCTATTAGTAGTGTCGCGTGCAACGAAATTCTCATGCGCCATCTTAAGATGATTTTTCATTTTATCTGGTCGCGAGAATTCTTTGCCACACAATGTGCAGGGGAACACTTTACGTACCTTACCCTCGTGATAGAGAAAGGCGTGCCGCTGGAAACTGTATTTATTTTTGAAAGTCTTTTGCAAATCCTCTTTAGCGCACTCTGTACACTGGTAGACACCTTCATTTATGCGCGCATAACGAAACAAGTCGAGTCCACGCACTGACATCTCTGTCAAGTGCTCAGCTTGATCATCCATCGTCGATTGTGCCTTACGTCGTATCCGTCGTCGTTGTACCGGACGGCGTGCTGTGCCACTAGTACGTGTCGTTGGCGCTGTAACCACCTCGGGCGGTGCACGTACGTCCGTATTTGTGCTTTCATTATCCGGTGCATCGCTTATGGTTATTGTTGTAATGGCAACTGCGTCATCGATGTTACCTAATGATGAGTCAACGTTTTTGTAATCTAATCCAGCACTTTCATCCGCCAATGTCAGTTCCGGCTCGGATTTATCAGTCTGATCAAGTATAATATCCATATTTGTTGGCGACATGCTGTCATCGCGTTGCAATTCCGATTCGCGTAAATCTGTTTGAGTGGTTGGTGCTTTTTGTTGTTGTTGTTGCATGTGGGTTGCCAGTGTTTGAGGCTGTTTGGCTAGTGTTTGTTGTGGTTCTTGAGTGCAAGATTGTTCCTGTCGTTGTTGTTGCTGCTGCTGTTGCTGTTGCGCTTGATGCAGCTGCTGTTGTTGCTGTCGAAAGAAATCTGCGCTCGGTTTTAACATCGGATTTGCGGCCATATGCAACAAGAATTGGTGGTGTAAATTATTAGCCGAAGGCGGCTGTATTGTATTGGGCGTTTGACGCTCAGCTACGCTAGCGAGCGATTGCAGTGCGGAACAGCTGAAATCTGTACTACTAGTGGGCATTGATTCGTTGGGCGTACTATTTGTAATTTCTTTAAGTCCAGCGCGCAGTTGTTGCTTTAACAGTGAGTTGCTGTTGTGTGCCGCATTCTGGTGCTGTTGCTGCTGTTGTTGATTTTTCGGTGGAACAGTCAATTTCAATGAGTCACGCACCTTCAGGCCCAGTGCTGTGGGCAGATGAGTAATTACTTCTTGCGGCTCATTGAACTGTAGCAGTGATGTTTGTGGTAGCTCCATTTCGAATGCCTCATTTTGTGACGCATGTTTTTGTGGTTGAACCGTGGCAGCTGGTTTCATTAAACCGAAGAGTCTGTGCGATAATTCCGGTGATGTGTTTATCAATTGTACTGAAATGAAAATTTAAAAAATAAAGTTAAATAAATATATAAGCAAATAGATATTAGTAACCAATAAACGATATTCCATAAAATAAAATCTAAAAACTTTTAACCACCACACAATCGCATATGGTTTCCACCCTAAAGAAAGAGCTCTCAGTTAGATATCCCTGCGGGGTAGGGGTTCAATAATTTTCCCACGTTAAAACCGAGACGACTAAAGTCCGAAATTTCGCACGACACTCGTGTCTTTATACCGGAACGACCCCAATTTTTATTCGGCCAAAGCCTGTCCCTCCCGCAACATTCGCCAAAAAACTACTTTGCGATTACTACAAGAAAAGCAACAGCTCTGAGTTAGATGATCTCAATAAACCAACTTAGCAGCTCGACGTCCGATGAGTATAATTTTTGGTCTCCTGGTGGTGCTTAAATACTTCATCGTGTTCATGAAAGGTATATAAAAACTATGTATGAAGTACAAAAAAAAAAACAGCCAAATAATTTGTGTTTTCTTTATTTAGTGCAACAAAAATTCTTTATTAATTTATTAATGTATATATATATTTTTTAAATTTTTTTTTTTTTAATTCAATGTAAATGTATGTATGTATGTATGAATGTGCAACAATATTAGCAGATATAAATAGTTTTAAAACGTTAAAGGAGCTGACATTGTGAGATTTTTTTTTACAAGCTCGCATCATTTTCTTTAACGCTTACTTAATAAAATAATATTAATTAACTTTTTATCAAATTAAAAACTAAATTGCACTAGCTACCACTAAAACGAAGAAGAGTTATAGTAAGTATGGTATAAGATAAGTAAAAACTAAATATCATGTATAGTATGTAAATATGTATATATATTCATATTTAGTATTTAGAATGTTAAAAATATTACATGCAAAATGATATGTTGCATTGTTGCTTATATGCCCAAAAAAACAAAACGAGGTTTACTATTTAAAAAACAAAAAAAAAATAGAAATAAAAAAAAACAAATATAATTAGGCAATATTTTCACTTTGAATAATTTTATAATTTTTGCATAAAGAAATTAAAAGTGTTAACAGATTTTGGTAAGTTTATAGATTTTACTACTGTTGCTGATGGAGATCGTTCGCTACTATGTTGGTTCTTTTTTTTTCATTTTTTCTACATTAAAATTATAATTTTAAGAAAATTATCTCAACTGGAAAACTTCCAATCTTTTTAGTTTTTTTATTGAATTTTATTTGCTTGTATTTGATTGGCATATTTTCTATTAGAGAAATAAGTGCACTTCTTGTTCGAGAGCGGTCTTTCTTCGCCATAATTTGTCTTTAATAACCGCAATAAAAAGATATGTTCTCATATTATTGTGAGCGATCAGCTGATTGATTTTATTCGCTTCTTGTGTTTATACATGTTACACACACACACAAACGTACTATTAAATGTTTAAATTAATAATTATTGTATTTGTAGTTCTTTGGCGATAATTTAAGCCTCCGATTTATATGTATACATACTCTATATATTCATAAGTAATTTTATGTTTTACTATTTGCTCTCCAATTTTTTTCTTTCTATTAATTATAGTATTTTATTGCTCTTGTTTTTTTTTTTTATAAATTTAGTATTTAACTATACTTTGACATTTGATAATATTCATGTAAATACAAATATTTAAAGTAAATTAATGTACTATCATAATTATAAATATTGTTTTTTTTTTATTAACAAGAATTGCGAGAACTTTTCTTGGTTTACCATAAATTACTCATTTCAAACTTTTTAATTAATTTAAATTAAATTAATAATTTTAATTTTTTTATTCACCACACACAAAAAAAAAGTAAATTTACAAATTATAATATTAAACTAGCTTCATGTGAAGGCAACAAGGTAGTTTACATATTCATTTATAATTATTTATCAATTAATGCTTAATAGTTAATATTAATAGTGATAAAAACACGTAAAATTAACTAAGTGTGTATAATGCGAATTAATTTATTAGGCTTACAGGTGCATGTCGGTGTTGAGTGTAAGTGCTTTTAGCCGGTTGGCTTCGTATGAAAGTAAGAAGCTCCATGCGTTACGCGCGTGTTCTATGTATGTATGCATAAATAATTGTTGTATGTATGTGAATTTCATTCACTTCTAATTGCTAACATGCGGTCGGAATTCAATTTTATTTTTCGCTAAGAAGGCCACTTGCGTATGAATGCCATTAGTGTTTCATTAGAATTTACAACGTATTAAAAGTACAGAAAATAACTTAAATAAAAATAATAAAAAAAACATAAAATTGCACAAATTCTGTTTAGCAAAGAATTATATAAGGCGCGTTTATATGCTTATGACCGAAATTCTTTATGCGCAAACAATTTTTCTTTTATTACTATTTTTTTTAACAATTAATGATTGCATTAAAATAAAAATATATTATTCACAAGTTCTTTCATTCTTGTTTGGTTTAATTTCAATATTTTCTCTTCATTAAATTTGAATTAAATTTAGTTTAATTATCGAATTAAAATTATTATTTTAGTTAAATGCCAGAATTATAACGAAGTAATAAAAAGTATTGACATTTGTAATGTACACATGTATTTATGTATGTTTAGTTTTTTTTTTTACTAAGCTCAAGTAAATTTTAAATAAAACTGTTTAGGCATATGAAAACAAGTAAAATCAACTAAAACCCTGTTGAACAAACAAAATCAAAATAAAAATTTAGAAACTCCGAAACAATGTGGTTAACGTTTTGAACGTGTTTAACTTCAAGTTTTTGTCGTTTGGTAATCAACGTATATATATGTATAACTATGCACAGAAACGCTATTTGTTTTATCTTTGCAAAACCTACATCAATTTATCTGCACATTTTGGAAGCCTTTGACCTTGTCCTTTGTTTTTATTTCATTTTTTTTTTGTCCTTGACATACCTCAACATAACACATTAACTTGCATTTTACATTTTCAACCCATTGTGCAAACTTTAGAGTTGCTAACGGTATTTTTAGTAACGTGTTCTTTTGTGTAAACATGTATAGCATATGGGTGTGTGCGATTGTGAGTTAGTCGCTGTACCCTTCCCATTATTACTCAACTAACGTCTCTCGACAACATTGAACAAGTGGTAATATGAAAATTAATATACATATATACATATATGTAAGTATATCCCATCACCCATTGTTATTGCTAGTCCTTTTCTTTTTTTGTTTTTGTTAATATATACTACAATTAATAGTCTCTATCACGCTTAAGGCGTTAATTGTTTTTTTTTATTGCGCTGTCGCCGCTTCGGGCAAACGTCCCGCTCCTAATGCTAAAGATGCTGTCGATGATGACGTTGACGAAGATGAGGTTGATGATGCTGTCGATGCTACCGCCGTGGATACGCCCGTTACTGAATGATTTGAACTTTGTGTCGCCAAATCCGGTGGTGTGGGGGTAGAAGCTGTTGATGCAGCCGCTGATTGTGGTGCTGAAGAAGATGTTAAACCCGCCGCGGCCGCTGCTGCGACCACAGCCGATGCATTGGCCAACGCTGTTGAGGGATTCTCGATTTTGTGTATGATCTTCACATGCGCCGTCATATTATCTTTGCGTGTGAATTCCTTATAGCAGAAGGGGCAGGGATACACTTTAACGTTGCGTTTGTGTGATGTTACGTAGTGGCGACAGAAGTTGCTGATATGCGTGTAGACACGTGAGCAGACCTTACAACGGTATGTATGTTCACCCTCTTTGGTACAATAATCACGGACGGAACCTTCCGCTTCACCTTCGGGCAGTGCGCCACCTGATGTATTCAGTTTGGTTTTCGCGGAGGGAGAGGAAACAGTGTTACACGTGGTGGTGCCGCTTAAAGCGCCTTTCAATTTATTCGATTGTGTGGCAGCTTGTGCGGCATTTGCATTAGCGCCAATGTAGTTGACATTAAACATATCCATATATTCGTTAGATATATTCTAAGAATGTAAAAAATATATATATATATATATATATTCGTACATGTATATTAATGTTATATATATATATTTCCCAGCAGCGAAATTGTTATTAATGAGAATTTTTAGGAAAATAGCATCAACGGCTTCCATATAAACGAATCATACATGACAATCGCTGCAAGGATCTTTTTGATTGCATTAACTTATGCATACTCACTTTGTTTTCACTGCCAGTCGCGTTTCCCCCACTAACACCGTTCTGCTTCAATTTGGTACGTTTATTCACCTTAACCTTGGATACTTTACCGATGGGTGTCAATTTTGGAATGCTAACCATTGAATTGAGCAACGTCACCGTACCGGGTAAACCGCCGGCTGCGAGAGCAGCTGCTTCGGCCAATTGTTGTTTCTTTTGTTGAGCAAGCAGTAGTTGGCGTTCCATTTGTTGTTGTTGCGCTTGTGCTGCTAAGGCGGCTGTGTTATTCTGCTGTGACGGTGAGCTGGTCGCGTTGGGATCAAACTTAAATTCTACCGGTTCATCATATTCATCAAGCATTAGTTGTGGTTCCATGTATGAGGTGTCCATTTGATCATCGCAGTCGCTATCGTTACCATCTAAAATTTATCCAATCGAGAGTTGGTTTAATAATAAGTGTATTTGCGATACTTTAAGCAAATAAAAAAATAATGCATAAGACGAGAACAAGATTGACGAAAACACACATACAACAAGTAGAGGATTCAAAAACATTTTTTTTTAATTTAAACACAATTGAAAAATGAAAAATTTTCTTAAATAAAGTAATTTATAGGCGACGATTGATCGCATTCCAATTTGTAATATATGTATGTATATACCAATGAAATTTTTTTTTCTACTTTTAACATTCATTTGTTTTTATAAACCTTTTTGATTATGAAGAAATGTCTAAATGTGTGTGCATGCGTGAATGTAAACTATATTTATGTGTGTGTGTGTGTGTGTGTTTCTTTTTAAATCTTGTTTGTCTTATGAATGTATAATGCAACGAAAAGGCAAACAAAAAAACGGAAAGGAAATTCGTTTTACAGTAAAAAAAAAAGACTTAATCGTTAATTTGTCACACGCACGCGTTGCAATCAAGAAGAAGAATAAAAAAAAACGTATCGGAAAAGCTGTAGGGATTTCAAGCCACTCTCAGTATTAACAGCTGAGCTTTAAAGTTGTAATTTTGTATTCACTTAAGTGGATTTATTGCGCACATCCATAATTAATAAGCCGAAACATGGTTGTTTCTATGTTGTGGAAAAAATAATGGTGTATGCTGTACAAATCGGTTATTATTGAGTGAAGTAGCAAAATATAGCAAAATGTTATTAACGTTTTTTGCACTAGTACAATTATATATTAAATTATATAATAGTAATAACTTTTAATGCCCGATAAAACAGCAAAATATTTTTTTTTTTTTTATATAACATAGTTTAGAATTGAAATATTTTTGAAAACAATTTTTTACAGACATTCTCGTTTTCGTATTCATTGCGTCGGCTATGAATCCCTAAGCTCTGCCCGATTGAAATTAATTCATTTACAAATTTGTTCGTTTCCTTTTCGCTTCATTTGCGTTGCTTGCATCATACTTCCATTTATATATTTTTTTATCTTGCTTTTTATAAAACTTTGAAACTCACCTGCCGACGAAATGAGTCGCGGCCTTTGAACTTTTGCAATGTTAACACTACGCGGAAAAAAACAAAACAAACGGAAAATGTACGCGTAGTAACGAATTTTATTTTATTTAATTATTTTTTTTTTAATTTTTTTTTTTTTTTTGATTTAAGCTTATATTTTGCACAGTTGTCCTACGATTCTATACCCACCATTTCTTCTATGATGGTGCATATATATTATACATTTTTAAATAGTTTCATAAATCCCTTTTTAGCTTTTCCGATGCGATTTTTTGACACCCTTCTCTCACAAGTTGCACTTAATTGTAACACAAACAACAATCATGTACGAAAAAAATTAATTTTTCTTTACCAAACGAATTATTATTATTTTTTTTTTGTTAATGATTGTTCTGCTAAATGATACGTGGGTATTAATATATTATAGTGGGATGTTGATGAAAGTATTTTAAAATTCAAATTTATGAATTATATATATTATGCCATGTTTTATAATAAGAAATGCATGTAGCATGTAAATCATTATATCTCAGTTAGTTGCATATGCTTAAAATAAATATAATATTTATTGCAGACATAGAAATTATTTTATCAAAACTGGCACGATTTGAATGGTAATATTTAAGTAGAAAAAAGAAACACTCAAAGTGAGTGGAAGTTTTAATTGTGATAGTTATAAATAAGATATTTATTAAAATTTTAAACTCAATCAAATCTGCCAGCTATAAATGTGGTTTCAAAGAAACAAAAAAATGAAATAATATATATAGAAATATACACATATATATATGTGTATATACTATATGTATATAATAATTAATAATAACAAAAATTTATTTTTTTAGTTTAGTTTGATTTTACATAATCTGTGAACATGTTTGAACATGTTTGTTTCTATCAATTTCTCTTTTCGAATTATAATTGTTTTATGGAATATGTATATGTACAGCTCATACATATGTATAGTTATTTAATGTTTAAAACATTCTTATTAAGCATATGCAAAAAGGAAGTTGGTTTAAGACTTACCGGATGTGCTGTTATCGTTTTCAGTTTGTTTGGACTTGTTGTCTTTTAATTTTGATTTCTTGCTATGTGAAACAGAATCTCGGCTCTCCTGTAAAAATAAGTGAAAATTATGAAATTATATACATATATACATATATATAAAAAAAATAATGGACACTTGTAATTATTTTTTTCAAATCTTTTTTATTTTAAACTTGCTATTTTGTTAGTCAAATTGTAATGTAAGTGACGGCAATAAGTATTTGAATTTCTAACTAGTTAAATTTGAAAGCTAATATAATTTCTTCTTTTACTTACACTTGGATCACGCGTATCTCCACCATCACGTTGGTTGTCATCGGAACCATCATCATTGCCGGAATATGAATCACCCATTTTGCAATCGCCCATCTCCGAGTCCTGCACCAAGCATGGAAGATAAAGAAATTTATTATATAAAACCGTTACGTGTATAATTCTGCCAGCCAATATGTATAAGGTACACTTACATTCATCATGCCGTCCCGATCGAATTCATCGTAATCATTGCCAGTACCATTTGAACTGCCCGACAATCTCCGTGGCCTTCCGCGTTTTCTTTTGGGCATTGAGGCCAGTGCTGAGCTTAACAGCGATTGTTGTTGTTGTTGTGCTTGTTGGCCACCAGCCAGTGCAGCAGCACCAGCTAAACCACCTGCACCAGCATTGGAAGAAGCCAATAGGCTATTCTGTGATTTGCTACGTTGCTGTTGCTGCTGCACCAAATACGGTTGAATACGTTGCAATTGTGGTGGTGGTGGTGTAGGTGCAACCGGCGATGGTTTATCATCATTAACTTCGGTTAAACCTTTGATCCGTAATGATTCGGCGACTCGCAAGAAAGCGGTAAGACGTTCCTGATCAACAGAAACTTCACCGCGATACATGAAATCAAGCAGAGATTTCATATCCGAATATGGAACGTCCTTCAAAATAACAATCGGATGCTTTTCGGGGTGATGCACGAAGAGCGCATTAAAGTAGGGACTGCAGGCGGATAGTACCATCTGTTGGTGTTTGCGAAAAATTGCAAAAAAGGAAGAAGAATAAATATAAAAAAAGAATAATAATAATAAGAAAATGTCTAGCATGCTTAAGGAAAATCTTTTATGATATTTTTAGTATTATTTTATATTTTTAATCTTTGTATTACACTTACCTTGTGTGCTTTTAGGTATTGTCCATCTACGGCCAGTGTAACATCCGTAAATGTCTCGGCGTGTAAGAGTTGATCGAATACGGATAATAAATTGCTTTGATGGTTATTCCACCGTAGGCAAAATCTTTGGGATGCCATTTTCATTTTTTACTTTGTTTGGCTGTGATACGCTCACAACCTCTGCAACTGTAGGAAAATATATTTCTTGACAAATTGTTATAAATTTTCCAGACTATATTTGCAATAGCTGGCAGAAAACAAAATGGGCCACGTTGTTAGTTTATGTTCTTATCAGATGCAATTGTGCAGTAAAGTAAATTAGATCCTCGCAGGTCAAATGTGGCTTTTAGCGTTTTTAGCTAGTTTATTACAGAGCGTCAATACGTTGTTGTCTTGTATGTATGTATATTCCTTGATTGAAAAATAAAATACGTATATGTATCCGCTTTCCTTTTTTTCCTTTCAAGCGATGAACAGATTTTTCATAAACTCCTGCAATGTGAAAAAAAGGAAACTGTAAATTAGTTTTACAAATTTTTCAGAAGTGTTTTTGTAACACGCTTTTTATAAGTAAAATAATTTTTAAAATTCTATTATTATTTTTATTTCTAATTATTATTTTTTATTGTTTATTATTATTATTGTTTTAATTATTGATATTTCTAATTATTAATCTTTTTTAATTTTTCTTTTTATTATTATTATATATTATTCTATATTATTAGCTCTAATTATATTTATTATTATTATTATTTTAATTATTGATATTTCTAATTATTTATTATTTTATTTTTTTAATTCATTATTATTTCTAATTATTAATTTTTTATTATTTCTTATTATTATTATTATTATATATTTTTCCATATTATTTTATTATTATTATCTCTAATACTTTGTATTATTATTATTATTTCTAATTAATTTTTTTTTAATATTTATTATTATTATTTAAATTATTATTACTATTTAAATTATTATTATTATTTAAATTATTATTATTATTTTAACTATTATTACTATTTTAACTATTATTATTATTTTAATTATTAATATTTCTAATTATTTATTATTTTATTTTTCTAACTTATTATTATTTGNTTTTGTTTATTATTATTATTATTATTTTTATTTATTGTTTATTATTATTATTATTATTTTTATTTATTGTTTATTATTATTATTATTATTTTTATTTATTGTTATTATTATTATTATTATTTTTATTTATTGTTATTATTATTATTATTTTTATTTATTATTACTATTATTATTATTATTTTTATTTATTATTATTATTATTATTATTTTTATTTATTATTATTATTATTATTATTATTTGTAATTATTTATGCTTATTATTATTATTCTTATTATTATTAATATTTCTAATTATTTATATTCTAATGTTTAAGAAAATCATGAAAAAATATGTGCTAAATTGAAATCCATATACGATAAGGAGAGTAGATAAATTTGTTTTGCACTACGACTGCTTGAATTTAAATTAAAACATAGACTAAAGGATAAAGAGACGCTGTGGTGAAATGCGCAGATGAGATCACATATGACGCAATCTCCCCTCAAAGGCAAATACAATTGCAAACACAAACTTAAAAAGAAAAGGGAAAGCCAATTTTAAGATAAAAGAAATGCACTCAATATGATGTAGAATATGCGATGAATAACACAGGACAAACTTGGCAAAAAAAAAAAAAAAAAATATATATATATATATGCATACATATTGTTTGATATTCATACGAATTAATGTAAACAAGAAAGGTTGACTAAATAAACAGCAATAAGTGATTCAATCAAACGAAATCTTTCAATAGTGCGAATCACCACAAGGAGAACTTTTGTATTTAAAGGTTTTTTCTACTGCCGATCACTGATAAGCAAATGGGAAATTAAAGGGAAGTTGAAAAAAAATTAGGCGAAAGCTTGCAAAAAAACATATGTGAGATTCATACATGTTCACATTAATATATGTAAAAATTACCACATTATCTCTCCCTCTCTCTCTCTCTCTCACCATCTACGAGTACGCAAAATATTTTTAGAGAGAACGTTATTAAAAGAGAAATAAAAAGAAAATTATTAAGAATAATGGAGTGATAATAAAACATCGGTGAAAGTCATAAAGTACAAAACACAAGCTCTGGGGTAATATAACTCAGTTTGAACATACATACATAAATACATACTGATGCATAAATTGGCGATAAGCATTAAGATTTTTGGGAAACTTTGAGCACGCACGAGAGCCAGAGAGATCAATGATTCAATGAATCGTGATCATTATTGCAGATAAGCAAAATAAATGAGATTCATGATACGAAAAAAGTGTGCTCAGAGAGAAAGAAAAAACAAGTGTATTCCCATTAATTCAAGTCTACCGATCACCATACACATATATTTTTAATGTCAGCTTTTTACTAGAACTTCCTGACTGAAATCTCACTAGTCAGTCAAGAACAAAAAAAGTCAAAGCCAAACTGGTACTGTAATTTATACCAACGCTGCTTAATGCTTTGCTGCAATTTCATTACATTTATTTATTTATTTATTAATTTATTTAATTATTAACAAATATGACTCAAAAATATATACATACATAAATACAACATATATACATTGTCATTCATTTTATAAATTACAGCGCCGGTGGCCGCAATAGCAGAGTGATAAGCAACGCATACCATCATTAGAAAGACCCGGAATCGAGTTTAGTCCGACCAACGTTCATAATTGTAGAAAAAATAGTTTTTCTCACAAGTTTATATAATAAAAGCTTCACATAAAAATCCATCCGACTTGATATAAACTGTAGGCTATTCCATTGGTTCGAAAGACATCCACACAGACGTATGACTCAAGATACAGCAATTGTTTAAAATAGGCTAAGGAAATGTAGAAATGCAGTTGAGCTTGTTTTGCATTTACTAGTTTGAAAGTAGTTTTTAACTAGTTATTTTTGCGCTCGCCAGAATGCATAGATCCGGAAAATTCTCTCGAGCTTTTATTTGAAATTGTTTTAGTGTAAAAAAAATGAAAAGAAAATTCTTGGTCAGCTCCAGACCACATATTTCCCAATTAAAAACGTTTCAGAAAAAAAATGAAAAAAGGAATTAAATAGTCACGTTTTAAAAATAAGAGAGTTCATAATTATTATGAGCAATTTTTCACAGTGTGCAAATTGATGTGAATATATGATTCCTAGAAGCACAAACAAGTGTTTCACCATGAGCAGTGATTTTTTTCCACATTATGTGTTTTGTAATTCTCCATTATCATGCTATTTCTGAGCGAATGAGTCTCAGCGGACTCTGGCGAAAAAAAAGCCTGCGAATAAGTATGTCACGTCATCGTTATAGCTGAGTCTGTGGTGGATTTGGAACGTTGAACGGCGCACGATCGGTAATCGATATAACGAATGACAGCGATGCGCATGAAAAATGACACGAAAGCTAACAGGCGAATGTACATACATACATAAATTTTACGAGTATGCCCTGTCGGCGGAGGTGGCTAAAAGCGAAGTGAGCGTGTTTTAAAAGCTTCATTAAACAGGTTTTTAAGCTACAGATTTTCAATGCAAACGTATGTGTGCGTGTGTCTGTGTATGGTGCGAGTATGTGTATTAGAAGCGGATTTGATTTTTTTAGAACTCAAATTAGGGTGCAGCAGTTAGTAGTTGCAGATTAGAAATTACAAACTAATTAATAAGCAATGTCGGTATGTCTATGTGAGTATGTATTTCTATTACCGTGAGAAAATGTTGAATGACTCAAAGAGGAAATTGCTGCTTAAAATTTTGTAAAAAAATGTCTTGGTTGGAATCAACTATTAGGGTGTTCCAAAACTTCTTTTTTACATACAGATGAATTTTGTGGTGAGATTTTTGTTTTTGAGCTACTCTTAATGCACAAAGATAATTGTATAAATACATAAATAGATATGTATCTAAAATAAAAATAAAATACTATGTAAACAAAGCGAGTGCGTGGGCTGTAAAGCTTTGCCTGCGGAACAACGTTCAAAAAAGAAAAAAATACGAAAACAGCAAGACTAGGTAAAATACTTATGTATTTATTTAGGTATATGTATATATATTTTAAGAAAAAAAAACCCCAGACTGAAGATTGAAGCCAAAGGAAGGTAACACCTTTTCTTCTTATTTAGTAGCAGAGGCGAGGCAAGGCAAGACGGGCAAAGCTACGAGATCGTCTTGTGGCTGTTGTTGGGTTATTCCCAGCTAACGAATACGCCATGTAGGCTGGTTGGTACCTTCGTGCGCTAAGATCAACTGTGAGCGATGCGCGGTGAGGCAAAGTCGAAGTGGAATGAGCAATGAAATATGTATGTATAATATAAAACAGATGGAGAGGGGCGCTAGTTTAAAAAAAAAAAAAGGCAATGGGAAGAAAATCTAAGCAAGTGGCTTGGTAATAATAAAACAGCTTTGTTGGTTATAACTTTCTTATAAACTCTAGAAATCAGTTGCATAGTTTACTGCCCATGTAAATGTATATGCATACATGTACATACAATACAACGTACATACATATATTTTTCGGAAAAAAGAGGCAAAAGTAAATAACTTAAAACTGGTGTCAAAATCAAAGAAAATAGTTATTTATTAGGTTTTCTAGAAATCAAAATTTACGTATGTATGTATGTAAATATAGAAAAATTTCAAAACCTTCACATTAAGATTTTTTCAACCCGCTTTATACACAACTATTTAAAAAATTGTTTAATTTTGAATTCAAAATATATTTGCAAATATTGTTTTTTTGTATTTTTTTCGTAAGATGAAAAGCTCTAAAAGGTTTAAACTACTTTTTTATGTACAAGTTAAAATATTTTCCTATTTCTGAATGATTTTAAAAATTGCCCCGTTAATACTTTTCCACATTTCATCCGCGATAGACGTTATATCTTTATTTACATGGGCATACATATATGTACATACATATGCATGTTGAAATTCAACCATTTGTATTTATTTACTTGGCTACAGGCAGTAACTGCGTTTAGCTCATACTGCTGGAACGTGAGGCCCCATCGGCGACGTGATTTCCATGAAGAGGACATTATATTGTAACGCTGGTAAGACAATATTTGGGGTGATCGCACTTAAAGTTATATGTAATCAAATTAGCACATACACATACACACATACAAACAAATTTGAAGTTACTGTCCCTTCACGAAATAAGGGGGCCATATTGGTTAACAGAAGATATTGTAGGGTAGCGAAGGTAAAACGTGGTGAGCATGATCATCATCATACGACACATATGTACCTCTGTACACAGATGTACAAAAAAAACACAGTTGTTGTTGAGCGAAAATAAGACAGCAGGAATGAGCTAAAAAGTCAACACAGCAGCGCCGTGGTACACACTTGTTAAATATTATCTTATCTCATTTTCTGCCAAGTGTATTGTTATGGGACTTAAATTGTTGGTGTGTTTATACATATACATAAAATATATATATGCATATACAAATGTATATTTTTGTTCCTTACTACGGCGTTTGAAGAGCCAACTGATTAGCCTGGTTTATGCTACGACAATTACAAGAAATGAAAGTAAATAAATCGCAGTTATACGCACATGTTTTTGGTTCTTTTCATTTATTTGCCATGTACACACTCGTATGTAGCTTTTCAGTTATGTATCAACCGATAAAGAACACCCAAAAATCCAGGAAAGCACGAAGCACAGTCACAGGCGTTTTATTTGTAGATACTTTTTTAAGCGTACAAGTGGTTCTGTACAATTCTTATTATTGCTGTTGTTGTTTTATTGCTAAGTTCGTACATTACCTTATGAGTTAAGCTATATGGAAGTATGTACATATGTAAATACATGATAAGGTGTTTTTCTCTGTTAACTGTCGCCGGTATCGTTCGCAGGCTAAATGGAACAATTATGGCATTTATTGGTGTTGAAAGTCAAATAATATAAAATTACAAATGTGCACATGCCTACTATGTACATATAAATACGATGTCTGTTCAAAAGACAAAAAAAAAATGAATTTGGAGTTTTTGTATCTCCTATGTACATATGTATGTATATATGAATATGTACTGTTATGAAATACGAAGGTTTGTAATCCACATGCCACACCGACCGACAGCGCAGGGACACAGAAGTTTTCCGGGTAAAATTAGTGAAATTTTTATAGCTTTTGCCTTTTAAATTTACGAACTGTGGTTTGTTATTTTATAATAAAGACAAACAACAAGTACGGGTCTTTAAGATAATCAACGAGAACAATAACAATTAAATTTCTTTTAAAAGTTCATTGTAATTTACATAAGACACTTTTCCCCGACAACTGTCAGCGTATTTTCAAGAAGTTTCAGTTTCTATTTCTATTACATCAGTTGAAATAAAAAAAAAAAAGAAAAAAATAGAAAAAAATAAATTAATAAATAAATAAAAAAAAAATAAATGAATACATAAATAAAAAAAAATAAAAAATAAAACACTAAAGAAATAGCTGAATAGGAACAAGGATTTCAAAACTTTCTTCAATATAATGCACGAGTTCTTTCAGTTTCTTGACACTAGTGAAATCCTTTTCGGAGTCAACGTATTTGTATTGTATGTGTGTGAGAACACGTTTACATATTTAAAATATTAAATTAGCTTTCAGTCACGCACAAAAATATTTACGCCCAAATTAAGATCAATAATTATAATCAGTCATACATATCAAATTTATAGAAACATACAGATTTATATGGAGTATATTTCACTGTGTTTACTATAAGTTGATTCATACATACATATAGTAAAATGCTTTTGTTTAAAATAGACAAAAAAAAAAAAATAAAAAATAAAATTATTGCGAGCGGCTAATATCAATAAATGAATTAATGCAATTGTTATATTATTGAAAATAATATAATTAAAAATATGCGGTACCGAAAAGCCTTACTTCCACTATTCCAATTCACATTTTTTTTTAATTTTGAGAAGTTAATCAAAATTACATCGAACTAGAGCATGAGCAATGCGAAAGCCTCTTCTATATTTTTGAGAGAGCGCAAGAAAATCGAAATACATAGATCGTGAGCATAAAAAATATTGAGACCAATAAGTACAACACTATTAAAAAGAGAATAAAATTGTTAGTAAAAAAAAATATACTTTTTAGTTAGTTAGCTAGTAACCGCAAGTGCAGGATATTTCTAACCAACACATAAACATATGCTGTTGGTAATTTTACTTCAATTAATAATCACTTGAGAATTTGCAAGTGTAGCTTTATATAAACAATTTGTAAGAAATGTGTGTATACACATTATATTAGATGTGCGAAGTCGTCACTGGCTTTGAAGTGGTTTCGGGGCAACATTGAAATCTAAGTGATAATGTTTTCTGGTGATTTTTTCTTGAAATAGAAACATTTCAAAACCAATTGAGCAAAACAGGAAGTTAAAAAATTGATTATAAAAAAAATGTACTATTTATGTACATACATATGTATGTACCTAATGCACTTTTAAACTCAAATTTATGTTTATAATAATTTTTAGGTTTTCCTAGGTACACGTTTTTATTAATGTTCTGTTAAAAGTTTATTGTTTAAAACTATTGACATGTTCCATATATTTAGCAGGAGTTCTATATTGTAAAATAAATTTTCTTATTTTCTTTTTTGTAAAACATTTTAATGTTTTTCATACATATATAACTTTTTATGCATTCACTGAATGCTTTCAAGCTTTAAGAACAAATTTCTATGTAAGCAAAACGGTGTTCACAGACCTGTTATTAAAAATAGAATATTCTATGTAATTTTAAACCAGTTATTCACTTTTTGAATTATCACTTTTAAAGTTCTCAGAAAAATTAAACCCCTGATTTTATAAATTGCAATTTCCGTTTTCCGCAGGTTTTTTGCATTTTAATTTTTTATAGTTTTTAATTAGATTAAGTTGTTTTTTCTTTTAAAAAACTTATCATTCACTAAAAATTTTCATAACTCATAAAAATTGTAGATGCACACTTTAAACTCTGTGAGCTTTGCTTTACTAGTAGAGTAGAAACTTTATTTTTACCTTGATTTCGCAAAATCACAACTCCACTTATGTATGTATGTTTCTATATTTTTTTCTTGTTTTACTTCGTCACTTGAGTTATTTTAATAATATTTATTAGTTTTTGAACACTAAAATTTTACTTGGTGCTCAGCATTAATTCCAATAACTTTTTTTTTAAATGGAAATTATTTAAATTTCGTTTATTTCAAAAATCAAAATTTTCTGTATGTTTTTAATGGATTTATTCTGGTTTTACTGAAGTCTCATCAAAATTGTACAGAAATTCCTTTATCAGCAAAAGTACTGACTTTTCTTGTTATTTTTTTATTCAACACTTCACACGTACATATTTTTTGCCTTAAAAGCTCTTTTATTTTTACTCACTTTGCTAATTGATCTTACATAGTATACAATTGGAAATATGTATGTCACATTGGTACTACGAATTAACGAAGAAAAATAAAAATGAAACACGTCCTTTCACGCGCAGGCACCAAATGTGAATGCCTGTTGGTCACAATTCTCCTGCGCTGCTTACCAACACCACAAATAGCAGCGCCGACAATTGAGCTGTTCACGACGACGACGACGACGTCGCTGCCCACCACCAAGCAAACGAACAGCCACCAACAACACTATTATGTACCAACAGCTACGTTCGACTACGTCCCCAATTCGACGACGTGGACACGAAGAGGAATTACCGAAGCGTCACGAAATGTAAAAAAGGCGAGGCGAGCAGTTGTACACTGATACTCAATTGCACACATGCAAGTAATATATATTTCTGTGAATGTGTATGCGTGTATGGGGCATAACGTCCTACAGGCGAAGGAGGCTTAAAAGAAGCATAAGAAAATACTTGAACCAAACGCCACCACCCCTTCGAAAAGGTGCTTTCCTAATACTTGTATTTATGTATGGAGTATACACATATATACATATGTGTACTAATATAAATGTATGGCTGATATGTACATATTATTATTCGTTGAGTGTGACGACTGGGACACGTCCGAATAATTTTGGCTTGTTGATCTTGTTCGCAATTGAGTTACTCATACGCGCAGGCTATAGTGTTTGACGATCAGTTGGTATGTTTGTATGAATGTACATATGTATGTAGAGATAACTTTTATGTACATTTCAGTAATATATAATTTCGTGCTTACATACATAAATTGACGTACATACAAGCATGTAGGATGTCAATACTTACCCCTGTTCAGAGCTACATTGGTGGGGGGGTATTAAAGGGGGGGAGGGCGACATTTAACTTTCACACCATTCCGGTATGTGAGTGTGTGTGCTTTCATATAAACGTAATTGCAACGCCAATGACTCTACACCAGATATTTATAGGAGAGGGTAAGTTGTTGTTGTCTGGCCATACAGCCGCGATTTGCTTTCGCCTGTTGATTTTAAATTTCACAAAAAAAAAAAAAGGGCGACCCTTGTTAAACTTGCCTTGGTATGGGTTTCTCCTACAATTTCACATGTGTACATGTAAACTTGAGTACAGTGCTTTTAAGAAAGGGAGTGACACGCAGGCATTATGAGACGAAATAGGGAATAAATATCAAGCAAAATAAGCTTTGGGTGGGTGGGGATGACAAAAACAATTTTTTGTGCATTCATACATCTCTACGACTTTCAGAGATATTTTTTGTTCTTTTAATTTTCTACAAAAAAATTAGTAACAAAACAAAAAATTAGGAATGAATTTGAACCTTCACTGCATACTTTTGAAAACTTACGTTGCATAAATATTTGTACGGAAGTGTTGCATTGTGTGCGTTGACATTAATGTTATTATTTTGTAGAAGCTAACACGTTTTCACAATTTTTCCAATTTAAAGCCTCGTAAAAACATTCATTAACAATTTGTAGCTATGTATGTACATACATACATATACTTGTATTGGGATTTCTTTTATTATATTACAATTCCTGCTGTATTTTTCAACGAACTTCTTTCACTAAAATAATAAAGCACTTTGTTGTCATTTGTTCCGTATGTAATAGAAAATATGTATGCGTAGTAATTATGGTTTCTTCTTTGAACAATATTTGTTCATCACTAACTTCACTCTTTTTCTTTCTCTTACTTAAACGACACACGCGCGTACATTTATCCAACTATACCACTACGACACACGACGACTAAATTCATACTGTTTACAGAGCCTGGTGAATAAGCGCAACAAGGTAACTGCGACGATAGCTTCCAATACGAACACGACAGCGCAGCAGCAGCGAAGGCCAACACAGCAGCAATAGACGACGAGCTATCTATGTACAAAGTGAAGGAGCGGCATGTGGAGAAAGAGGCGACATGGGCGATGCCGGCAGCGATATTGCGATCCTCAGTCCTCTCAAAAAGGGAAATTACTTTAAGCATGTTCATCTATACATAAACATTTGTATGTATACACCCGAGCACACGAGCTCCCGCCGAATTGACACGCAAGCAAGAAGGTACATTTGTAGTCCCGCGGTGAGTGTATGTGTTTTTGAAATCAAAAAGTCACTTCTGTTGACTTTGCTGCCAAAACACATTCGCCTGTTGCCTTTTGTTGTTCTCCTTCGCCGCAGCAGCAACAGCAGCGATAGCAAAACAATCCTACGCGTTTTCATTTCAACGAAAGCATTCGCTCTCCTCGCCTGCACTCCTTCTCTTTAGACCAAGCCAGTTAAATGAATGCAGCGTTTGAACGAGTGAGTATTCGGCATAGCGACGCATAGACATCCTACAAAGCGTACAACAGCGCCGACAACAACAACACGTATAATAGTCAAGCAAAATGCCGATATCAACTGGTGCTATAGCAGCGCGAGTGGCTCTCCTTATAGTTATTGCAGTGCTTATAGTTTATATGCATACATATGAATGTATGGAGATACTTCTGTGTGTATATGCTCTGAGCTAGCTGAAGCGTGATACAGTCCCTAGACATGGAGGGCTGAAAAAATATAGACAACTGTAAGTATGTGAAGACCAGTGTGTTTATTATTTTCCTTTTAACGTTAAGAGAGAGGGGTGGTATGATTTAACTCTTAAAAGATTACAAGCAACATTCTTATTAGTATAAATGTGTTGTGCTCCGCTGTTGCTTCGTTTGCGTCTACGTTAGCAGATTGCGCATAGCGCTTTACTCAGCAACTAGCGCTCATATATGTATATAGGTATGCACATATTTCTACAACTCTCTTTTACCCTTAATTCTCCGGCTTTGGTTGAAATGTCTGCACACTTAATAATTATATACTTATACATTTGTTTGTATGTATTGCACTCTGTAAATATATTGTTGTTGTTTTTTTTACATCGCATGCACTTGCTGTTCCGCCTGAAAGCTCTTCGTTAACGACCTAAATTGAGTTTCAAATTGGTGCTGCTGCTTCCTCTCTCTCACTCTCGTTCTCTCTCTATTTCTCTGATATGTTTTGAGTGTTTGGAGAGTTTCTCACTACTTATTTACCATTCATAATTCAATTAAATTCCTTGCTGTGTAAATGTGTATTTATGTGGATAGACACTCATTCATTTATATATACATACATTAAGCTGACCTTTTCTATTCACTTTTAACCTTTCTCTTGACAAATTTCAGCTTTCGCGTGCATGTTATTTTTGTAATTTATTTTTTAAGAGCTTTTATACGAAAAGTCTCCAAATTTGAGAAACAAAATATGTACATATCTATATATATGTATATATGTATATGTCGATACATACGTATTTATATATGTAGGCATTTTGTATAAATACAGTACCTGCAAAGGAATGTTTATTTATACAAATATTCTCTCGTGTAAGATTTCTTTCTCAAAGCACTGCCTTTTAACTTTACCCAGCTCTTCGACACTGGACACAAGCAATGCAGCTGCGGCGCTTAGTGATGCACTCTGAACGCAGCGGGGAGAGTAGTATGGGCTAAGGGAAGCATTGTAGGATGGTACTTGGTCCTTTACAGATATAAATTCTAATTATCATTTTTTTTAAACATACATATATGTATTAATACCGGATCTCATCTACATACAAACATAAATAACTATCTAATGTTGGTATTCATCCTTTTTCCCACTGCTCTTGTTCAATGGACTTTATTGGTAATGAAGAACCGAGAGTGGAACCGACATTTCCACCATGAAAAAAGAATTTCGAGCAAGCCAAAGTGAGTGATCATCATGGACTTCCTTGTTTCCGATATAAAGTAAACTTGCTAGAAAACGAAAAATAATACTAACCTTTTCAACTGTCTTAAAAAAAAAATAGTTGGGGTTCTATGAAAATTAAGTTGCCCACGTCAGTTCTTCATCTTTTTCACTAAATCCCTTAATTTATGACTTTTTTTCCTATTGAAAGTGCAATTTTCTTCAAAAACAGCTTTTTTTTACTTTTGAGCTAAACGGTGAGTATTTTTTAATTAAAAAAAGTAAGTAGGGTAAGTGTGCTAGCGAACGGTCACCAGCTAGTAAGCGGATGGTACCAAGAGTTTTAACAAAAAAAAAAAGAAACCCGTTGATATCCTTAAGTTAAAAAAAGAATGCCATCGAAGCAGTTTCATTATTATATAAATAAGTCCCTACTCTGAAGCTACTGAAATATTGGAAGGGATTATATGGAACACCTAGGGAAAAGTGTGAAGAAGTTATTTTTTTTTTGTTAGTGGAGGAGAGATTTTTAAATGAAGAATTATAACATATTTTTGTATTGTTAAAAAAACTATAATTCTTTGTTTTCCAAATATCTTAGCCATTTGACAGTGTATTACATCGTTATATAACATGCCTATTCTGTAGAGCGGTAGATAGATTGCTCACGAGTATGTCTCTATTTTGGGCATCAGGATTAGATGAGAAGCTATTCCTACTCCTATTGTAAGTTAGATAAAATATTTATAGGCTGTGAGTATCTACTGCACCTCTGGACGGTTACGGTAAGGTATATTTTCTCGCCTTTACGGATATATAATTATTTAGACGGGGCAATGATCCACTCCCACTCTGGAAGTGTAGTTGGGAGAACCTACCCCACCACCTTTCGGACCTGTAAGTAGACCGACGTTTGCAATGGGTCAAAGACCACCTCCAAATTTATTTAATGTTTTTCTGAAGGATCCCGACTGGACTGAGTACACGTGTTTATTTATTTTTGAAAAATTCGATTAAATGTCTACAGAAATGACTGTCAAATGGACTGGATTTTAATCACGGGCGATTCTTGTTAAGCTCGAAGAAATAATTCGAAATGATCGAATTTCTTAGTTTTTGAGATATCGAGAAACAAATTTGCAAGGTGATGATATTCTACACAAAGATACTCGGTTAATCGTAGCCGATGTTGGACCCACGAAGTTTATTATTTGTTAAAGCTTTCCGGTAAGCGGCCTATTTTATATAATAGCAACATATATGTACATATGTGGGTAAAAAAATAAGAAATAAAAATTGGAGTATACTTAAAAAAAGGTATTTCATCAAACTTTTTAAATTATATATTTACGATTCTCTAACAGAAACCGTTAAAAATTTTAAAGTCAAATTTTCCTTTTTATTTTGCTCTCGAAAACAAAGTGAGATATTGAAATTTTTTATTTGGTCATTTCATATTATTTTGTTTATTTTTGTCATAATTTCTAAGAATTTAAGTAATTTTTTTCGTTTTTAAACTTTTTTCTTGACGCTTTTAATTTGGAGCTTTTGTGGCATTTACAATAGTAATGTTAAACAAACTCACTGTTTGAGTAATTGGAAATCAAAATTTTTACATTTTTAAGACATTTAAATTTTTTTTCATGAAAAATGAGCACCTTCCGAACGTGTGACTTTCCAGGTGGATTCATAGAAGCCACGAATTTCTAACCAATCTAAGCTTTTCCTTGCTACTTTACTGTATTATTATTGAAAATAGGTTTTGAAACCTTTACAAGGTGAAGCGGTCAAACTCAGAGCTTCATGTTCGGCTATTATCTAATTCATTGTCGTGGATCTAACAGTTATGTACTCGTATGTATGTATTCGCAGAGAAGTTTAAATGCTTTTAATTTTGACCGGATGTAGGTTTTTTGGATTTTAATAATAATTTTTTTTTTATTGAAAATATACATTTTAAATTTTTATACATGCAGACGAGTGTTAATCATTCATTAGCCTTTCCACTTCCTTTTCTAATAGCTTGCAGCAGTGCTATTGATGTTTACTTGCATACATATACATATATAATTTTAAATATATATGTATAATAGATAAAAAGGTTCACACCAAAAGCTAATTAACTTTTTTGTCGACATTGCTCCGTTGCTCTCAGCTCAAACGCGTTGTTGAATTGTGAGTATGAACTGCCTAGTGTTCAGCGCATTGTGACTGAGGATCAATTTTGGGAGAGAAATACGAGTAGATACAAAAATATTATATTAACGTAGCATGTGAACGCTTTTTTAATGAGTACATGAGAGTTTTACTATTGTTGTAGCGCGTTTTCGATTTTAGCATTCTATATTAGCCTCAAATGTTGTCGAGGAAAATTCCTTTACACGTAGGCTGATGAACGTCAACAGGCGTTTTAGAGCCACAAAAAAGCTTCGGCTGAAGGTAACATACACATAAACCTACATACATACATAAACATACGAATGCACACAAGCATATATGTATATACAAACATATATATGTATGTAACAGTAGTATCTAATATCCGTCAGGTACAATTGGCATTATGTTTGTACATACATATGTATGTATGTTCCCAAGCTTGTATCTTTGAATAAAAATATTTTCCACTTGTTATTGTTGTGCTATTGCTAGCTTCTTATTGCCATTACACTAGAAATATAGGTACATACAAACTGTTGTAGATACCCCATTACGGTACTTTTGGGTTTGCTTTATACCTATCATCTCATTTGATACGTATTATATTCTGTATTCGCCGTGAATGGCTATAATTGTCTCTTGTAAAACACTCCTAGCAGAGTGACTCGTAAATATTAGGGTGTTCTCCAACCCGAAATGAAAAAAAAATTTAACAAATATTTTCCTGCCATTTTTAATAAGGGAATTGGGTAACATTGAATTAACAATTGATTTTCAGAAATTTTTTCGCTTTTATTTCCTTTAATTAGAAGCTGTCTCGAGAGATCCGAGTAATATTGACAATATTAAGATCTGGTATTGTGGTCGACTTATCTCCTAGTTATCTATTACACAGACTTGACTACGACCTACCCAACGTACATATACATATATGTCCTGTATGCAATGAGACCGCACACGACAGTACACGACTCATTTAAGCACTTCTTCCCTCTAGTCCGCGCCCATCGAAACAGCTCGTTTCATGGACCTCACTTTAGATTACCTTGATGACTTTGACTCGTCCCGCCATCCGAGCTCCTCTTCCAATTTGTGGTATGCGTCTTGATATTTTCCTACAGTCCTACAGCCCATACAAAGCCGCCACCGAATGGTTAATCGTTTTTCACGATCAGAAATACACTCGGAGGGCTTGACATTCCCTGCCGAGGAACGAAAGTAGTTAGAAAGATTAACTTAATTTTTTTATTTAATTTAAATTTTTATAGTTTTTGTTAAGTTGGTCGGACCAGGACTCGAACCCGGCCTTCCGAGCGACAGTACGCCCTGTTGGTAGTGCATGTAAGTCCATGTGTATTTCAGACATGCAAGCAAAAGTTCCTCAAAAAAATCAATTAGTGGAGGGGTGGGCCACCCTAATGTATACTCATACTTGCGTATGTAAATAAAGATTTAGATTCGTTGTTATGGAGGATGGATGTCGTAATACCCAACCGATCATTCAATTCAGTCCGCCACTCAGTCACACTAGCTTGATCGGCAAAGCTTGACGAGGACGACGAGAGCTGCCTGCCGACTG